TTCCTATAAATTATTTGACTTATTCATGGCAGTCAAGATAGATTGGAAAAACTTTCCTACGATCAAACAAAACAATTTTGAAATATAGTATAGAAAAAACTATATAACAAGTATTAATTTCTTATTCAGATAAAAAACATCAACAAATGCATTTCATCAATTAAAACGAAATAGTTCCCTCAGAAGACATTGCCACATCCCTCATCAAATCAGGTCTCGAGGCTACATTCCCTCATCATAGGAAGCAACGTTAGGCCGTTGGTGCATCGGCACAAGTTGCTTCACCTAGCCCATACAAAATCTGAGCCTTCGAAATAGCTTGATAAACTCAAGTACAAGCAGCTTAAAGTTCTGGGCAAGGAATGGAAAAGAAAAGTTCACTTTTCCCCACCATAGAGCCCGCGGGGGTCTCCTCATTCGCAACCCGAACGAACATGAAAATCCACTAGCAAAGAAGCAGGTGAATGTAGCGAAATCAAGAAATCAAACAAAAAAATGATTATAGTTACCTGAAGCCTTGCTCAAAATAACTTACCAAACTTGCTCAACATGAGCAATGCACAATCATAGAATGATATAAATATAGTTAAGCAATAATTTAGACTTGCTTAACACCGATAAAACTAACTTTATTGTGCGATGGGTTTCTTATGTAAAATCTTCGAATTACACTGCTTCGCACTCAAGCATTTACGACAGATCTTGATGAAAAAAAGAGGTCTAGGTTTAAACGCGTTTTCGAGAATTCAGATCTCCATGGAGGAGATGAAAAACGAAAAAAAACCAGCTTCTAGATATTGAATAATTTCTAGAGAGATTTCATAGATTATAATCATTTTTACTGTTATATTCTCATTTTTAATTTTGTAGTGTTCTAATGCATAAGCTTTTTATGTTTATTGGTAGTTACTGCAATTAATTTTCCAATGCGAAACCTCTCAATTGTAGTTTTATCACTGCACAAAATTTGAGTTTATCACTGCAAAATTACGATTTATCACTGCACAGATTGGTTATCACTGCACGTTCGAATAAACCTTGTAAAGAGATTTTACTGATCCAAATCCAAATGCAAAAATCCGAATGCAAAAACGCTGAAACAGCTGTATTGTGAATTTAAATTAGGGCGAATGATCACTGATTATTATACACGGGTTGCTGTCACTACAAATGAAACTAGTACCAGTGAATTGCTAATGGACCATTTTTCTACAAATAGAGCAAAGTACATTTTGATTTTTGTGTCTTAGAACTGGGAATGGTAGACTATTAAATTATTTATGCAGTGCAAAAGATGAATGCAGGGAGGCTCAAAAGCAAAACCCGTGCTTTAAGAGCTACTGCAAGGAGGATTTTTACAAGGACCTAAAACTTATTGACAGGGCTTCTATTTTAAAACCAATGAAAGACGACACATCAAATAGCCTTCAAATTTCAGGAAAATTTTTTGAGCATCTGCTTAATCCTCATGCCCCTCTAAAGAAAAGGAAAGTAAAATACGCGTACGCTCCATGGATTACCCCCAGATATAAAAATGATTATAGAAGAGCGTAATAAAATGAAAAAACTAGCTACCTGTTAGAAATAAGGTAACAGATAACATAAGGACTTGCAGTCATAAAGTATTATCAGGAAATTTTTTTTTCAAATGTTCACTTCACTTGTAGCAATGCTTACTTCTCTGCATATGCTTAAAAATGGGAAAGCACCCGGTCCAGAAGGAGAACCAAGAAACCCTGCAAAATATCCTTTAAGTTTATTGCCAAGCCATTGATCATGATATTCAACGTTTGTTTGAAACAGGGAATCTTTCCAAATATCTGTAAATTTGCACCAATTAAAAAAGTCACACCAATTTACAAATCGATTACAGACCCATTTCAGTTATCCCCGTTTTTTCAAAATTATTTGAGAAAATTCTGCATGATCAATTATCGGAATTCTTCTCTCCACCAGAAAATTGACTATGAATCAATTTACATACTGTATTCAACCATCACCACACTGATTAATGTTTCTGACTACTGGTACGAGAATGAAGACAAAAAATGTCAACTTGAGGGTATTGAGGTAGAATCATTTAGATCATACCTCCGTAACCGTCAACAATATTGCTCATTAAACGGTCACATTTCAAGCCCGGGCCAGTTACACACGGAATACCACATTGGGTCCTGTCTAGGCATATTGCTCTTCATATTATGACTTAATGAATTTGAAACTTGTCTAAAATTTCATGGCTAGCCTAACCTATATTGAGATGACACAAAAGCTTAATGCTCGTCAAATGAGCTTGAAAACATAATAAAAAACTTCTAAGCTGAATTAAAACACTTTCAAGTGGATGAGAAGTGTACTTCAAGTGCACTTCCAAAGGTAAAGGATGCTTGGGATAAGAGACTCATGAACCTGAATCAATTGATGACGTTTGGCCGAGCAGTTATGGCTTATAAAATTGGCAATCAGCTCTGTCCTGAAGGGCTGAAAAATAAATTCATCAAAAGGTCTGCCATATCAAAATACAACACAAGGAATAAGCAGGACCCGTGAGGCGTAGTCTAATAGAAGTCGACACGACTCGAGGATGGACGCTTAACACTCATAATAAATTCGCTTATGGAATATGTCTGTAAATTTCGCCGCATCGAAGATTCTTTACGCATGTAAATGAAATGGAACAATCGCTGTATATTTTCACCTTTATCTTTTAATGTATTTATTATAGCAAGAACTAGGCACCTAGGCACCTTTCTGGAGTTTCGCCTTTATTTGATAGACGAAACGTTAACACAGCGCAGGATCATTAACTTGATCCCCCACACTATGGTGCCGTGACCCGGGAATTAGATTAACAAATGGCGGAGCAATAAGCTTTGAAGAAGAAAAATCAAGAAGTTAATTGGCCATCGATTAGTGATTAAAAATACTATCGCGAAAGCAAAAGAATTACTGCCACCGCCCGATAAAAAAACCGCACCGCGCGCGGTTAGAGTGAAACTCGAGTCACTACGTACAATCGAGTCACAATCGAGTTTTTAGACGACGAAATCGAAGATTTATATAATGATCAGGATATCGAATGAGAAATTTTGGAAAGAAGTGAACTCGAAGAAGAAATCGAAGATATATTATGCCGAATCAAAGCAATTCACGACGAAACAGAACATAAAAACACACACGAAAGTGTTTCATGTTTAATAGCGCACGCTACATTCAAAGTGAAGTCACCGAAATTATCGTTAACAATATTCGGTGGAAATCCTATGCAATGGATAACATTTTGGGACAGTTTTCAATCGACTATTCATGAACATCCCAAGCTCTCTATTGTTGATAAACAGAAATACCTCCAGAAATCGTTAGTTGGAGATGGCGCGCATACGATTGCAGGATTACAAATTACGAATGAAAATTACGATGAGGCCATACAACTTCTAGAGAAGCGTTTTGGAAACAAACAATTCTTATATCGCGACCAAATTATGCCAGCATATTCATGAAAATAAGAGAACAACATGTCTTGAGCAATCCCCCGATTGGGCGTAGTCCAATATTTTTTAAAAGGTTTATCAATGACACAGTTTTTATCTGGCAACACAAGCTTGAAAACTTATACAATACACTCCATATCATCCACAAAAAATAGAATAGATACTAAAAACAATATACAGTCGACCTGCTTATAATCACACCGCTTAAAGTCACACTATTGGTTACAGTCAAATCAAATTTAAGACCCAAATATACAAAACTATTCAATAAAATCAAGACCCTAGTAGCTCTGTTTACAGTGTCACATTTGGTTTACTGACACAAGTTTACTGTAGTATTTCTGTTCTAACACACGCCGCTTTTATTTGGGCACAATACTCTAGCAACAAACTGGATTCCAGATCTCTCCCGGCACAAGGCTGTGTGGCAACGCCCGTTTTGGATTACACCATTTTTCTTAGTTTTCGGTGCTTGCCTTTTCTGTAGGGTTTTCAAATTAAGACGCAAATATTGACCAAGGGTGCAACATTTCAACCCTCAATTGAAGCCCACACTGGCAATTCCTATTTCATGTCACTGGTAGTCTGTATCATTTTACTTTTGGAACAGACAAATCCCAAGCATAACTTTCTTTCTTGTAACAATTATAAGAAAAACAGCAAAGCAGACCCATCCGTAGAAAACATTTGCCCTACAAAAGTCAGTTCATCGCTCATCGCTCAGCCAACGACCTGATACTTCACCGTCATAAGAAGAACCCTATCGTTACATTTGGTGACAGGGATGGGATGGTGGTGAAGTAGAGAATCAATTGAAACTTTTTTTGTTATTTGGTGTTCCTTTATATATTTTGCGAGGAGGAGGATGGTCGACATGGAAATTTGGAATTGATCTATTCGTGTACTGCTGATTATTATTTTTATCTTGAAAAATATTGCCAACCAACCGACATACCTTTCCTCTAATATGGAGTAGAAGACGATGAAGTTCTGGTGATTTAAGAGGACGTTATTTTCCGAATACAGTTTAGGGGTGCTGGCCCTAGAGGGCTGCAGCAGAAGGACGGCAGGATCCTTTGGATTTGACTTTTATTTTTGTGGATGTCATTATGGGTTTGGAAATATCAAGCGATGTTGTATGAATTACCTTTGCTTGCCAGTTCATGCCTACGGGCCTCAATGATTCTATGGACCTTTTATGTTAAGTCACTTTTAAATTTTTTAGAAACTTTCATCGGCGTATTTACTTTAAAGAGAGGGGATGGTGTAACGTTTTAACATTAGTAAACTTCAGTAATTACTATTATTATGTTCAGCTAGATCTTTGATTATGTTGCGTGTTAATGTCACATGTTTGTTTGTCACGCTGTTGTGTTAGTAGCTCCCTTTCCGGGAAATGTGCGTCACTGTCATCGTGTTGTGTGATGTTTCACAGTGTTCCTTTTTTTTTTTTATATATAATGTGATCCAACTTAGAATATTTTAGTCTTACTGTTTTGACGATAAACATAACATCAAAGAACGAGTATCTCTTGTGTGCTATCTACTTGGGGCTAGGCCCGTTGGCCTAGCCCATCGCTCAGCCAACGACCTGATACTTCACCGTCATAAGAAAAACCCTATCGTTACAGTAGTTAAAAATGGCGGCTCACAGTGGCCAAGGGCCCAAGGCTATTAATGTAAGGGTTGATTCTCATTTTGTTGGTGAAGCTGGAAAAACACATCACATCCCTCATCACCCAGTTATTAGAGAGGATGAAGAAACCACAAAGATGCTTTGAATTTACGATGCCTCTTTGTAGGACAAAACTCGTGTTTCGCTGAATCAACTGGTGTTTCGCTGTAATATTGTCCGCGGTCCTTGTCCGCAAGGTCTCATTTCACCGGTGACTACTCCTCCGACTCTACATAAACTCTTTAAGGCAGCATTGTCTTGGGATGAAAAATTACCTGAAGCACTTGACAAAGAATGGAAATTTCTCATCTCCAAATTGGATAAAGTCGAAACTATTTCTTTTCCAAGGTAGCTGCTATATTGGTTCCATCAAGGAGAAACCTGGACTCGTAGAACTTTTTGGATTCTGATGTAGCTTCAGTATATGCCAAGATAACATCAACGGGAAGAGTCACGTGAGGCTCTCTATTGACGAGCATAATTTGAGGTTCAAAATTCAAACTGTAAATATAACACATGTAGAGAAGGTCTTTGGGAAATTCAAAAATTCCTTGAGCTTTGGCACGGAGGGGATTGCCAATCGTTTCTTGAAAATTGCGCTACCTGTCATCGGCGACTCACTTTGTAGCATTTTCAATCTTTCTTTAGCAACTGCTGCATTCCCAGATTGTTGGAAAATTGCTAGGGTTGCCCACATTTTCAAAAATGGTAAATCTGATGATCAATCAAATTATAGGCCAATTTCGGTACTCCCGTTCTTGTCTAGCGTATTTGAAAAAAATTGGTCTTTAACCAGCTTTATGAATATCTAGATAGAAACAACCTCGTATACTATAAACAGTCTGGATTTAGATCATTACACTCCACTGTCACTTGCCTTCTGAAGTCTACAAACGACTGGTATGTTAACATGGACAAAGGCAGATTCACAGCTACTTCATTCATCGACTTGAAAAAAGCATTTGATACTGTAGACCGACAGCGAAAGTATAGACGGAAAGTAAAGTGTGTTTGATGCGAGAAGGAAATGAACACTGTGCATACCCCTCCCCCCTACTTTTTGCAAAACAAGAGAGCTTTTTTCAAAATCTTTTGCTGTGATTCCATTCTGCCTCGGAGCCCATGGAACACTGACAGTTTTAGAAGCATTATGAATCAAAGCATGAAGGATATACCATCTCGGAATACGTTGTTGAGAAAATCAATCAATATTTTCTTTTCCAAATGTATGGAACTTTCATTCATGAAATCAAACATGTTTTAAAAATTTAGGTCAGGACATTTGAAGAAGACATCATTTGGGTTTTTAAACATTTCATAACATCAACAGGAACATAATAAAACTATTTACAATAAACATGATCAAACGTGAACACTTTTTCATTACAACGTGGCGTGAACAACTGACTAATGCAACTTCGAGGTCTAGGAACGAGTGAAGGATTAGCCGCGTGCTGCTCCTTCACAACAATACATCCATAAGGAGTTATGCCCCAAAATTCTCTTAAGGTTTTGCACTTACGGTTCGAAAGTATTGCACCCTTCGCTAGAAAATGGTCATACAGACGCCAAAGTTTTTTAACTAAAAAAATTTGAATAACCATAACAAGTAACAGAAAGTTTTAATCAGTTCAAGCGGGAAGTAATATAAAATTTATCAAGAAATTGTAGTTAAGATATGAATTGCAAAAAATCTTTCGAGTTTATTCTATTTCTGAACAATATCCATGATTACGAAAACATGAAAATTGAGCTTTGATGATAGCTATACCTGTAAAATACCTCCAATAAAAAACTTTTCTTTGCATGAGGGATTTTGTTATGGTGAATTTAGATATACGTACTTTGTGCTTGGGTGTCTAAAAATATTGAAATTGCTTCCGGAGCAACCAAAAATTGAAAATGAAACTCAGAGAATGCAACTGAAGCTCTTTTTTGTTGGAACATTGTAATCTGCGTAGCTGTTTCTAAATTCCGAAATTTCCAAGCTGTGTTTTGGTGTTCCACTTTGATAAAATTGAGACCCTACTTAAATCTCTTTTTTGAATTGCTCTCTTAATAGCTAGGTGATTTAGAAAGTGAAGATTTTTTTTATAGAAAAGACAGGCCTTACAAATGCTTGCTTTTCGGAAACAAATGTTTATAGCCAACACCAGAAAAACTAGAAGCATATTTTTTGACTTAAAACAAACAGCCTGAGTCTAAAGACCCTCTCTCGGGCTTCCCGATGATTTCAGCCCTTGAGGCGATGTGCTCTAAAAATGAAGTTCATGTAGGACACGCCCTTTCATCAAGCATACCACGCCCTTTCGTCGGGCAACTAAGCTTCATACCCCCCTAATGAAAATAGTGAAGTTTCGCCCCTGCTGATGACATCCTACTTCAAAAGTTAGAAAAGTATGGAGTACTTGGCCTTGAACATACCTGGACAGGACATATCGCTTGACAATCTGACATTCAAGCTAATGTTTACTTTCTCAACGGATTCTGGTAGTAGGGAGTTCAGGCTTTCATAATCTGCCAGGTGACTTTTTTGAAATTCCTGGATGTCATGTGACTGATGACGTCATTTAACGGTAAAAAGTCAGACAAAATCATCGTAAGCTCCTCACTGAAGGCTTATTTTTAACGCAACTTACATATTTTGACTCGTCTCATTGCAAGCTTTCAAATGATATATATTTAAGCAAGATTTGCCGACATAAGTATTTTCATTATGACGTCATAACAAATTTTGCATGACGTCATCAAATATTTTATTGTCATAAAATGATACGTTAGCATAATTTTGTTTTAACATGACGCTGGCTTGCAGCAAAAGCTTTTCTTCCATATGTTTTTCAATTAAAATATTAGTATTTAGTTCGTTTAAATTGAATTTGTGCCCACCGCAATAGCCAAAGTTCGAAACAGGTAGTAGTCACTATCTGACGAGTGAGTCACTTCTTACTCCGAAGTCGCAAAGTCTTGCCCCCACTCTGAACCGGACAATTATTTCTCTGCATCTGCATTTGACTGTTGCTAAGTCGGAAAATATCTTCGCACTATTATAGGCTGTCCAAGATGTCTTCGCACTACAGGTCTTTAGCGCTGGGTATGAAAGTGTATGATTTTCTTCTTGGGTAATTTCATCTCCTGCGTCACCTTCATATTCTTGTGATGTAAAGAAAGCTCTCGGAAATGAGGAAGCTGCTTTCCTGTGAACCATTTAGACTTTAAACGGCCGAGTATGTCGTCCAAATTTCAACATCAATTTAATTCTAACCTAAACAGTGTAGCCAAAATAACCTTGTTAAGTTGATACAATTTAATTCTTTTCTGATTGAGTGATTATGGATCTGCTGGAACTGCTGCAGATGATTTTTTTTCAGATTTGATAAATATCTTTGTCCCTTAATAGCTTTTATATGTTGTTCCACTATATTCCGCTGTTTCGCGAATGTCTTTGCTTTTGCGATAACTCCTTCGGAGAGACTTTTAATGATGACTTGTTTCTGGTTCCTCGTTAGCTTTTTTCACAGTAACCTTACCAATGTTGTGCTTATATGCAGTTGTCTCAGCCCACAATTCCATTAATGTGTGATAAAATACAGCAAATTTTGGAACCAAAAGTTTCAGCGATGCCTCAAATCTTGACGATTTGTTTGTTATTTATGCACATAAACCACTAATTTGGGGGTTTGCACTTCTGTGTTGCATGAACAAGCAGCACACATAAATCAGTATCTTTTGCAACAGCAACTACTTTTGCATCTTTCGAGTTACCATGCAAAATATTCTGGTTTCCGCCTTTTTGTGGTTACATCTTAGAGGGACTTCTACTTGCCTTTTGAAGTCTCCGATGCTTCTCCTCCTTAAGCTACGATAAATTGAATTGTCAGGGGCCTGTGACCCTCAGCGCTTCGAAAGAATTCGGGAGCAAGTCTCATAAGATTCTCTTTTTTTCATCAATGTAAAAATACTCTTCTTACTTTGGAGTATCTTTTGCTCTCCACTTTTTATATGCACTTGCCTTGATGACTCTCTTTTGCCGTTTGCTTGCTCGTGTGCTGTTTCTAAATATTTAGCGTTGACTTTGTTTCCACTTTCATTGCTTTAGCCTCATAAGGAGGATTAGCACATCCATGAATGTTCTTGAACCAAACACTGAATGTTTCCTTGGGTTTGATGCTACGAACTCAGGCCGTCTCATCAAATCTCCATCTGGCGTTTTCGGGTGGCGTTTTTACAAAATGTTCTCACGGACTGATGACACTAGCGCTAACATGGAAGAAATATTTCAAAGAAATGAGCTATTTTGCTCGAATGGTAGGTTGTTGCTAGAAACGAAAGTATAGTCAGAAACTTAAGCTGCATTCTGGGGCACAAAGATCCAAGAAAACAGCGAAAGCAGTCTCAATAATGAACGAAGACCACCAAGCTTTCGTGATTGGCAAGGCTGCCTCTATCGAAAAGGCATTTTCATATCCCATCAAAACCATAACTCTAGTCTTGCAACTCCTGAAGGTGTACTGTGACAAGGAGATAAAGCTGTTCTTCTTAATTTCATGTGTAAGGAGCCAAATCCATATATAAATCCACCATCAGAAAAATGCCAGATGGAGTATTTTATTTATGAGATGGCCTCATTTCGCAGCAGAAGATAGCCTTATTGAAAAAAGTCATGCACCTTCAGCACATCGGTAGGACATCTTGGATAGCCTATATTGCCAAGACATTCTTCCGATTTAGTGTAACATTCAAATGCGGATGCAGAGAAATCATTTTCCGGTTCAAAGTGGGAGCAAGACTTTGCAACTTCGGAGGAAGAAGTGACTCACTCGTCAGATAGTAACGACTTCTTTAGTAAAACTTTGGCTATTGCGGTTGGCACAAATTCAATTTAAATGAACTAAATACTAATTATTTTGATTGAAAAACATATGGAAGAGAAGCTTTTGCTGACAGCCAGCGTCATATTAAAACTAAATTATGCTAACATACCATTTTATGACAATAAAATATTTGATGACGTCATGCAAAATTTGTTATGACGTCATAATGCAAATACTTATGTCGGCAAATCTTGCTTAAATATATATCATTTGACACCTTGCAATGAGACGAGTCAAAATATGTAAGTTGCGTTAAAAAATAACCCTTCAGTGAGGAGCTAACGATGATTTTGTCTGACTTTTTACCGTTAAATGATGTCATCAGTCACGTGACATCCAGGCATTTTCAAAAAAGTCACCTGGCAGATTATGAAAGCCTGAACTCCCTACTACCAGAATCCGTTGAGAAAGCAAAAATTAGCTTGAATGTCAGATTGTCAGGCTATATGTCCTGTCTAACCTGGTTTGCTTCTTAAGAGACAGCAACTCTGTAGAGTGAATGGGGGTTATCCTCAAAGGTAGAACAATGCGAAGTTCCTCAAGGATCCTGCCTTGGGCCCCTGCCTTTCTTGATATACATAAATGATCTGCCGTTCTTTCTTAAAAACACAATGTCACAATGTACGCCAATGAGGCGCTTAATGAGGCAGGAGTGGCGGTATGGGGGGGCAAGGGGGGGCTTTAGCCCCCCCTAGATTTTTGTTAGCCCCCCCGTCGGCAGCCAATCAATTTTTGCTTTCTCAATACCGTCGGCACTTGATGGATGTCACCCGGTTTACATCTTGTTTGAATGACAAAAATAATCGAGGAGAAAACTGCACTGGCTGGTTTATGGTTTTCTCAATGGCTTTTCTTCGGCAATTTTACTATCATAGTGGCATTATATCCTGTCGCTTCCGTGAAAGCCTTTTTTCGTTTCAAGACATTATTATTGCCAATGAAGACATTTCGATCATGAGCACATTTTGCGTAATAAATTTTTCAAAAAGCACTTCTTGTCCTTTTTCATCAACTATTTTTCAATAGCATTGTTCACCGCATAGCTTCCGACAAACAAATGTTTTAGAGAAAACCATCGATTAACTTCTTCCAACATGGATAGGAAGAAATATTCAACAATAGGCAATATTTGCGCACTAAGTTTCTTACAAGGCACAATTTGCCGAGAAAATCTCGTGGACTCCGACACAGGTTGGAAAATGGGGGCGGGGAGGGGGCAAGGGAGAATTTTGCACCCACAACAAACGATTTTGGAAAAATGCTCTATTGCTTGCTCTATATGCTTGCTTGCTCTTGCAAAATTGCTCTAGATCGGTGCCCTTTCATTGGAGGTGCTGCTCAGGGGACGTCGAGACTGGGGGGTTGTCACACCCACCCCAATAGTATCTCAATAGGAAATTTCAGGTAAAATCCGCTCGGTGGAAGAAACGCTTTAGGTATTTCAGAGACCTTCCTGTCATAAAATCAATGAAGGATCAAGCAATCTTAGGTAAAATTGTGCCTCGTGTCCATTTCTCCTAAAGTTTCTCAGTAGAAGCGTCAACTGCAATTCACTATGAGCTCCAGATTTTTCTTAACATTCATAAGGCATGCCAAGATGGAGAGAGGGATCTAAATTTAAAAGTAACTGACAACCTGGTATTTTTCAAGACCACGGCGAAATTGTTGTTTTTATCTGCTGTAAAAATATTTTGCAAAAAGACAATAATTTTCAATAGGATTAGGAGGATTGCTTTAGTGAAATCTGCTTAAAAGAGTGAATTTTCCAGGGAACTAGAAGCATCACAATTCGAAAATTTCCTGCCCCTTCGGCGGCAACCATGGTGCCGCCTCAGGTAGTAACTATGTATTTTGCCCGTCCCGATATAGAGATTTGACAAGACTATTAGAAAAGTCGGTTATTATCATACAAAGTTAGATTGATAAAATGTATTGCAGAGGTTTGTGACACCAGCTAAAAAGTTTCAGGCAATAATTTTTTAATCAGGTAAATTTGCATTCCACCCCCCCCCCCAACGAGGCTTGCCTCGCGACGGCCCTGCCTGCTATATGGGGCAAATCGAATTTTTATGTACGAAGAATGAGTACATGAAGGGGGGATTTTGCTCGGCTCGATGGGCATCCATATATATATATATATATATATATATATATGTAGAATTGTTGCCAATTGTGTAACAATGGATCGGCATTTTGATGAGTTCAACAATGGAAACATAGAAGCCGAATTCAAAGGCGGGAGACAATCGAAACAATGCAGGCATAGAATTCCAAAATCAAAGGATTTTCCCAATTTTCCCAAACGAACAATCGAGAATCGTGAGTTTCCCGATTAAGTGGGCAATTGAGGTTCGCTAATCGACACTTAGGTCTATAATCGGGCTATTAAATTGGGTTCGGCTGCTAGCCTGAGATCCCCTTTGTGGTCATCCTCTTAGGTTCGACCAATCACCTTTAGTTTTGCTCGTGACGTTGGGCAGTTAAAATTGGTTCTGCACGTGCATGTTGAACGGTGGCCAGAATAGATCAGAACCTTCTCGTAATTGAGAATCGTGCTTTCATCCTGTCAAGCGTCAACGTAATTAGACGTATAATTTGCAATTTGCTATGTAGGATACAAAAGAAAGTGCGGGAATATGCGATTTCACGTTTCACGAGTTTCTGCAAGAATTAACTTTCATGCATGAGTCGTGGAAAATATATTGTAAGTGTTTCAAATCTGTTTAGTTTTTCGCAAGTTTTGCAAAGTCGGTGAAAGTTATTCGAAGATTTCCAGGCTTTGCGAAATTGTCACAAAATGCTTGCAGGGACTTTTCAATTTTCTCTGGGGTTGATCAAAAATTCATTCGAAATTTTTCAGACCCCATATTTTTTTAAAAGAAAGGGTCAACATGTTGGATAAGATAGTTTGGTGCAGGAATAACGTAACAAAAATAGAAATTTGGATCGTGTGAGGTCAGACCAACAGTTACGGGAATAATCAATTAATAATCTTGGGATCTGTGACTACATTTCTTCATCAAATAGTTGAATTGCCGAGTTGAAGAAATCTTTGCACTCGCAACAAGGAAGTTTACGAAATTAAAAGTTTGGCTGCTCACAATTACGTACGAAAGATTCCCCTTCGTAATCAAGTAATTGCACTGCCGCGAGATCATTATGCTGGAACCGTTTTGTCAGCGCGGGTCGTTAGGGATCGTTAGGCACGCATCGATTTCTCCTTCTTGCAAAGGTTGATAGTGGAATTCAAAGATCTGGGTTTGGTAAACTTACTGCGTCATAGCATTCCCCGCTGTTTATCAAGAAAGTGTAAATCTGCGGAACGCATTTTGATAAAGCAACCGAATAAGAATAATTATTCGTGTTATGTTATCAAGCAAAAAATGTCCTTCGTCAAATAAAAAAACAGATTCCCAGTTAGGTTCCACTCACAGAGCCCCAATAAATGAGTTCTGTAATCTTGGCGAGTCCTAGCTCGTGCCACCGTTTTTTAGGTATTTTAAGTCTGTGAATCGCAATCTCATAAAGCATTAAGGTTCTTAGTTGTCTGGGAAACAGACTGGAAGCGCATCTAGAAAAGTTCAGACTTTTAATACATTTGGAATCTTCGTTGTCGTCATCATTGTCATCGTCGTCATCATAATCATCATCATCAATCATCATCATCATCATAATCATCAATCATCATCATAATCATCATCATCATCACCATAATCATCATCATAATCATCAATCATCATCATCAATCATCATCATCATTAGTTTTGTCCACATCGCCAATTCATAATATCGAAGTACCATTCCTCCACATTCTTCGTACATTGCAAAAGCCGTGCTATTTTTTTTTCTGTCGGCAATTTGACACATCCAGCGTCGGCAGTTACGGAGAATATAAACTTCGGCACCTTGAAGGTTTGTCTCTAGCGCCACTCCTGTAATGAGGCCCTTAACCGTGACTTCCACTCTCTGAAACAGTGGCTTGAAGGTAACAAACTGTCACTGAATATACGTAATTAAGACACAAGCAATGTTTATAGGCTCTCGACCAAATATAAAATAGATATCAGACAGAACAACTTGATAAAAATCTTGTATGGGGTGAACATGTCAATGTTTCACGTTCAAAGGTATCTCTCTCTTTGGGTTTCCTAAAATATGCTAAAAAACTACTTCCAAAAAATTCCCTTAATCAGTTATATATGATGCAAGAAGAATATTTTTAGCATAATTCCTTCTTTTATTTGGTGTATAATCATCGGCAAGGCCAACATTGCAGTTATGCTTGTTTCCATGATTTTCTAGGGCATCTACTAATTTCCTTGAGCATTATGAAAATATTTGTCGAGGACTTTCCAGAACAAGGTCAGGTTCAAACAGGTCTTAACCTGGTCGTGCCAGATGGCGGCACGCTGTGCACGTTTACCAATCAAATCGAAGCCCTGGAACATGAATATTTCGCAAGGTATAAAGTTCCAACAGCCCCAAGAACCTGCTATATACTCGTACTGATAGCGGTTGAATACAAACACGACTGTGGTTGAAGAAAATCATAGCGGTGAGTCCATATTTTGCTGTTCAACTATTGGTGCCGTTTCTAAAGAAAACTGAACGCTTTGTTTTATTTGCTTTTAGAGCAATGCTCCTAGTTTTTATTTGCTTCTACAGTAGACTCCAGTAATATACACACCAATCGCTTCTTGAAAAACTAGGACAATTAGTGGGGTGTGTTTGTAAACGGAGCTTATTAAGACGTATTTCGGTCTCAATTCTGTGTGACTGTAAAGCTTCCATAGAAAGTTTTTATTAGGACACTGAGAAGCTGTGCCTATCCATCGAACATTGCCCCAATCTTTCCTCTCCAACTCGATGTGACCACACCTCGTGATTTCTTTGTCTGGAATAGGGAGAGCTGGCGATTCTCATTATCACTCTAAGCACAGAATAGGTTCTCAAGTATAATTTGGTCGAATCGAAATAGAGACTCATGGTGGATTCTGCGACCCTAACCAAGCCATGCTTGTTTTCGTTTTGGGCGAAGCTTGCTCCTTATCCTTAAATTGGCGTCCCTTTAATTCCCTGTAATATGTTCAATTAGTTTTATTGTTGTATTCTATTGTTAATTAGATGTTGATGTCACAATTGTATATTGGAATTGTAAAACGGTTTAAACTTCAAAAAATAAACCTCTGATGAAAAGAAATTTCAGAGTCAAGGTGTCCGAAACATTGGAGCAAAATGTGGCTGATTCCAGACCAGACCGGACCGACCAACCCACATGTTCTTGTCATCCCTAGATTTAAAATATGTCTGTTGAAATGCTTGCAATAGTTAAGCAAGTTTATGTTTCAAATTTAAGTGTATTATCCTTAAACGGGTTGGGAAATCTGTTTCCAAAGAATTTTTCTTTACCCCAATCCACGCCCCTTTCAGTAAATCATATGAAAATTTGGCAGTATCTATTCAATTTAGGTCAATAATAGCTCAATTAAAATATTGTTGTTTACTACAAAATATCCTTTATGGTTAAAATAGTGATCCCAAAACTAAGATTATCTGCTTACTCACTCTGGGTTAGTACAGTAGACTCTGTTTCTTGAAAACTTATGACTGTAAACAGAGTGTGACTGTGAGGGCAGCTAAATATAATAGTTTTGCATATTTGGGTCTAAATTTTATGTGACTGTAACCAGTAGTGTGACTTTGAGCAGAGTGACTTATAAGTAGAGTAACTATAAGCAGAGTCAACTGTACTTCTCCCGCCTGATGCTAACTTTACATCATAAGCTTTTTAACAAAATCACCTGAAAAATAACTAGCTTTCAGCTGAAAACTGGTGAACACCTGACAAGCATGACTTAATAAGGTCATCTGCAGCAGAAGGAAAACCAAGGTCGGGATAATTGGATTATCTTTTAATGAAAAACTTGCTGCAATTTAGGTCTGCCCTGTACTAGCAATGGAGCTATACTTAATGCATCTTCCTAGCCAGCTTGCCAAAATCAGGTGCAAGCTAGAGCATTCTAAATTTGCCACCGGCACTTTTACAGCTCACAGTAGTAATCAGGTTAGCAAAAAATAACTAAATTTCAGGGTCTGAAACTTTTGGCCTTGGATGCTTCTGGACTTTGGTTTCCTTGACTCTTGATACTGAATCTGGAAGTGAAAAAACCCTTTTGTTAGTTAAAAGATCGAAAATTTCTTTGACCTTGCCACATCCTCCAATTATATGCGTCTCCAATTCAAGAAAGCAAGTCACAAAGAGAAAACTCTACCAAACAGCAAGAAAGCAGTATTGGTACACATCCACTACACACCAGCAGTATCGTAATCACCCCCAAACAAGCCACACTATGTTCCAAATCACTGTAACAAGGCCATGCATAAACATAGAAGCAATGGTTTTGTTTGTCCTATTTCAGAGGTAACATGCCTATTTGTTGCTCACAGAGGCCAGACTGGAAGCTTTGTTAGGTGACCCCAATATATTTTACTGCACACACAAATTCATAACATTTTACATCATTAACCATATAAATTTCTAAATATGAGGATTTTAAGGCTTGCAGCCTCAAGTTTTAAAAGTAACTTGTTTATGCAAGAAACAATTTTTGCAGTGTGGCACAGAGGTGCCCCTATTTGCCTGAATGGGCAAGTTACCTCTGTGGGGCCATGAAATTAAACCATTTCATTTACAACTAGCTCATTTACCTAAAGGCCTTGTCTAAAAGTCACTGCTAAGGATAATGTTCGCAGTTGGCTTTATAGTTGATTGGAACTTGTGGTTTTTTACTTGCAATTTTTTTTTGTGTTTAAGAAAATGGAGTCAGTGTCTGCACCACCTGAAAATAAAGAGAATACTGGAACCAATGTTGCTGGTTTGAAAGAAAAGTGTCCAGCATTCAAGGACAAATGTCCTTTTGATACTCCTGCTGCCAAGGAAATGAAAGAACAGGCAAAGGAGTGTCCTGCCTTCAAAAATGGTTGCACTTTTGAGAATGCTGTCACAATCCAGGATGTCTATGAAAAGTTGTCAAAAATGCCTGATGTTTCTGAAGGATCGCATCATCAGAAGGCAATGATTCAGTTATTAAAGTTGATTCACTCAGTTTCAAGCAACTTGAAAGGAAGCATTGGAGATTGTCCTGCTTTTTCCACTAAACAAGGCTGCCCATTCAAGACTCTAAGCTCAAATGGTAAACCCTTGGTGCTTAATTTGGACATGTTAAAGACTGATTCTGTCATTAATGAGTCAGTGATTGAGGTGAGTTCAGATTCGTATTTAGCCTTGACTTAGGCAGTCATCTGCAATAGATCCATTTTAGTGTTGTTTATGTTAGATTATATGTGAACAACGAGGAAACCTTGTAAAAGAACTAGGTATAATATCATTAAATATAGACTTAAATATTTAAACACATAAAAGTTAAAAAGTTAAACACATTTAAATTTAGACTAACATTTAAAACTAAATGTGCACATTGACAACATTGTTGATAGAGTTTTTAGAATCGGTCTTTTAAATGACTTTTAGACCTCAACTCTCAAAGCTCCAATCTAACAGATGAAGTCATGTTCAAGCATCTTTTTAAGGTTATTTTGCTGTTTGTTTGAATATATCAAGCCAATAAATTACATTTACTTTTAAACTTTTTGCATTTTCCCATTTACTTCAATGTTATCTAAATGATGGTAAAAAGGTTCTAGTTAAAGTATATAAATTATGTTTTTAAAAGGTAAAGGATGAAATAGAAAAGGATTTGCTGAAAGAGACAGGCGAAAAAGGAGGTAGCCTGGAAAAGGAGACTGTTGAAGGAGGAGCCAAGCTTGCTGATCAGTTAAAGAAAGGGACTATGAAAGTACACAGACAAGCAGAGAGGGTTCATTTTGTCAAAGAGTTTATGAAAGGCAGAGTAGAACAGAAAATATATAGAGAAGCAGTTGCTGCCTTATACTTCATATACAGGTACATATATTGAAGAAATGCTTTTCATCCTAAGAAGCCATTTTGTGATTCAAGTTTACCCCAGGTGCTGTTGTTTCTTGATGATAAAAGTTTGGTTTGATGGGTTTTCTGAATCTGGACAAGATCAGAATTAGCTGATTCACAAAGAAGTTTCTGTCCCATTTGTTTTATCTGTGTGATTCCCACAACTAGCCACAAATTTAGAAATTTGAAAGTTTACATGCAGATTTGGTTTCAAGGGTTAAAAAATTATGGCTAGTTCTCAACCAATTTTTTATTGTCATGTCCTTCAGTAAGCTGAGTATGGCAAGGCTGGGTGACATCTTTATTGTTTAGTTGTAATACACATTTTGCTGGTAGGAAATATATATTTTTCAGGCTGTTTTATCTCATATAGTCAATGATAAAAAATTTTAGGTGTTGAAATGCAAAGGCTCTTGAAAAAATTTTTCTGTATGCTATCAATCTTGCCAAAATTTGCATTGGCAAAAATTCAACAAGCAGATAGCACTGTCATTAAAATGTTTTCCAATGCACAATATTTGGGACAATTTCATTTGTTTTTTGGACTTTCAATATACATAATTGGGAAAATTTTGATGGTGGTATTTAACATTTTGCAGTTTCAATTAAAAACATTTTTAGTAATTTTTATATTACATTTTAAGTGCACTGGAGGAGGAGTCAAACAGAAATGATGATCATCCATTATTCAAAAATATTCATTTTCCAAGAGAACTCTCAAGAGTTGAATCACTGGAGAAGGATCTACAATTTTATTTTGGTGACGATTGGAAAGATGAAATTCAAATTTCAGATGCTGCTCAAAAATATGTTGACCACATTCATGCTATCGCCGAAAGGGATCCTGTGCTACTTATATCACATCACTATACAAGGTTTGTGCAAAATCTGTGGTTAGGGCTCAGGAGTTGGGGCCAGGGGCTGCTCTTTGAACATACTAATGTAGAGTAATTTGAATCATTGAGGATCGTTTCATAAAATGTTTTCATTGTGAATAGTCTTGATGTTCCTATGAAATAGTTACCCACCATTCCTTAATTTCGGCATGGGGAAGTCAATTGTTCAATATTCTAGGGCGGTTGGGGTGCAGGTCAAGGGAAAAATCTGAATGGAACTAGAGGGAGGGGCTAGGACTACACCACAAGGAAAAACTTTTAAAGCCACCCTTTTTTTGATTGGCATGGATTGCTTCCTTTATCACAGACTTCTTGGCAACTGCCTTTAGACATTTTATAATATAATTTAGATATTAGATATTGTATTACACTTAATCTGTGATTTAAAAACTGACACAAGTGGAGCTTTAAATATATTGTGTCTAATTGAGACTGAAAGGTGATATGTTGGCTGATATGGGGAATATTTTCCCCATGCACTTCAAGGATGCAGACTAGTCAACCAATGGCTGGAGACAATTTTCAATTATGATTATGCCATACACTTATTTTTTTATGTTCTCTTTGTCTCCAATATCATGTTATATGTACAATTGTGTTATTGACTTGAAATCTGTGTAAAAGACTTTTCGAAATTTGAGATTTTGTTCAAATAAGGATAGTTGTTTAAAATATTGTTTTTTTTGTAAGGATGTTATTGTATGCCAAAAATTATTCATGGAATTCTGTGTTTTTATGAAGGTATCTTGGGGACCTTTCTGGTGGACAAATTTTGAAAAAAATGGCAGTCAAGGCCTACCAGTTGCCAGAAAATGGTGAAGGTGTTCGTTTCTATGAGTTTGAAAATATTCAAGACCATGTTGAGTTCAAGAATAGTTATCGAATGAAGTTAGACAGTCTTAGAGTTGATGAAAAAACTGCAGACAAGTTGGTGGAAGAGGCAAAAGTTTCCTTTGTCCTGAATATTGAATTGTTCAAGGAGTTTGATAGACTAGCAGGCTTTGAAGAGGAAATTGTCCATGAAGATGTAGAGACAGTGCCAGTGGAACAGACTAACCAAACAGCAGTAAAGGAAAGCAGCTCCTCTGGCCACATTGTCAAAGATTCTGATTTTGATTGGCTAAAGATTTTGGCTGCATTTGTTATTGCAATAGCTGCATTAGTGGGCATTGCTGTGAACTTCATGAATCAAAAGTAAGGCAAATCAAGCTGCAAGAGAACCCTATAAATGCAAATTATGATATAGTAGATTTTGTTTTACTTTATAAATTTTAAATGAAATTATTTAATTGTCTTAGCTACAGTCTCCAATTTGTTAGATTAATCTAAATTTTTGAATTATTATTAAATTTTTTATAGATGCAGAAATATTTAACAAAAAACTGCTTTCATTTTTGTTTATATTTGTTGGCAAGATCTCCAAGTTCAACCTTGGCCCAATTAGATTTCCAGAGTTGAATTATTCAAAATGAAACAGTTACAAACTATTTTCTTTCTTTTGCATGCTTATTTCTTATGGTTTGCTACAAGGGCTCCTCTTCACTGCATCAAGCAATTAAAAAACCAGGCAACTCTTGAAAGTTGTGTGTGTTCACGAACTTGGAAACAGAAGTTGCTGAATGCTTGTTGAACTGTACACTGAATGTGAGAACTTTCACAGCTCAGTCTAGCCAGGGCCAATTTAGAAAGCCACTGGGTTACAGGATCATTTTTTACCATCACTTTTTTTTATATTGGACCAACATGCTGAAAAGTGATCGTGTAACATACTAAAATTGTCCATTTTCGCTGCAGAATTTAATGTGCTTATCAGGTATTAATCCTCTATCATTGGAAATTTTACTCTGAACGAAAGTAGTGTAAAATCGAGTTCATCACTTTTTTTCAAAGGCCCTGAAAAATTCTTACAGCACATAATGTTTTGATTAGAAGGGAACGGCTTCAAGTTTCAAGAAAAGAAGAAAAACACATGAATTGTGATCAGAAATATAATTATTAGCAGAAAATGAATATGAATAATGATTACTGATTTGGAGTAATCAAAGAGCAGCACATTACATAAAAATAAGTGCAGTTTAATAAAATACACACTCATTTTTTATAAGAAACAATCCCTGACAGTGAGTACCCCAGTTTCTTGAGGTTCACAAGATTTTAGAACCCAAGACAGAAATAGAGTTGCATATTTTCGTAGATTTTGGTATTGGTTGTAAGGGACACAGAATGGGAGTAATGTAGGGGAAATTTAAGGGTTTGTCACAGGGGGAAGTAGAGAAAAAGTGCATTATTAATGTTGTAATATCTGCTAATATACTTGGGATAGCTCTCAGCGATGAGCTGAAATGCTTGAGACGGTAAGATCAGGTGAGTAAATAATGCTGAATCTGCATATTAAAGAGCCAAATCAAGACTCTTGGGGGATTTCAAACATTTCAAATAAAGATAGTTGTCCATATTTCTATGTTTTCAAAGTTCGTGGCATTCTCTTTAACATATTCAATTCTATCCCTAGGCAAGTCTACTTTCATGCATTTATCAAAATTCAAGTGTTTTCGCATTTTTCAAAATTCAATTGTTTTTTAACCTTTTCTCTTCGAGTACCGAAGTTTCGTTATTTCTTCGGATTTTGTCACTACATCTTTGAAAAGTTCCTCCATTATCTTTCACTTAAAAAGCTGCCTTAAAACCTTTAGTTTTATATTTGATTTTCTCTGATATTTAATTCCTCTTTTCTTTGAAACCAAATTTATACCTTTTTCCTGAAATCAAATTGTCGAAATAAGGCCAAGCAAGGAGAAATTATTTACTTAATTAAGATTCCCATATGATACACCCTTTTTCTATGTCATAGATGGATAACAAAACTGAGCCCCTTTCTCAAGGACAATGAAGATAAGGGTGCTAACACTTGTGGAACTGCAGGGATTTGCGCTTTACTGTTCTGATAGAGCTTGTTCAATATTTAAAGCCTTAGAAATCTTAATCTAAGTTCTTCATACACCCTCTTTCCTCTACCCGGTCTCTAAATTGGATCAAATTAGTAGTTAATTGATAGATGGAAACATTAAAGAACCACTCGCAGTCTTGACAACATAACAGGCCTATCGTGACAAAGGACTGCAGTATGTTAAGTCTCGATGCGATAATTTCAGTACAACGCTGCTTTACACATAACAAAAAAACTAAAATGATAAAGCTATAACAAGATAATCGTGTGTGTTCTGGCAAAGAAACTAAAGCTGGCATATAAAAAAGTCGGTGGACACGGTAAGAGTGAGCCCCGTCGTGTTGAAGCCGCAACCTCCAGCAGCTTTACCTCGCATATCTTTGCTACGACGACCAATCCCTCGACACTTCTTGCTCTTCCAATAACTGGAGTCTTGGCTCAAATGAAGAAAAGAGAGACTGTATTCCATCACGGATGGCACTCTCTGCCATGGGTCCGGGGACTTTCCCCAGAGGTGAATTGAAGGCCAGGCAAAGCCTGCCTCCCGTTCGTTCCTCCGACAGCAAGTCTTTACCGTGTCCACGAGGTTTTCTAGGCACGTGGAGGGCTATATATGAGTATGATGAATTATGGGTAATAATGCATGCCGGGATACTCACAGGAACTCTAGATCTATGTTTCTATAGAACAATACATGGATTGTGTGGGATGGTCAGAAAAGTTAAATTTATAGGTCGAAAGGGAGTCAGTCTGATCTTTTTTTTGACAAGTGTGTGTATTTTTTGAATTTTTATATCTTTTTAAGTTCTTTAGATTTACATTCATTACAAAATATAATCACAGTACGACGTCGCTTCCCAGCCTTTTATGTACGAAGCATGAGTACATGTTTCTTTATATTCTCATTTTCTCAATATGACTATCATTCTTTTCCCGAAGACCTTTTCGTCCTATGGGCGGATGCATCAGTCGGAAAAATCTTCCGAGCGGTGACGTAATACCAACCTTAAAAATCGGTTATCTCCAGCATAGTCAATAGAAATATGTCTCCAGGCAGTACAAGGGCTGGTGCACCTACTAATCCCACTTTTCGACTATCTGGTATTGGGTAATATTCTTTTCTTGGGAATTTTTTTGTGGCAAAATGTTGATAATTTAAGATTTTTTTGTTACTAGATTACGGTATTTATCAAAACCTGACAAACTGAATGACTGCGCCTCTACGGGGATGGTACAATTGCATTTCATGAAACTATATAAAACCCTATAAAGTATTAGAATCCCACGTCAACGGCATGATTTTCAATAATATGCAATTAAGTGCAAGTGTTAGTATAATTTCGATTACTTATTCAAGGCTTGTAAATATATTTTTCCTTATATATGATATTAAGACTGAAAAATGGATATAATCGATCATTTAACTAATCCGATCATTTAACTCGTTCTGAAATGGAAAAGACTCGGCTCATGTAACAGACTTGACTCGGAAATGAAATAAGTCCCTACGATTCAGGCATTCAAAACGAAATTAAAAGCTTCAAACGGAGTACACTCGAGGAAAGCTGATCTGCATCTTTACCCTTGTGAAAAATATTTAACAAAAGGGCGTGTGACAGTATCAAAAGTTAAAATATATAGAGATTTATTTGTTATCAACAACTTGTCAATCTTATGTAAAATGGTATCGCTTTGAATTAGCAAACAACTTGAAACTTTTATATTTTGTAACACCGGAAAATTGTCGGAGGAGCAAAATAAAAAAGTATTTATCGAGGAACAATATAAAATTTAAGCTTGAAGCTCAAAGCAATGAAGATTGACAAAATTGTTAACTGATAAAAGAAAAAACATCAAAGCTGAATTCTGATTGCAGATGAAAAGAGAAAAGTACCATAAATGTGAACATATTGAAACTGGCGACCTTATATAGAGATTAATGGAGATCAATTAAAGAATAAATTGTACATTAATAAATTTATTATTATGTATATTTTTAATCAATGCTAAAAATCAATTGAAGCTTGATACAATTTATATAAGATGGCATCAACTATCTCAATTGCGTTTAAAGGGGAAAAATACAAAAAAATCCATCAACAAAGATTCAAAACGAGTTTCAATTTAAGGAAGAGGTACAACAAATAAGGGAAAAGAAAAACATAATTTAATCAAAATTAAATTGTCTCCAGATGGTCTTTACTTTCCTTGCTGGGTTAGCGTGGAAAATGATAAAGACTAGTACCACAAATAATCATTTTCAAGCAATTTTTGAAAATAATTTCATATTACAAATACTATATATTTCGGGCGTACTATTGTTCAAACTGAAATAAAATAGGGGATTGATTGAAACATCAAGAAGCTTGAGCTATTCAAATGCTATTTTCGTTCTGATGCTAAGGTAATCATTCTAAACTGGTATTGGAGAAAATGGGAACGTTAAAAATTTTAAACGAGATTTCAACAAAAGACGACCCACAATCTTTTACGGACAGAAATGAGGATTACAGCAAATAAAATCATTCAAATAATTATCAACGAACAATAACATCTAATACAAACAACAAATATAATGACAGGGAAATGTTTTGTAGATACGAACCAACGAAGCTTTCTAAATATAAAGTTGGTTACAAATGTCAAAAGAAATATTGACTCCTGGAAAGGCACTTAATAAGTTTTTTCTAAACTAGACTTTTAGACCTAAAGAAATGCTAATTTTGAGGTTGTCTAGACCATGGAAAAAGCTAAAGTATCAATTCCAGCTACAGACGTTTCGAATAGAGCAACAATTTACTTACTTTAGATTTTTCGCAGAAAACATTATTTGCATCGAATAAATATGAAAGCCTGACAAGAAATCATTTCAAACTTGCTCGTCGGATTTCTATCTGTCACAGCAAGGTTTTAAATTTTCTGCTGACGAATAAATCTAGTTATTTGGCAGGACATTTGACTTCATAGGGTCTCGTGCTCAGGGAGAAGGTAATATGCATGATTTCGAAACTAAAACAATATCGTGTGTTTGTTTTAGTTCATTTGTTTTGGCTAATTTTGTTCTTAGCCATAAATATTCAACACAGCCTCTTATCGCTGAAAAGCTGTTTTAAACTGGATTCTGGGATGCAGCTGTTTGAATGAAATCCTAGAAAAATAGCACAGTAACTTCCACAATTTTCTGAAGTTTAGATGGATTTACATCGGTAGACGCAAAGCCATGGTGGAATTTTCTTACAACCTATTGCGTAATCACTGGGTTTACTCATTATGGACTGTTAAAGGGGGATATTCAGTTTCATCATTGAGCTTTAAATTGCCCTCATTGAAACTTGATCCCCTTGCACTTTTAGGTGATTGTCCTTCTAACGAACGAGGTGATGAATGGCTTGCTGTGGCTTGGCCTGACTTTGGAGCGCTGATTGCCATCCCACTCGAGGCTCTCCCTGAATCCTGTTAAAACAAGCAAAACCTTCGCTGTCAGTAACACCCACAAGAATATTTAGCATAGTTTATAATTTGCAAAAGAATACTTAGGCAGGAAAACACTATATAAGCGAACCTGTATTTAGCTCAAGTTAAATCAGGAGCGCAATGTACCAAAATCGCTCTTCTCCTTTGCTGTCTCCCATTTCTGTGGGAGCTGGAACTAAAATTGCTGACACAACAAGAAACCAGAATATTTAATTGGCAACTTCAAAGCTTGCAACTTGTAGACGATCACTGTTTCTGCCTTCATCTAGCAGTCAAGCTTGTTTCTTAACTATAGTCCTTGCCCAAACACTTTACAAGAATACGTTGTCGCCAGTCCATTTTTGTATACACGTTGCTTTGACAGTTTCAAATAACTTAGCTTGAAGATACTTGTTAAACCCACCAATTAATCAATTTTGGGTAGTTTAATGCTATATCAAGCCACAAGAGGGTTATTGCTTGAATCTAGACTTTAACTTTACGCTAGCAATATTAGTCTTGAATTTACAAAATTAGGTTTTTAAGCAAGATCGTCTAGAGCACAGATCATTATAATGTCCAGAGAATAATAAATGCAAAGAACACAGGCATCTGACCAAACTTTCATAAATATAACAGTATCCGTAAATTAGAGACAGCGAAAAAGAAGTTTCATTGGTTATATAGGGTGAAACACTCACAGCAGACCCAGATCTCTCTCGTCCATCCGGAAGCAATCTGAAAGGCAATACGAACAAAAAGACATTACACCGTGTAAACCTTAATGATTCTAATTTCAAAAGGGACCCCGTTTGACCCGTTAATATCCAGGACTGTTTGCAAGGAATGACACAATTGCATTTCTGAACGCTCTTGTTAAAATTTGGGGGTAGCTGTGAAAAATTTGACAGGATGCCATTTGGTGCCTTGGAAACATGGCCTTAGTGGAGCTGAAGTTTTTAAACATTGGTGAAGAACATCGCAGTACACAGATGACAGGATATGACTGAAGATTTATTAAAAAAATTAAAGGCATAATACATAAAGGACTGGCTATCAGAAGAAATCATCAAAAACACTTGATACCATTACTAATAAATTGTATGACGAAACAAAGACAGCAGAACAAGAAAAAGCATGAAAAGATATCTGAAAAAATAGAACTTTTTGAAAAAGCAAACCTGTGTTGTCGTAATAGCGAGCACTCTCCACCTTCGTCAAGATCGAGTTTGTAAACATATAAATACCCATCTTCATTTGCTACCAAGACTCGAGGGAGCTTGTTTATCCTACAAACAAATAATGTGGTCAAAATTGAATGAACATTTCGATATAGATCAACACTAACTTTCCTGCTAAGATGTAAAAGCACATGTTACTTATTAAACGCCCCTTCCTTGAGGTTCTCCTTGAAATTTTTCCCCATTCTCTAAATAGTTTGTAATATTGCCCCCTTTTAACTTCAAAGCTTAAATTTCAGAATTAACTCTTATTTAAATCCAACATTGCTAGTGCATAAAATTAAGCACTGCATATTGCTAACATTGTTCGTACACTTCTTGACAACATAGATCTAGTATTCTTCAAACAGATCAAAACAACAAAGTACTTTCTATTTCAAAATCACTTGAATAAATTTTCTAATTCTCAAATTTCTAGGCGAAAATGCTTTATAAAAGAAGCTGGGGTTTTTTACACCGTTGATTGTTTATGATATGCCCTTTTCAGCTAGAGGTGCAAAAAAGATGGAAGAAGGGGCCTTGACAAAAGCAGATAAACTGTAAATGTGTAATGTTACATGAGACAAAAAAAACTGACTTACGAGGCAAGAGCACAAATGTTTCGATGTCCTAGAAAATAAATTTTACAATTAAGAACTGTAAAAGTGTAGAAATAGTTAAATGTTTGATTTTTAAAATTTCATAAAGAAATTCAGTTATCACAGAAGTTGTGTTTAAATAATCTTAACAGTTCACCGAATCAGCAAGCGGGAACAAAATTCAAGAACTGTTAAGAGAAATTATTGCCAGCAAAATAATTACATCTAAATGTAAATGCAAAGCCGCTATTTGTAATATAAAAGATTGTGAGGCTGCGGTTCTTTTTAGATGTTGAAAGAGAAAGATGGAGAGAGCATTTGCGCTAAAGTTTCTTTACAGCTGCCGAACTCATTAGATCTGATGTCTACAGCTAGCTGCTATAATTGCATACGCATTTGAATACCTCCATGTGCCAGCTTGATGGTAGCAAACGCCCTCTCCTGAGCCAAAACTTCAGTAAATTGTGATGGAAGAAAATTTGACGGCGTCATCAAAGCTTTGCCAAAATAGCCAACCCAGCTTTGGGGTTCATCTGCCGTTCTGAAAATTCCAAAGAAAACAAATACAAGATCTCAAACTAAGGGATTTCGTTAACTTCAACTGGCTTCTAGCAATCACAAATTTCAAAAAAATATCGTGAAGTCCCATTGAAATGGGAAATTGAGCAACGAATTCAAACCAGACACCATCTATAAAAACAATCCCAGCTGAATCTGCTTTCTCATGAGCCCATGAACGTTTCATTTTGCAAATGTAGGTAGGTTTTTATATGAAACCCTGCTCACAGCTCAAATATACAATCAAGTCCACTGGAAACAAATTACTCAAATCTCAATTCGTCGAAGGGGATTGTAAGGCATTCAATGTAAATTATGCTAGAAATACGCACTTCTCTTTTGGAGCTTCCAATTTGAATATGTGAACAGTTTCCGTGTTACTTGAAGCAGCCAAAAAAAACGAATCCATACTAAACGACAGCGAGTATATATGCGCACATCTGAAACAGGAGAATTTAAGTCAAATAGCTTCGAATTTAAGAACAACCAAAATATGTACATTATATCTGTATGAAGTACAAGCAAATATTTAGTTTTGAACGGGGCTGGACAAAAGGACGTGTAGTTTAAGTTAGCAATGAGTGGGCAAAAGACGTGTAGTTTAAGTTAGCAATGAGTGGGCAAAAAGTAGTTTAAGTGGCATTGCTGAAATAAAAAAAAAGAAATATATGAAGCAAGGCGAGCATCAAAATTCGATGATAGCCATTAGGCGATCAATGGAGATGCTATTTCTGCAGATACTAAAGACAACACACCTTTTCACCCCCCTTCGAAATTCGAACAGCTTTTGTCCACTTGGTATCGAAAACACTCGTATGACAGTGCCCTGTAGGCAAATAAAATCATCATTTGGTCAAATGAAGATTGTGATGAGTGGCCAAATATTTTAGATAATCAAAACAAAAGCTCCAATTTTTCTTATTCAGGCTATGAGAAAAGCACATGAAAAAAACAATAAAACAGTAGACAAACAACAATATACAGAAAAATTATTATAATCATTCAGTGAATGAGCCAGATGAAAGGGATAACACGACAAGTGATTTGATCAGCTACGACCGAAACCCTCGGTGAAAAGCAAAATAAACATTCTTTGTGATAAGCTGCTTAAAGATATGGCAAGGTTTCTACTTAGAATTATGATACACGATGGAAGAAATAAAACATTTTCAAATAAGGTAAGGCAAAGGAAATATGACTTACCTTTTCTGAAGCTGAAGCGAGTAAATTTGCCGATGAATTGAAGGTTAGACTAGCAACTGGTGAATCATGAGCTGGGATCATTGTTACTGCTCTCTATAGAAGACAGAGGACTGTTAAATCTATACAGATGAGTAGAGATTAGATGGACAAAATGTTCAATAGTTAATAAAAATCTAGAATATTTTGAATATAGATAAAAGTAAATATACATACATATATATTTATTCTATTTTCATATTTAGAGAAAGACGGTCAAAATGGAAAAGCTAAATAAGGGAAAGCAATTCAGCGAAAATAATTACGCACCAAATTAACAGCATCAAAAATTTGAATTTCTCCAATCTTAAAGAAAAAACACAGTTTCAATTGTTAAGATTATATTGAAACAAAACTGCTGCTTCAAAACTACCATGAAGAGAAAAATATTTGGCCATTGAAAAGTATTCATGCTAGATTTCTGTTCTAAACTATAACAATGCCTGAGGAGTGACAAAAGATCTTCAATCAAAACCAACAAGAGCAACAAATGCTTTTCAAAGAAACAGCAAATTCAACCAAAGTGTTCTAACTAAAGGTGGCATGTTGTATTTATACAAAATAACTAACATTACTAATGATATATGATATATGAATATATTTATAATGTAAGCAATTATGATAAGTGCATTGAGATTCAGATTATCAAAATGTTGCTACACTTGCCTACCTGATTGCTTCCAGGATATGCAAGATAACAGTTATCTGAATTTGATGACAGTGCACACAGGCCTAAAAATTAATATTTGTAACAGTGTATTTACACATATTAATGAAATTCTGTTATAATTGCAAAGAACTAATCAATGAAAAAACAAGAAACCCTAAAACTGACAAGTGTTGATGGTATTTGAATTTCAAAATTGCAACATGATATAACTCAAAAAACCTCCCCTAACTTAGATTATCAACAAAAAACTTAAATTCTCTCTTGAAGTCTTTCAAGATAAGTCTCAGAAACAGGTGAATGAATTCAAGAAGTTTGTTTGGCTTTGAAAAGACATAATAGTTATCTAAATTTTATTTGATTTTTTTATAAAATTCCTCATTTCACAAATCAGGCTCAGTTGAATCCTGTTTAGTCGAGCCTAAAAGAGGTAACAAAATAATTTACTAAGCGTTCAAATATTCAACAATACTGGTCAGGATCCTTTTCCAGATGACAAATGGATTTATATTTTTCTGATCACAGAGATAAATATACTACAAGAAACCCATATAATTTTAGGTCTTTGGTTCTGCATTTTCATGTCATGATTAAATCAGAAATCTTTGTTACTTGACACCAATACAATAACACTTTTTATACTTTATTTTTCAAATTTTTTCTCCTTAAAAATGGCATAGGAGAAATACACTCAATTCTACCATTTAAGGATATTTTGAGGCAAATAGATAATAAAATTACATACCACTTGGATTCGGAGGGGTATCCCTTATTGTATGTAAGACCTAAAATAATCATTGAGACATCACTGGACAGATATAAAAACTATGTGACTTAAGATTGGCAATGTAAAATGTTTTTGTCAAAGAAAAGCAGAAAAGGCAATGTATTTAACCTTATGTGTAGGGCCAGTGTAAAAACTTCTATTGAAGTCTACATGAAAGGTGCCAGCTTGTGACAAAAATTATCTGTTTATCAAACATCAGACAGACAAGTCACTTTGAAGAAGTCAACTTTATGTCCAATACAGAAGATTCAGAATTCAGAGATAAGACATGGGTATTGCAGAAAAAGTGAATTGTATGATTTCCATGATTCTTCACCTTTAAGATTAAAATGGCAGTTTCAAGTGGAAAATGTCACTTTTTCAGACAGATTAATCAATATCTCAATCTGGGCATCCTTTGAGCAAACTAAACATTTTACTTCCCAAAGCAGCTGATAAACTATATGCAAGTGAAACTCTTAAAGACAGGCTTGCCTTTCATGCAGTATCCGAGGATATGATGATATTATTTCCTCAACAAACAGACATACCTTCATATCCCTTATGTTGTGAATATATAGGCTCTCCTCCAAGGTAACCAAAAGCCTCTAAAAGCAAATAAAGAAGCAATTCTAGTGAGCCATGTTTGCTAATGATGTAATAACAAAAGAAAAAAAAGAAAGCAAAGAAAACATGCCAGCATGTACAATTGATGACAACACCTAACACAATGACATTTTATTTGAAACTGTAATCCAAACCTTCAGGAAACTTGATTCTCATGTTTTGGGTTAATTCTTACTTACTATCAACAAATGTAACACATTATGAAGTTACACTGGTATGCTGAAGATCAATAAAAGCCATTGAACCTCTGATATTATCTTCCTATCAACCAAAAGGTCAAAAAAATGAACAAAAACCTGTAATGACCACATCCAAGCTCTTTACTTTTAGTCCAAGCCTGAAAAAATACTGTCAAAAACTAACATCATGATTTACAGCACCATCTTCTACTTTAAAATTTGATAAGCACAATTTGACAAGAATTAAACCTTACCACTCTGTTGAGTTTTACTGCTAAAATCGTGTTTGGGTAGCTGTAATTGCATATCTCTGTTCCTTTCTGTAGGTAAATAAACAACATAGAAAGTTCAATAACTGTATAAAAAGGTAAATAATGGACATGAAATGAGAGCATAATATGCAAAATATGATCAATATTCAAGTAGTGCAGCAAAGCATACACATTAGAATGTGGTTTTCGTGAAGCAAACATCAATAAGAATTACCTTGAAATGACAAATATACATTAGATGCGGTTTTCGTGAAGCAAACATCAATAAGAATTACCTTGAAATGACAAACTTTGAGTTTTCTTGGAGCTGACAAACTAACAATTGCAACAAGACTGCTTGAAAAGAGACGTTCCACAATGCAAACATCATCTTTGTCTAAAGGACAGAGAAATTCACCAGTCAACAACTTTTTATTCAACAGGACTAAAGTTTGTAGTTTTTTAAAGCAGCTCCAATATTAAAAAAGCAGCTACAATCTAAATAACTTTCTTTCGCACAGTTCTGCAAAAGATTATTTAACAATTTCACTGAGAGGCAAGTGATTGCAAGAACAACAAACCTTTTTGTTTGATCGCTCATGCACAAGCAAACTGGGTGAACTAAAGGTTTCATCAATTAATACTTTTCCAATCACCTTCTGTTACCTTATATGACCCTCCTGATGTACATAAGTTTATGAAAAGGGCACATTTAAGTTTGGTATTCAATCTTTCTTGGAGAACATGAAAGATCATTGTATCCATTCATTTTCATTAGATAATACCTACAAATTTTAGTATTTTTGATTATTATTATCATTTTAAGAGCAATCGGTCACGCAAGCGAATACATGTGAGCGTTCAGCCACTTATGTGGGCTATTTGAAAGAAAAATGCCTAAAACAGATTCAGCTGAACATTAGAGTTGCAACAAAGTTGGTATTGATTGAGTTGTTGACATAGTAATGATGTGCATTGCTTTAGCTTTGATCAATTTGATTTAAGCTTGGCATACCTCTGCACTAAAACTGGAAACCCCCAAAATAAACAAATTCTATAAGATAGGCATCCAAAATTGATGGGAAATGCATCAATATAGGTAGGCCAGACCTAAGCTAAAAGTACACTGTAGCCTCGGTGATGCTTTGTCAAAGCCTGTGTTGGTTTTTCTGTTTCAATCAAATTTCTTGCTATATATAGGCATATATTTATGCACTCACACTTTATACTTTACATCAAAGAAAAATGAATATTACCATAGTCGTGTATTTCTTCCAACTTTTCAATTGAACTCAGTGAATAAAGCTTGTACCCAAGTCTGGATCCTACAGCCAGGGATCTGCAGCCATAAAGAACTTTCATTTAAAATCATGAAAAGAAAATTTATTGTACCAAACAATAAAATGTTAAAACAACAAATAGGTAAAAAGGCTACTTCATTCTGCTAATTGTGTAGTTCAATTGATTTTGTGAAAGACCTTTATTCTGTGTGGTGATAGGTTTATTGTTTACTTTCTTTAGCTGGTTCTTTATCTATAAGATTTACAGTCAATGCAAAAAAATGTTCAAAGCAGCCTTATTGCCATGTTTAATTAAATACTCCATCAAACTTGCCTATATTGGCTTTGCAACATTGCATGCTTGCTTTTTATTAGAACTGGAATCTCTTACAACTTGAACATGTATAAAAACTGTCAGTCAACTAGGATTACTAGGAAGCTGGCCCTGTTCTTTGAGCCATGCTGCCGCATACCCATACCTCATCAAACAACGATTTTCCAGATGGTGATTCTTGGCACTTTTTGCTAAGTTTACTGACATATCAAAACGTTTAGCAGCCATTGCCCTTCCTCACAAGTCAATTTTTTTCTCAGCAAAGGTTTCTATCTAACAACCTTTTTCTTTTACATCAATCCAAAATCTATGAACGGACGTTTGATTCATTATGCTTAATTTATTCCAGTAATTAGCCTAGAAAATACCCCTTCTTCAGATATCTTATCCATACTTTGTTGTGGTACTGTTTTTTACTAAGAATTTTACGGTAAAATGTCCTTCTTCTTTTCATCCTATCGGGCTTTCCTTATCTCTTGTTTTCCTTGGTTTTCAAATAACACGAGGAAGGTTTTATTAATGCAATAAACTGAGTATGACATGTGAAAACGTAATGATGACGTTGCCTTCCATTTCCATTAAATAAATTCAACATGTTAGATGCTTAGTTCTTCTTGATAATAATAATCATAAATGCTTTAAATAAAATCTGTGAATTGGCACGTCCAAATAACCATACGGGAAAACAAATTTATAATGGTATATTAAAACAAATTCATAAGAATAACTTACGTTACATCCTGATTAAAGTTAGCAAACAACAAATCTCCCGAAGGATCACCTCCATTTGCTGCTAGATTCATGGAGAACGGTGATGGCCTAATCCCTTACAGATGGCCTGTTTAAAATTGATTCCCTTAAAGACCCTTTGTTTCGATAGGTTCCTTTTCGTGGAAACACCTTCATGCAGCTTCACAACCTGTTTATCTGCGAAATTTTTACTAAATTCCAAATTGCCTTCCAGGCGTCACATTATGGTCTACCTACAATTTTAATCTTTGTTTTTAGGTAGATGATAAATAACATGCGCCCCAGTCAGGTCTTAATTATTCGGAATATAAATTATACCAGCCTCGCTTAAGCTTTTGATTTATGCTCACCACGGCGGGAAATTTACAAGGGCGGGAAATTTAGGAAGGTGGGAGTTTCCATCCAGAGGCTTTTAGCAATGGCTAGCACTACCTGTGATAAAGGTAGGTAGCCAGTAACTGTCTACAAAGACTACTTTTACACCATTGTGCGACTTATGCTCCAAGAGTCTCTTTGTGATCAGTTGCAATATTTTTTATAAGAACCAGCAAATTTCAGTTAAGGCTCATTGTTCTTAATTTTTTCATTAATCTGGGGCTGGATTGTTCTTATAGTTATTCGCTTTAGGGAGGTATTTAGGCCTCATTTGCCTCGAAATTGCATATTATTATAGCTCTAGAGTATCGATATTCAGCGATGTTGTGCCATCGTACCTCTTTATGACTCGCGCTATGATCAGCGAGTGGTTAACCGCTTTAAGGTTAATATTTGGGCATATCGTGCAAAGTTTATTTTCTTTATATTTTAGTTATATTTTATTTTTTATATTACGTATCTCTGCAGTTAAAGAAACAGCAAAGAAAAGTTTTTTCGTCACAACTTCCGTTCAAGAGGCATTGGATATTCTGAAGGCACACGAATTGAAGCATACGCTTCGCTATTCAACGTTTTGTTCAAGGAAAAATTTTGGTGACACGGGTATAAATGAAAATATATTTTATCTTATGTCCTTATTGGTAAATTTGTATTTCTTTCTTTGCTGAGACAGTTTGAAAGAGCTTAAAAGCAGCCTTCCCTGTCATGTAACACATGCAATGGGACCCAGCCATAACGTTGGTTTTTTGTTACTGTTAACTGGAGCTATACGGTCAATTTATGTTTTTAATTTTTTGTACAAACATATTAAACATTTGAAGACATTCAATGAAAAGCAAAAAATTCAACACATTTAACTTTGAAAAAAATTGCTCACCACAAGTAATCTTGAGAAAAATATTCTCTAAATTTATATTTTTAATTAGGTGGCTAACTCACTAGCCCCCGACCCCTACCCCCTTCTCCCTCCCCTCCCCGTTATTTAGCACTACACAGAAATTTCTAATTTCTATTATTTTTAACAGACTTTGCGGAGAAGAAACATCTCACACAATGGGAAGACGAGACCATACCCTTCTCAGGAACGCCATTTTTTGTTATCAACCAGAAGACTTTCGATTGCCAACATGGCAAGGATCGCAATATCAAAATTAAAGAAAAACTCAAGAATGAAAGAAAACAAAGTGCAACGGTATAGTATATATCTATCAATATACCTCAAGGGAGATATAATTATATATTTCTTTCAAGTGACCACGCTTTGACTTTTGGGAAGTCTGATTATCAATTATATCTGACTTGGAAGTGGGGTCATAGCTACCCCCTAGATGCTAGCCCTGTACATTGTTTGCATTCATTCTTTATGAGAGTTTGATTATCATTGATTAAGAATATTCCCCATTTTTAATTTTTAGTTTCAAAAATCAAAACAACCATACTGGCAGGAATTCTAGAAACAAGACTCAAAAAGTATCCTGTGAGAACAAACTGTGTAATACTGTAGATATATTATCTATACTTCACCTTTTTACATTGTGTTACAGCATTCTGTCATCAGCATCGTAGAAGACGCTATGTCCTCAATACACAAGTTGAATGAGACGGGGCTGTTCAAAGTCAAAGAACAACAAAATTCAAATACTTCACACCACAGGAAGTTGCATCATCAAGTTTACATAAAACTAATGGAACTTATCTTTGCCACTCAAATTATATAACTGCTGTTTGTTCTTTTTTTAGCTTGGGGATCATGGATACCGACAAAGAAAAGACCACGTTCAAAACACAAAAAAATTTGATTGCCCTGCACAGGTCAAACTTAAAGAAATTGTAGAGTTCCCATGTATCAAGGTAACTATAAGGTTACTTCATCATAGCGTTGAGATCATCAAAGTATGAATGCAAATCTAGAGTCGAATTTGTATAAAAATAAAGTGCTTTCACATGCCTAAATTTTTTTTGGAATAGTTAATTGCAGATATCTATCACCTGGACTCCCTTTATTTCCTTTATTGCACCAAAGTCTTTCAAAGACTTTGATTGCACATTGATTGTGAAATACTAAGCTATCCATTTTAATTCTGCATTGTTGTCAAAATTGTGAGGGTATGGTGGGTCAGGCGTGGTTGTGTAGCATATCTTATCATGTTTAGATCTATTGTAACTATTTACTTTATTCTATTTTATATTAGCTTTTCTTTTAGTTAAGATGCATGGCCCCTTGTAAACTAGCATTGCTGAACTGGCTACAATGCTTAAATAGTTGAAAATGAAATGAATGAAATTGTTCGACAGATTGACAGTAACACAAAATGGAAACGAGCAACAGCTTCCAAAGAACTGCAAAAGAAAATTGGCGATGGCGCAGTGAAAGATTTCATCAGGAAATTTGTTTTGATTGTGCCAGACCTTGGCGTTCATAAATACCATGCTATTGGAGAAGTATGTTACAGGCAAACTGATCAAAAATTAGATTTAACTTATCAAATTTTATATCAAATCATATCTAATTTAACTGTGATGGTAGCTCATGTTTTTCTGCTCACAACGTCTTAATGTATAGAGTTTTAAAAATTAGACCGATGATTCATCATTAGTTCTTTACGCTACAGCCAATATTAACTACCAACTAGCCTTATTTTTCATTACACAGAATGCCGGAATATCGCAAGAGATTGACCAGTTTCTAGTGAAGAAAATCGATCTGATGGTCAAGGAAGGAGTTTCAAGCGTCAACGAAATGCGACGACAACTTCGTATTACAGTTACTCATGAACTTTTTGGAGGGGTTGACATTGCAACTCTTAGCAATAGACGATATTTCCCACGGCCAAGAACAATCAGGAGTCACATGGTTCATGCAAAACGAAGGCTCAGGCATTCACTGATTGACCAAGAATGCTTACAAGAAAAAGTCAACCAGTGGAAAAAAGAACAGCCAAAGTCCAGTATTCTTTTTAGGCCTAAAGCAGTCCAGAATGATTCAGAGACCATTACAGGGGAAAACAGCGACAAAGACATCGAAGAAGATGATGATAAAGAAATCAAAATTTTTCGTGAAAAAGATGGAGGTTTCTTATTCGTGTACCAGTCGGCTGAGCAAAAACGATTGCTATCACGTTACGGGAATGAAATTGCCTTCCTTGATGCGACGTACCGGACTACTCGATATGCTCTCCCGCTTTTCTTCCTTGTAGTCAAAACCAACGTTGACTATCAAATTGTTGCATCATTTATTACTGAAAATGAAGATACAGACAGCATAACAGAGGCATTAGAAGTAATAAAAAAGTGGAACCCAAACTTTGAGCCATCATACTTTATGACCGATTACAGCCATGAGGAAATAACAGCAATTGAATCAGTCTTTCAAGGTTTGCTCAAGGCTGCGATAAATATTTTTAATTGCATAATCAATTACGACATTATGTTGCCTGAGTATCCTCAGTATGACTGTAACTTTGGGGTAACTCCAGGCCCTATATGACTGTAACTTTGGGATAACTTCAATAGCCTTGCTTTTTTTGAAATTTAACATATGAAAAAAATTTGTTGTGTTTGATTTAAGTAATAAAACAAATTTGCATTTATCTCTTCGATGTATTGGCAAGTATTAAAAAGGATATGGGAAATTTATACATCTTGTTGATAAAATTACTCAAAACAGTTTTATATTCGCAAACTTTGTTCTTCTTGCTAAATCTTTCATCGCCATATGACAAAACTTTTTTGACAGGATGCCGCGTTTTTCTCTGTGACTTTCATCGCGAACAGGCATGGGATCGTTGGCTTTCCAAAGCATCCAATGGTTGTCGTGAAATAAAAACCGATGTGTTGGCCCTTTTAAGAAGAGTTGCGAGGTCCACGTCGGTCACTGCCAGCGATATAGCTATAAAACAATTGAAAGAGTCTCGATTATGGAAAGACAAAGCTAATTCCAAATTGGCTGCATACATCGAACAGTACTGGCTTACTGTCAAAGAGGTACATCACATTTAACTGTTAAAAAGCAAATTTTACCTTATAATGTAACTTAAGTCATCTTGAAAAGTACGATTAAAGTTGGCAGAATTTTCATTTATTTGTGTGTCGATGTTATTCTATGTCTGCGAGACTTATTTTGATTTTTAGTATCTTCGTTTCAAGCCAAGCAAATATCGGAAATAAAATTTGAAGACATTGTTCAATGCAACTACTCTGAATTGACAAATTAGAGTACCAAATTATATATTTGTAAAACATACTTCTCTTTGTAGAGGTGGATTTGGGCGCACAGACAGGACAGACTTCTCGTGAATTGCAACACGAATAATGGAACTGAGCGACAAAACGAGTCATTCAAATACCAGTACCTACAGAAACACAGCCGAGCTTCAGTTACTGGAATGCTAACCATACTAATTGAAGATTTCCTTGTTGATAAGTATGACAGGTGAGGTCTTAATATTAGCTGTTGGATAATGACAAAAACAAACACTGCATCATTGCTATAATACAATACTAATTAAATTTGTTTATTGTGTGTGGTACTTCATCCAAAAAACGTAACGAAAATTAATTTTAACTAACAAAATTAATTTATTTCATTCTGGCACTCAATTTATTCGCTTACTATAATACCGCGGTATACCGTATAATACAATACCACCTGAATAATGAATGATTTTATCAAATTTGATTAGACTAATCAATGAAAATTTGCCACTTTCAGACCCACAAAACAACGCAGAGAAATCACAATCCAATTAAGCATGTTTCCCTAGATTTAGTGCTGAGGGGTGTATTTTTGGTAACCCCAAGTATTTGTTTGTGAGCTTTTATTCTTGTTATTATAGCAATGAATTTTTATTCCTTTCATTTAATTTGACTGTAAATGCCCTTGAAAATTACTTGGAACACTCAACTGCTGAGACCTGTTTTAGATTGATCTTAAAAATCAATCTAATGAAAATGGCTTTTGTAAGTGATAAAAGTTAAAAAAAGCAATAGGAATTCTATTTAATTATAAATAGATTACACTCACTCAGTGCTCACTTTAAATAAAGCTACTTGACTTTCAGATACTGTGAACAAAATCTAAAATACAGTTCAAACTTTAGAAGATATGCCGAGGATATCCCTGATTATCTTGTCAACCGGCCCCGTACAATGGTTAAACACTGCAAAGAAAAGATAACTGCAGCACAAAGCATCAACCTTGAAAACATTCACATCACTAGCTATGGTGGATTTTCTATAAAAGCTAGCAATGCACAGCCAAATGGGTATTATTACCTCTCCTTCGGAGATGAAAATAGTATGCCACATTGTTCCTGCCCTGATTGGAAAATGTCTGCATATCCTTGTAAACATTTCTTTGCAATTTTTGTTAAGTATCCTTCATGGTCCTGGGATGCCTTGCCCTCTGCATACCGTAATTCCCCATTTATGGTCCTTGATGATGTTCTTACTATTGAAAATGAGAGAAATTTTGGAGAGCCATCAATGACCAAACCACTAGAAAATGAGCAGCAGCAGCTTGAGGATATCAGCAATGACCAGAAGCTAGCCAATGAAATTGGTCAGCCAAAAAGACCTTCTGGACCATCAGGACCCACAGTCAGAGAGCTCATTGATGAAATAAGGCGAGCTTCTTTTCTGGTAGAAGATAACAATTCCCTTATTTCAGAACTGCACACAAAGCTCCAGGAGATAAAATCTTTGATTTACAAAAAAGCACCAGCTGAGAAGGGCATTCATCTTCGACAAATTACACCAAAGAAGAAACCTATAAAGAAAATGAAAAGTTTAAATATAAGAAAACGAAAGCTGCCTTTCCAAGGAAGAGTTGGTGAAAAAAAAGAGAGGCTAATGCAGGCTTGTAGCATCACCATAGACAAGTCTGAAGCTTGTTTTAAGGAGGATGTAGTAGAGGAGATTGTAAGCGACAATCAGGAACAACTAGGTTCTACAATTTTTGTAACATCAGTTGACAGAGATACAGCAAGAGACATTTCAACAGATTCTGATGAAATAAATACAAACCTTTTTGTTGGAAGGCAGCAACTGAACAAACATGACTTGAAAAAGATATCAGAGAATGACATGCTTAATGATTCAATAATCCATGTATTCCAAAGTCTGATGCTGAAGGATCATCCTGAGTCAAATGGTTTACAAGACCCTGTTCTTGGGCAAAACTTGTCTTTTAATGTACACCACAACAAACCTTTTGTTCAAATCCTCCATGATGGAAAACTACATTGGATTGCTGTTTCAACATATGGGTGTGAGCCTGGGGAGGTCTTCTACCTTGACAGCTTGTTCTCTGGTAGAATATCAGAAAAAGTTAAGCAGCAATTGTGTGCAATAATGCATTCTTCAATGCCAATTCTGAAGATAAATGTTGTCCCAGTTCAACAGCAATCAAATGGAGTGGACTGTGGTGCATATGCCATTGCCTTTACAAATTACATTCTAAAAGAAAAGAGAAATCCTACTGAAGTGACATTTGACCAACAGACAATGAGGCATAATTTATTAAGGTCCTTAGCAGCAAATAAGATGCTTCCTTTTCCAATAACAACAAAAACTGTAAGAAGATGCTGCACAAAAACAATTTCATTGGAGCTATACTGTTCTTGTAGAATGTGCTGGGTACCATTCGACAACAACATTTTTGGAAGGTAAATAAACTACACATTTACTCACAATTATTCAAACTTAGAAACTTGTCAATTTCCTCCCTAAGATGTGTATTTGAATTGATGAATGCAAAAATAAAATTATGTTGAACTTGCTTTATTAATAAAACAATTCAATACCATTTTCATTTAGCGCTGCATCTTTAGTGAGAATATTACCTTGCAGGTTGCAGTATTTGCTCTTTTGCTCTGTTGAAGAAGCTGTTTTCCAATTTCCAATCTAACTTTTTCCCTAACTATTATGTTTACAGGCAAATGGCTGAGTGCTCTGGGTGCAACAACTGGTTTCACCGTTCATGCGAAAGAATTAAACCAGAATTCTTTGTAACAAAGAGTCTGCAATGGTTTTGCTACCACTGCAAAAGAAACTGAATTTTGATACAATTATAAATCTTCTAAGTATTCTAAGATTCTAATATTCTTCATTTGTTTTAAAGATATATTTCAGAACTGTCCTTTTGCCATCAAAGGCTGTTTTAATGAATGTATTACATCCCAAGCAATCAAGGTGTTCAGGCTAGACAGGGATATCTTTGTACACAGTTGATTGTGTGTAAAATTGCATGGTAATTGACACAGAAAATTTGGATACTATATAGTATATGTAAATGCAAGTCCTTTTGAGTCAGTGAATAGTTCGAATGATTTAACATGCACAACAAAGAATCTTTGGTCGAAATGCAAGGTTTCAGCTGTGGACTCTGGAAGTCTAGCACTAGCCCTACAGCAACCTCCCCTCCTAAATTTTGAGGACGGCACCCTTGGCTAAGATGGATATATTTAAAGCTTCTTTGAGCCTTCAAATCAGTGCAATTTAACTGTGAAATTGTTCTTGAAGAATACACCGCAATAGTTGTTGATAGCTTACCATTATTAATAATGTATCATACTCTCTTACTCACCCTTCTGACCCTTCTGTGCTGTGGCAACACGTTTCAGTCATAATCATTGAGTCATGTATTTAATCAACTATGCAGGCATGCGTTTATGCATCCAGTTCATTGAGTTGAATGCGGAGGAGAAAGTCTTTACCTGACTGGGATGCATGTTATTTATCATCTACCTTGTTTTTATTTTTGAAGCTCTAAGTTGAAAGCGTTTGCAGGTAGGTGAGCATGCGTGCAGCTGCAACTGCTGACCATACATTGCGTCATTACACGAAAGATCACATCCTTGAATTCCACGGAATTTCAAGGGTGCCAGAGGGTGATTTTGGAGTGAATCTACAGACAAAACCATTTTACAGGCTGATTTCCCCTTTTAAACTCATTTTTTGATCCTTTCATCCAGATTCTTTCTCAATTTTTAGGAAAGAAGTTCGCATAAGCAGCGGATTATCAAAAGTCACAAAATTCATTTTGGACATGAACATCTGGAGGAAATAATTCAACAACCAGGATAAAATTGCGTATTGCAAACTTCTTTGAAAAAAAATGTGGCTAGACACTCACACTGAATTTCAAATTGTGGATGTTTCATAAATTTTCCATCTTTTCATGACCCCCAGACATTGACAGGACCCCTCATCAATTTGTAGGTCGAAGAATTCCATTTTTACCGTAGATTTGTATTCTGGTGGAGCGAAATGGCAAATCGTCAAATTTTTCTTCATTTGTGAGGGTGATCGTTAAATATAAGAAATTTTGTAATTGTGTTTTGTAGTTAATTCGAGATTTCGTTCTATACCAACATGATTTGGTTACCTTCAAACAATTTAAGTGGTAAACATAGTCCTATTTTGAACTGTATTCTCGAGAACCAAAGTCTAGAATATTTTGGCGTTACACATAATTGCTAGTTTTGGCAGCTCAGGAATGTCAATCTAGAATACCGTTGCCACGATTATAACAGGTACCAGAATTGATTGCTAGGAAATGCACCAAAAATATTTTTAAAAATTGTTGCTGGTACCGATAAAATTGACTAAATAAGTGAGAATGACATGTTTCATCGTGCTTTCGAACTGTTCCTAAAAGTAGACATATAACTGACGAGTCAAAAGCTGCCAGCGAAAATAAATTTCATTGCACCGACCAAATCTAAATTCGCAACATTAAGAAATCGACTCATTTTTTTATGTATATAAATATCGACTTTGGCATCAAAGTTTTAAAAATCACAAACAGGTGTACTTTAACACGGGAATATTAAACAATGAATGAAATACTGTAAATGAAGCTTGCCTGAGAACAGATTTTTTCTTGTAAAATGTCTTGGGATCTGCGATTCTTTAGCAACATGGGATATATGGCTCAGTGGCGGCCACTTGGGGGGGCGAGGGGGGGCGATCGCCCCCCCCAATACTTTAGAGAACAATGGTCTTTTGTTCTAAAACAATGGGAAATGTGACGTCATCTTATTAAAACAATAGGCTTGCCCCCCTAATATTTGACCAAGTGTCCGCCCCTGATATGGCTCTCCATTTATGTAAGATATGTGCAAAAAAGCAAATGGGCATGGGGAACTTAGGGACTTTTGACTTGATTAGGAAACAACTGGAATCTACAATAGAGTTAAAGCTGGACATAACATGCATTTTGCAAATAGACATCTAATTACTAAAAAACATACACGCTTCACATCGCATTTAATTTACTGGCCTTTAATACTCAGACTGAGCAGCGAAATAATGTAAGAGAGGGTACTAAGCGAAGGAAGGGTGTATGTTTTCATGTACCAGCGAAATGTTCCTGCAATCGAGAAATTTCAGGTCTTTAATACAGATTTAATACTAAGTTCCCTTGCTTTTTCCGAGCTTTCTTCCAGCGCCCTAATACATTTATTGCTTGGTTGCCTGTTCTCGCTTCTCTGCAATTTTCAGCACTTTACCGATTGCAATAGTTTTTCCTACAAAATGACAGAGAAAATGATTTCAACAAACAGCCTTTGTTAAAGAAAATTCAATTCAGAGTTTTAATTGTTATCCAGCCAATGAACAAATTACACCTTAAAAGAAGAAATTGAGAAGTCATCGTTGTCTGCAAAGATCTTCACATATAGTACACCAACCCCAACCCACCCCCTAAAATATCAATTTGGTCTTGATATCAAGAAGATTTTGATTCACAAAGTTTTAGCGCGGCATCGATGCAAGCTTAAATGAAATTTTACTGAGAAAGGAGTCTTTAATTACGTCATCTATCCAGACAAGCATCATGTGAAAAATCTTCTCATTGAGCTGCGAACAGCAATCAGCCAAACATGATTATTTTGTCTTATTTGAACAACTTGGACTTTGAAGAAAAAAGTTGCTTTATCTGTCTAATTGCTTTAGTTAATTTTTCTGTTTATGCATTATAACTTTGTATCTATTTATAAAAGGTTCCTCGTGGTCAAAATTTGTATGTACTGAACTTTATCTGATAAAATGAAAAAACGTGAAGAGTATAAAACACAGCCACCACAAGGGGTGATAATCGTTACCTTCATCTCGCAGTGTAAAGCGTCCCATTGGTTGAAACTTAGCGAAAGTCTCCATGCAGATGACGTTTGAAGTTTTGAGACGAGCTATACAAATTTGATCCTGTTTAACGAATCTGTAAAAACGAACGAAAAATTAGTAAAAACTTTTTTCATAAATTTTTTTAATTACAAAAAAATTTAGTCAAAAAAATATATGAAGTTAGTAAGGATCAATAAACAAAGACAGATAACTAAGAATTATTCATTAGCTTAAAACAGGCTGTTTAATATCAATGTAATATTAATGCAGAAACTCTTCAAAATATTCAAGAATCAGTTTGTGAAAATATTGGTGCCAAATCAATATTCCATACACTAACTGAAATGCTTTAATGTGCTAGTTAGGGAAAGAAACGACGATGGGTTTTTAATAATTTAAACAAAAATGTGCCATGGAGGAACAACAGTTAAAAACTTGCCTTGGTTTGTTTTTGCTTCTGTCGCCCGTTTTTCTGTCTATGGTTGCAAGTAAAGACTATGGAGGAAAAAACAGAATACAGTTCATTAGGAGAACCGTAAGATTAATAATTTACGAGATTCGATATAATTGCATGAGTATCATGAAACCCTATCACTTGGAAGCACACCGCTTAAGATTAATTGAAGGATATCACCAGAATGCGATGTAAAACTCGGTGTTTGTGCAAAAGAGGAAATGTCGTAAGGCCGAATACTAGAGCTTAATATATCATCTTATAGAAATCTTTTCACGTGTCTCTTGCGAACAAACGGCTTTATGATAATCAATGAATGATTATACTTCAATTGAGTTGGCAACCATGATACCCCCCCCCCCCCCTAAATTTTAAGCACTTGCGCTTGCTACTTACAACCAGCGTTACTTCTTCAACAGCATTGTGTAGATGGAGAACGGCCGTATATCCAGGGCATATTATTGACTTGTGTTCTAAAATCACGACCTGAAACGGACAAACAAACACGCTGCAATCAAAAGATTGAAACCTTTGGAAGATGGCACCACTGACCTGCATAAAAATCCTGTATACAATAATTTAAGGGTTGGGTCCAAAATACCATATTTATTATCTCTACGAAAAATTTTGTCGGAGAATGAGGAGAAGGAGAATGAGGTCGATGATCTCTGTCTATTTTGAAAATACAGGAAGAATTGACAAAACAGGAAAGAGTGGGATAGCTGATAATTATTAAAGATCATAATAAATATTAACAGATGAACTCATGATTCATATGCTTCAATAAAGACATGTAAATCTATGCAAATTGAATACCTGTGCCTCGAATGTTCTTCCGATAGTGCAAAGTGCATCTGCTGAGCAAATAACAAACCCTGGAAGTACATCCTAAGAGACAAATTTGCAGTATTAGAAAAATGTCATACCTTATAGCCTTAACTCAATATCGTAAACAAAGGTCTGTTTTCTTGCCACTGAAACCAAAACACCACCCATATACAACACAAAAATCCGATCAGCATTGTATTAATCCGACTAGCATTTACTCTATAACTATTTTTATTGGTATAACATTACATTATTAAAACCATATAAAACAGTGACATTGCACAAATTTCAAACATTATTTTGTTCCTTCGGAAGAATCAATAATTTTTGCAAATAGTGGCAGGCAGGTGATGAGAGAGGAAGGAGGATGCTCCCAATGTTAAGAACGGAGTATTGTCTTCAAACACTGCGTCAAAAGAATTTCAAAATAAGACCCTTGTCACTTACTTATTCATTCAGCCAGTAATAGGACTGGAACCTTATATACTTATTATGCCAATTTTGCAATTTTGCTTTGCATATAATCAGCAGTAAGGCCGAAACAATCGGTCAGTTCATAATCAAAATATGAGACGCGCACTTCCGTCTAGCTCTTCTCTCATGCACTCATAGTCACAGGTTCTATTTAGTCATCCATAAGTCCAAAGTGTAACAGGAATTTCCCTACTTTCCATTATTAACCTCGTATCATTTAATCCCCCTGACGCACTTTGTTACACGATATGTATTTCAGCACGTAGTTAGTTTAGGACTTTTCCTTTTGATGAAATAACAGAAAACATAACGAATTTCGATTTTCTTCGTCAAACTTCTTCGGTAATGATCCCGCTACAAAAGGAGGGGAGGGGTCATACATTGCCAACTTGGAACAACAGGGTATATTTATCTTGTAGACGGCGAGCGATGCCAGGGTTCTGATTTGAACGATTTAACAGGACAATAGCTTCTATAATTGACACAAAGAATACATACATCCTCTTCAACACCGGATAACTTCAATTTGACATTTTCCCCTGCTCGACAAAATGTCTTCTCCATTTCATCTGGGCCAATTATATTCGTTACCTTTACTATGTGCTACAAAAATGAAAGCAGGAACCGTTAGAAAAATTGGTTATATAGATTTTGAGCTACCTATCATGCATTTGTAGGACAGTAAAAGAGTGCTATGTACCATTAATCACGATATACCCGTATAAATAATCAGAAGCATTGAGCGCAAACCGTCATTTGAAACCGGCCTCATAACAACTCGCTATATTTGAAACGTTGTTTACTTCATAATGTGGCTGTTTTGGATAAAATATGAGAGATCATGCAAAGAACGAAACGCATACTGCGTAAGAAAAGCCTATATCATCAAAGGGCTTTTATTAACTTTCTTGACTAAAAACGCAGATAGAGCATTGTATCTGCTATCTGGTGACTGAAAAAGGAAGGAAGAAATTTGCAAGCCAAAATATATGTACTGACACGGAGCAACTGTGTTTTCAAAAGCTGCATAGAGCTTCCGCTTTTTCATGCCACTTGAAGACACTGCACATGTTCACAGTGCGATAAAAAATTAAATATAGAATACAGTAATCAAAGCAAAAGTAATAACAAAAGCGGTACGTATGTGAAAATAAGGTAATTTCTTAATAAATGAATTATGCTTTAGAGAAAGGACAATGAAGCGCTATAGGTTGCAGAATATCAGAAGAAGATGCATTTCTTGTAGAGGAGTGGTAGTACTGGGTAAATAACTGACAAAAAAGCGACAAAATAAGCTCACCTTATTAGGCATCATGGTGAATGCCTCTCCGCGTTTAACTGTCCCTGACTCTACTTTTCCTATTACCATTGTACCCATGTCCTGGCAAAACAGAGTTCAACACTCTCAATACTACATTATACTACATCGAAATGTCAAGGCATAATTCGTCATTAGTGTTGAGGCAAATCATCATCCATCACCTCGGACGAACAACCGAAGAGACGATTAAAAAATTATCTGTGAAAATTGTATCATACCTTATATCTATCACTGACTAAAATTTTAACTGGTCCATCATAAGGTCTTCTAAAGGAAGGTAATTGATCCAAAAGATCTAAAAACGATGGGCCCCTGAAATTGAAAAAAAACAAATCTATTAAGAGCGAATTCTGTCTAAATTAAGGCTAGAAACAGTATAATTGAATGTGTTTATAACGAACAAGCGATCCCCTTTCGTTTTGGTAGGTTCATTACTTATAAGAAGATTGAAAAATCTACGGTGATTCATCCATAAATTTGATTTAAATTTATTGTTATATTTATATATATGTGTATACCTAAAAAGACTGGATTGTCTTTTAATTCAAAAGTCACGCCAATCTCGTCCAAACAAGCACAATTTTCTTGTGAATGGCGAGCTTTAGACAATATTGTACTTGGCGAACTTTACCTTAAAACTTCGCATAACGTAAACATCTAAACAAAGGTATGTAGGATCTTGTGAAAATGAAACAAAAATAAGAACAAAATGATAGGAAAGTATGAAAATGGATACGTACGAATACCAGGGGCAGACTTCGGGATCAACAGGGTCTTTTAAATTTGCACCAGTGAATCCAGAACAGGGCATAAAAGTCATATCTGCAAAATAAGCAAAAACGTGTGTTAATGCACTGAAGGAAAGAGTTGACATGTGTTAATGCACTGAAGGAAAGAGTTGACATGTATTGATGCAATGAAGGAAAGAATTGATTAGTTCTGCTGCCTCTCAAGAACAACAAAATAAGAGGTTTACATACTTTGAAACTCTTAGAGCAGACCCATATCACATATCACAGTGCTTAAAAGGTACAATTACGTTTCCATCAAAAAATAAAGTCTACGTGTACTTTTCCCAAATAAATTAAGATTATTTTGCTAACGATACCTTCAGATAGGCATCTTCAGATTTGACGCGAGGTTATCTTAATGATGTTGTGTGCATAGATGTGCACATAATTTCTATCTTTAACATTCGTCCGTTAAGTTTAGCAAAAAACCTGAACTAAATTACCACTTGGTTTGAACCCAGTCTTCTTTAAAAATGGAACAAGTTTCGATTCAATATCTTTATACCTGCAGCAAAAATGACAAATCAAACGATCACCAACAGCATAAAGTTTAAATGTTACAAGTAAAAACGGAAATCTCAAATGTGTTTAATACATAAGAAAAGTTTCATTAGGATAATAAATCAAAAGTGCAAAAGTCCGAATAACATCCAAGAAACATTTGAACCCAAAACGCTCTCTGAAGACTATAAAACACAATTATTCTTCTTTGTAATATGTCCGTTCCCACTTTGAACAAACTTTAATTTTTCACCAGATTACTTAATTATCATAAATTATTTTTACAATATATTGCTATGCTAGCTTTCATAATTATGCGTAGGTTCTAAATGTCCTGGTTTCACCTCTGATCCCTTCTTAACAAATTTGCAACATTACTTCTTGCTAACATAGATTTTCGAACTATTCTTAGTTCTCGTGCTTCTATGTATACATAAAAAATAATCTTTTATTTCTCCATTTTTCTTCATCTCAGCTTAAAATTCTCCTTATATGCTTTCATCATTCACTCATTTGTTCTCCTCATTCTAAAGTTTTTTTGTAACAAACCCATTTAAGGCGCGGATCTAGACCAGCAGCACGGGTTTCAGAAAACCAGTTAGATTCTCAGATCAATGTTTCACTGTGAATCTTAAATTGGTTTCTAAAATTTCAAATGTAACTATTGCTGCATTTCTCCCCGACTGATTACAATTTCTCTGTTTACATACGGAATGAAGCCCTACACGATAAAAGCAGGGTGTAAAACTATAGAGAAATAGCAGTGAAATGAATAGAATTGTTCAATCTGGTGTGGACAGCCGTCCCTTGATTCTAACAGAGTTTTTTAGCTTCCTAATCCATCTTTTATCCTAAAGTATCCGAGGAATTCAAAATCGCGCTAATCAGTCGCCACATGAAAGTGACAGTTCGCAGTATGCTATCTATGCTCCAGTATTGTAACCAGCGGCTATTATTTTCTGAGAACTTTTGAAAACCTGCGCCTATATGTTTTCCTTACGCAAAGAAAACCGGTGCCTAAGAAGCACATTCAATATCGATATCCATATATTCAAAGCGTGGAGGCATATTTTAACTGAAACAAAATAAAATATGGATGCTAATTAGAATCTCAGGTTTTGTCGGAACAATTCATGGAAATTGGAATCGAAGCTATAAGAAGAGGATAAAAGGGCATGCTAAACAGGATAAAATTTTGGCATTTTAGATAAAGTGAGACAAATAAATCAAATTTGACTAATTTCACGAATTTTCACTACCTGTGCACTTTTAAGTGATATCATCACACAGGGTGCTTACTTTAGGATACGATCAAAAAACCTAAGTGGTAACGGGGAAAGCACCCCGACACCTGGCAAAATTTTGGCTAGATCCACCATAAACGTTGGCGCCTGCATGCTTGAAGCCTTGCATACAGTAAAATTCCGATCGTGCCCGCTGAATTGCAGTCTTATCACGTGAAGGAATTGAAACTGAATTTACCTCTCTTCAGCCCAATCGACGGTAGGGTCATCCATTTTGTTTAAAAGAACGACCAGGTACTTCACGCCTGCAGTCTTTGCCAACATAGCATGTTCTCTGAAATAAATGACCGGAATTATAGCATATAGAAATACTAAAGATCAAAATTTAAGAAGGGTGGCAGACAGTACACATGAAGGCAAACAGACAAATAAAACAGGTATATTTTGGAAGAAAGTCTCAAGCAAATTACGACATCAATTTGGTTCGTTAAATATGGGCAGTAATTAAAGTTATTGAATAAGCCGACAAAATAAAACGGCAAAAACAGAAAGATTTTGTTGTCGAGTAACACAATTAAATTGTTGCTTGATAAATTTTCTACGAAAAGTAATCGTTTGATAGAGTACAAAAAAACCTTTTTAGTGACAATCGAACTGTCGAACGAGATAACTGATGTTTCCTTGCATCAACTACGATATCTGAAAAGGCATGATAAACAAAATACCTGGTCTGTCCTCCTCTTTCAAATCCTGTTTCAAATTCACCCTTTCTGGCTGAAATGACCTGAAAAAGCAAACGTGAATTCACCATCTACACCTGGCTCTTTAAAATCTTTCATTGCAATTGTTTTAAAAAAGAATTCATTTAAGAAAAGTTTGACAAGATCAGCAATTACACCTCTGGTGCACAAAATTTTAAATATATTTCCGTTCAAACTAACTATACTATGCTTAACTTTCTATTTCCTGCAATTATCGTAGTTGTCTGCAAAAAATTAACAAAACTGCCAAAGTACATCGTTCTAGTGTTCAAAATATTCACCCTGATTTCAAAAACGAGATAATTCCTTCAATAGAACTTATAGAATGCATTACAAACGTACCAAGACCCCAAGATCTGCTTGGGCTGCACCTCCAATCATATTTGGTACAAAACTCTTATGGCCAGGTGCATCCAGCAAAATAAAGTGCTTGTTTGGTGTGTCAAAAGAGGCTCTGCCAACTTCGACAGTCTTTCCCTGAAGAGAAGTCACAATAAATCTCACATCACAATTATTTTGGTTTTAAAACAGGTCATGCAAAATTAACGCACTATAAATATAAAATAACGCAATATAAAATGTTTGTCATTATAAATAAATGAAAATAAAATGCTAAAAAATGGATACCAGAAGTACAAACCTTTTGTCTTTCTTCTGTGTTTGTATCGAGTGCCCACGACAAATACCTAGCAAAGAAATAAATTTCCAAGAAGTTCATTTGATAACTGAGAATTTGCTTTTTTTCGAGCTTAAAGGCAATCGACAGATAGTAAAGTGGCTAAAGTCACCTGACAATCGACAATTGGCCAATCAATAAGCGTAATCCCACTCAGGCACTTATTGATTGGCCAACAGTTTATTGACAGATGGCTAAAGTCACTTAGATATTTGTCAATCGCCTTTAACTAAAGTCGGACCAAGTTTGGATAATTAGGGACAAAAACTGAATATCTTTATACCATCAGATGCAACTTATGAACCTCTCAAGTGAAGCACAAAATAAGGTAATTTCTCAGCTTCTCTTACCAGGTCTCCCTGTTTTTTTCTTTTGCTTCTCTTTCATATTTTTCTAAAGTTCTTTTGTCGACTTGGCCAGTTAGATACCTGAAATAAATAAGAATGAAGCATAACAACTAAGGCAAGCATAACATTTCGACACTCCAATAACAGTTCAGCCAAACAAAAAAGAGTTTGCTTTGCAGATCAAGTCTACCTTTGGAGATGAGTGTTTGCTTTGTTTGTGAAGAATATTCAACTGTGAAGAACGTGCCATCAAAATCACACATTTGTCTTGGAGAGAGGCACAGTTACTTGTATTATAAATAACCCATCACACAGCTTAATGTATGAGTTTCGACTCTGTTTTAGAGATGTATCAGGCCTTGAATGACCTATAAATAAAGGAAACTATAGAAAAATAGTTTTACAGATTAAGGAACATTATCTGCTGCAAAACCATCTATTTAAAATACAAAACACTTACAGTAAATGGCCACCTATTGTTGACTTGCCAGCATCTAACGCAAAAGTCAAGAGAATATTCAGTTAAACCTTCAATAGAGGAATTTATGCAATAAAAAAATATTTGTATGTAGTTCTGAAAAAAGTAGGGATGTACCGGATATCCGGTAGGCCGGATAATCCGGCGCCGGATCGCTGATTTTTTGAAAATCCGGTTCTGGCCGGATTTGTTTCCCAAATCCGGCCAGTTGCCGGATTTTCCAGAACTTTAATCATAACTAAGATAATTTGGAAAACCAAGTCAGACTCCCTTCATACAGTGATTAAAAATGGATTTTCCAGAACTAAACAATATCGACGATAAAACAAGCGCCTTGAAAACAGATTTGAAATGAAAGTGCTCGTCATCACGAAACAGGAAGACTGGATGATATAATTCACACATTTGGTCCAGGGTTGCCAGATCGGCTTTCTAGGCCAAATTTTTCATTTTTGGTTTTTAGATTTAGATTGCCTGGAAAAATTGTTTTTTGCTTACGACTTAAATTTGACCTTGCCTTTTCAGCAGACGTCCAAAATTAATAAGTAATTACTACATTCATAGAATAATTAGTAGTTAACTACAAAGTGTTAACCAAATTTCAAATTTTATCACCTAACCTAAATATTATCTTGATATTAGCAAAGGGTTTTGGAAAAAAGTAAGATTCTTATCTAAGTTAGGAAATTATCTAACGGGCACAAACGTAGAAATATAATCAGTGCCTGCTCGATGGATTCTTGAGAGAGTTTTTGATTTGGCCTTTTTATGAGCATTTTGTCTTAAATTGCTCGCCAGCCTAGCCTTCGTTTGTAAATTCAATCTGGCAACCCTGAATAGGTCTCTTTGATCTTCTCGCTTTACATTTTTTCGCAAAGTGGCTTAAAACTTTTTATTACTGAAAATTCTATAAATGGTCAGATTATCCGGTAGAATCCGGCCGGATATTCCACGAAAAAATCCGGCCAATCCGGTTCCGGGCGGATTCTGAAAATCCTGATCCGGTACACCCCTAGAAAAAAGCAGACATTTTGAAACATGTTTCTAAACCATTTTGTCAGACACTCTTCATAGTATAAAATGTCAGAACATAGATTGAAAACTCTACGCTAAAAAAAATATACACCCAATTGGGGATTGAAAAAGGCCAATGAGAAACGCGACCACATGACTGTTGAGGTTGCAAAATAAGTGCCACTAGCCTATTGTTTACAGTACAAAAAAGGCCCTTTCATCAATTCAAAATAAACCCGTCCTGTTCTATACACCAAAAGCATGGACCACTCTGTCTATGCAACATTGAGCACTTTCTACAAGACCCCTAAACAGCAATTTCAAATTGTGATACATAAATAAATATATTTCATAAAGGCAGGTTTATCAAATTTCTCTCAGAGATGCGAGTCTATCAATCATTTTTTAGCGTCTTAGTTTAACCAAAGCTGTTTCTCATTGTTTAAAGGTTTATGTGTTTCTGACAGCAAATTGCAGTGTTAGTCAAGGACATGTATAACACAGTTTTTTTTTCTTTTGAATTATCTTTCTTTGAAATTCTCTTTCCTCATCAACTGGGCCTCCCTTGTAAGACTTATTTTTTCAAAAGTGTTCAGAAATAGCTGACAGAAAGTTGCAATAGTTAAAACCAAGTCAAAAAATATCAATAAACAAGTTATGCAGAGGAAATTGTTAGAAAATTATGCCATATTTTTGATGTGATTATTTCTTAAGTTAAAATAAATAAAAAGTAAACAAGTTAAACCTCTCAGTAGCTCTGATAAAACTTTGTATACTTGCACCATACAAATTCATTTTTGGAAAGGTAGGCCTGTATACATATCAGTATACATTAAACAGTTTATTAAACTGTTGTTTGTCAGTTTTAACGGGGCAGATAGCAGTATTTCATGTTTTTTTACAAACTGCTTTGCCATGGTTTTGTGTCCTGCTACCAGACCTTTTTCATTCTTTACACACAATTCAATTCAATTCATGAAGATTCAAGCTTACTTACAGTATACAAATCTATCAATATAATTATACAAAGAACAAGCTTTGGAGACACCAGAAGGCAATGGAGCCGAGTCCCATTTCCTCAACGAAACAGACAAAAAAATAAATCCTAATTATAAAGGACAAGTATATAAATCACATACCAACATGTCCAATAAATACAACATTTACATGGTCTTTAGAATCATCAAATAGTTCATCAATGGCATCTTTTTTAGCGTCAGATTTTGAAGCAGCATCATCAACTGGACTTTCCCTGCTTGGGGATTCATCATCTTTTTCTAAATATAAATCATTCATCATTAAGACTTTGGTGGTTAAAGGCAAGTGACTCCTTGCTTGACAGATAACAAATACTTAAAAACTCATAAGAAATTTATTATGAACTTGCTATGCTAACATGCAATGGTCTCAGAATGCAAGTAATTAAGCAAGGTAATGACAAAGATGTATTCTAATAGCCAGACAGTCTTCTCGTTTCCTCACTATTGTATTAATTTTCAAATACGCCGATAGATTCTGACAGTTACCAAAAGGTAGAATCTAACAGAAGCCATGTGTCTACCTTCTGAAGTCTGTGATTCTTCAGTATCATCAAAGTCATCAGTTTTTGGTTCATCGTCTTTCACTTCTACTTCCTCTGCAGTGTCTTCCCAGTCTGCATTCTCCTCCACTTTAAAAAATAAAGTATGAAATTTAGTTCATACAATGTCCACTACAATGTTCAAAATGGCCAGGTTGTCACTGCTTGGACCTTACCAAAGTTGCTTTGAAGGAGCTCTTTCTTATCGCAACATCTGGGCGGAACCATGTTTACTTCCAAAAACTTGAAAATATATATCGTAAGCAAATCTGAAAGGCTGACAGTCAGTAAAATTCTTTCACAAGGGTGCTGTCAGTTGCAATAACTACTCTTGGTTGGAATCAATCCAGCTGATAGCACAAAAAAAACAATCATTTCACTGAGCCAAACAACTCATCACTTTGTAGTTTTGTATGTTCTCAATCTTATGACACAAAATGGAAAAAAGCTCTAGCTACCAGAATACAGGCCTTGCTCTAAGCAAAATGAAGGTGCTCAATAAAATTAGCTCCTAAGAAACACAAGACACTCTATTTCACACCTCTAAATAGAATTGCTGAGTTTAGTCATTCATCGTATCTGAATTGTAAAGTAGTTATTTTTCAGAGTGAAGTTATGTAATACACGTCTGTATTGTAATTGAATAGGTCTATAGAAAAAGAATTGCCTTGATTGCAACATTCGAAGAAATGTTGCAAAAATTAGAAGCATAAGTAGAAAGTTGCTCCTTTTTGGCATTGATAATAGGGATTGAACTCCCATAGCACCACACCCCTGGGCCCTGCGTATGATATTTTGTGTGGTATTAATTTGCATACAGCATCACGTGAACAGGTCTCGGACAATATCTACACACATACATTTTCAAACGATGGAATTTTCAAATTAGTGAAAAATTAGTGAAAACCGATCTTAACTTTAGTGTCCAAACAGAAACAATGCACTTTTTTCATAGCCACTTTTGGATTGTACCTGTATTTTCACAGTAGCTCAATTTTTCTTTGCATAGTCATTGTAATGACCCATGGGTAATCAAATTTAAACTAGGGTATGGTAATAAGACATACCTTTTCCCTTTGTAAATGTACCAGTAAAACTAAAAACTGGCTTATTATTTTGGTTTGTTTACCTATGCAAGAGGAAATTGCCTTGGAATGGAAACCTATACCCGTTTTACAAGGTTTTTACCTTCAGTGATACCTGAAAGATAAGCCTGAAGCTTGAAAGGGAGAAATTTTTGTCTGCAGCCCTATATGATAAATTCTTAACATTCTCTTATAATATGCTACAATTTTTACATATTGTTTGACATTGCCACACCCTTTAGTGGGTGGGATCATATTCCTGCACCGTTACGCTGACTGTGGCTATTTTATTATCCATTGCACGAAGGCCGTTAGTAACAAATTTCACCTTAAAATAATGTTATGCTTATTGTATACCTGTAACGTATCGATAAAGCTGCAAATACTGTTAGTATTAGGTCCAAAAAGAGACTACCTGTGAAACCAGTGCTACCTGTCAAACACCATAAGTTACAAAATGAAATACAACAATAATGCCTTTTCAGAATTTTTCAGATTTACAGTTCCTGCTGCTGTTTGTATAAATAGAACCTTTTATGTCTGTCAGACATGCAATTTGACATCATTTTTGGATTCCTCATAGCTGAATTTAGAAATAAAAGTGAAATATGATATGTTCTGGTTTAATCTACTTCTCTGGTATCAAAGTACATTTTGTAGTCTTCCTCTGTATGAAGATTCAAAATGGCAGATTCTTAGGGTGTTACCTCAGAACTCTTGAAAATTCATTTGAGGATATCTCAAAAAGTACTAAAGATAACAATCTGAAATTTTCAGAATGTTTTATTCCCATTAGTTAGTACATAATATGTGGAAAGTAGAAAAATCTGAGATGGTGGGTGACATTTTCATGTTTTTCTCAGTGATTTGACATGGAAGTAAGATCAAAAGTCTAGTTAGATCAAAACTTCAGAACTCCACTTTACTTTGCTTTAACCCTGAGAAGCAACATATCCTGTATCTGAAACACAAACCTTTGCTATTATTTTCAGTTTTTTCCTCTTCACCTCCTATTGCTTCTTTTTCTTGCTGAGGTTGTGTTGAAGCTGCATCTGTTGCAAAAGATAGAAAATTTAGCCTATTGATTCATCATGAAAATAGATCAAAAAAACTAGACACAACATTTTTTACATACACCTTTTTCACACAATACACTGTTGCCAGCTATTAGTTTTCTTTTTTGATGTTCTTTCGTCCCCTGTAAAGGGTGAAAAGCAAAAGTTATGCTGGAGATCTCCAGCATGGACTTTTCCTCTGGGCCGGCATACTAGTATGAGATTTGAAACATTTAGATTCAATCCTTTCTTTAAATGAGGGAGCACTGGCTATTGCATCAAAACTCATACAAAAGTGGCCAGGAGCATTTGATCACATGCACAAAACAACAATTGGGAGGAATAAATATTTTATCATCAAACATTGGACAATACAAGGCCAGAATATCAAAACACAGGAAACACAAGTAAGCTGAATGTACCAAATATCAATGGAAAATTGAACTGGTATTAACATTGGGAAGATCATCTGGTCAATTAAAGGTTTGGTACAACACTCTGTGATCATCTTGAAAAAACATCTACTTTCCTGACAAACATAAAATTTACAAAGGAAGCATATTTATATTGGGTATTTAATCTTTGCATTAAAGGGTGCATTTAAAGATCATTGGAACAGTTTATTTGTGCATTGTATTATATCGTTTTTATAAACATTACTGACGCTTTTAGCATTGTTGATTTTTATCAGTGACATTGTTTGTCTTTGCCTAGAGTGATCACTGGTGCTGGGCCACTCATGTCGGCTTTTCTAATGAAAAGGAAAATGGAGGAAAAAGAAGGTCTAAGGCCAAATCAAAGTCATTGAAAGCTTTGCAACAAAAAGGGTCAAAATATGGATTGATTGTGACTTAAACATTGAGTTGAAATGCTGTGGCTTGGTGCCAAGTGGTGGAATAACTTCCCCTGCGAAAACCCAACAATGGTTCATGGCCCAACCATAGTTTGCAATGGTCATACCATGATTGAGCCGTGATCCTGACAAGTGCTGACCATGGTTAGTGACCATGGTTGAGCAATGAAAGAAAATTTTGCCTGCAATGATTTTAATTTGTTGGTTCTTGGAAAATATGAATCCTCGACTGTCTAAAAAGTTATCCTCAATAGAAGTATAAGAAAAAGTAACAGTTTTCTGCATTTTTTATCATTTTCCATGTAACCATGTCTGACCATGTCAAGACCATGGTCCATGTCTCAAGACACAACTCAGTCAATAGGGGGGGTTTATGTGCTTGGTTTCTACTAGTTTTGTTTTGTGGACACATTTCCTTGTTTTTAAGCCATAGAAAAATTATTTTCTTTGAATTTGAGATGTTTTATGAAAATTTGGCCTGACCATTGCTGACCCATTGCTGAACCATGGTCCATTTATTAATTGACATTTCTTAAAATGGCAAAGAATTTTTAAATTAAATTCAAATTCAAAAGCAAGATCAAGCCCCCTGCCCCCTTCAAAGTCAAGAAAATTTCTAACAAGAAAAATGGGCTCCACCCTCTATGTCCCTACAAGAAAACTCCACTGTTTAAAATCCTGGTATTTTCTCCCTTTCCTACTAAGAAATTTTTGCCTATAAGTAATTTTTTGCATGGTTATATGTTTCATTATTAAGCAGGCACAAGGGAGCTTTGAGACGGTGGGGGTTTTAAAGAAGTGGGGGCTAAAACCTTTTAAAAAGAGGCTTTCCTGGTAGTTTATTACTTAATATTTGACATTTTAGCAGCCCCCCTACCCCCCCTGCTATGCGGTGCCTGTTAAGTTGGGCATTCCAAGATTAGCTTTGTTTTATAGACATATTTCCTTGCTTTCAAATAAGAAAACATTTATTTCCTTTGGATTTAAATTTTCTTATGCATGCAATCATGGTTTGACCATCGCTAAACCATGGCTCAACCAACAAGCAACTGCCATTTTTGAGCGCGCTTTTTCAAACACAAGATGGCCGTTTGGATTGCAGTTCGATCATCTATCAGTGCGTTCACCTTTGCGATTCACGTACGTAGCAAAACAAGATAATTTTTTAAAAGGTTTGTGCAGTTGGGAAGTTTGTTGATTATGTTGAAAGCTTCATCGTAAAGAACTGCTAGGTAACATAGCGTATTTAATTTTAGGCCCGGACAGATCTAGAGGACTTGGTACCCTTTTTCTGACCGAAAGTATTGTTGCGAGTGATGCAAGATTTCGAAATAAGAACGTTTTTGTGGAGCAATTTGATGATGGATAACGTTTGATCCCGATAAAAAGATATATACGGATAGATCGCGTTTACACTGTGCCGTACAACTTTTGATAAGGAAAGACTTCCCGTTCATTACGAGTACGGATAAACCAGACTTTTCGCAACGAACGGCTTCAGTTTAAACTCTCCTCGCACTAGAGTTTATTTAAAGAATTTTGAAAATTTAGAAAATTGGACTTTATGGGCGTTGTCTTTCTAAATTTTTAACGAACACGCCCCTTCTACTATCAAGGTATACACCAATTTAACTTAAACTTTTTTTGATAAAATTCTTTAAATGTTTTTGTACAGAATCTTTTATTCCAGATTTGCATTAAGAGCAAAAATTTTAGTCTACTTGAAAATTTTCATAATGTTTTTGGTCACGACATTGATTTTATTATGACATTAGAAAACTTTCATTAGGAATTTGACCGTGATTGATAGCTAAGTAAAGTTTCACCTGGAACGATTATTGTTGTGAAACCCCTTACAAGTTCATACTTCAATTCTCTGTAAAAATTAGAACACAAGCAGAAACAATATGAAAGATTGTATCCGGAAGTGACTTGCGAGCTTTATGCACTTCAGTGCACGATTATGATGCCCTGGAAGCAGGCCTGGCTTCAGGAAATTTTTTTAGGAGGGTGCAAGTGTTTATCTACCGAATACATTTTGGCATTATTACACTCCGTTAATGCGACTGGTGCATTGTGCTTCGCAGTTTCAGAGATGGGACCACAAAACTGAGCCTGGGGGGTTAAGAATCAAGTTCAGTGACATAGTAGGACCCGCCATGGATGGGTCCGACGCGAAAGAAATTTTTTGAAATTAAACCTTCTAGGATGGCTAGAAATGCATCTCCCAGACTAAAATTGTCTCTGGTTTTGTCAAATATCTTGGGATTAACCTTCTTCTGTGATGTTCCTGAAAATTCTCTTCTGGATCAACGGAAAAACTGAACTCCAAAACTTTTTATTATCTTTGAATGTTTTTAAAAATTACATGAAGTACAATTTTCTAAAAAAAAGTTTATCTACCCGTCAAAATCCCAATTTTACTGACTAAAATCCCAATTTTACCAACTAAAACACAAATGCCTATTCTTGTGTTACACCCCCCCCCCACACACCCCCATGGAACCGGCCCTGCCTGGAAGCCCCATTCTACAGTCTCGTGAAAACAAGTTCAAGAACTGCATGTTAAGCCTGAACTTTACCAAACTTTACGCACACTTTTCATCCTAGATAAGATGCCTTTTTAAAAATTGATCAGGAACCTTGAAGTGCTCTAATCAGCAACAAATAAAAACATGATATCAAGCAAAGTGAGCTTTCTTGTGAAAAGCAAAGCTTTGCATTAAAATTTACTGTGTCAGAACTTTGATGAGCTCAAGGAGAGATTCTCTTTGAGAGTGCTTACAGCAGGAGTTCATGAATTGCAGAAGCAAGAGGAATTTAAAAGAAGAAAAAAAGCAAAAGTGAACCATGGCTTGATCATGGTTGGTTGATATGTTTGAACCATGGTTTGATCATGGTCAAGAGACATGGTTGAATCATGGTTTGATCATGGCCAAGAAACATGGTTGAATCATGGTTCGATCATGGTCAAGTGACATGGTTGAGCCATGTTTGAACCATGTTTCAAACCAAGTTTACAAGCATTATGCAATTCCTGTAAAAATTCAAATTTGTATTTTCAAAAATTCATATGTTTATATGGTTGAACCCTGATTTGACCTAAATTGGTAAAATGATTAGATGACATGGTCTAACCATGGAAAACATGGTTGAAACACATTTGTTGAGCATGGTTAAGCCATGGTTCAACCATGAACAGGTAACCATGTATTGGCTATGGTCAGACGACCATGGCTTAAACTGAAATCATAAAAAGAACTGAACATTTCAAAAATCTTTTAAAATAATCCTGAACATTTCAGCTTTCAATATTGCTCAAGCAAATTTATGAAAAAGTAAAAATTTTGAAATTTTAGACATGGTTCAGCAATGGTTGAGCAATGGGTCCCATTGGAAATTCGTGGTTCTACCATGGTTAACCATGGTCATTTCGTTGCTCAACCATGGTGGGAAAGGGTTGAAAACCATGGTGTAACCATGGTGTCACCATTGTCAGCCATGGTTGAGCAATGGTTTTTTCGCAGGGGTGCCTGCAAAAAATTAAAAATTCCCTGCCAATTTTTTATTAAAAGAGCATCTCAGAAATAACTTCTAAAAATTGCTACAACAAATCTGAAGACCATCAGCTGACTAACTTTTTTCTCGTAATATTGTTGCTTCATTGCAATAAAATTGCCCAACACAGGCTTCAAATTCAATCAATTGCAGCCCCAGACTCTATATGCTCTCTAGTATTTCTACTGAGGGAGCTCCTCCAATAAATCATTCAATAGATACGAACTTGTTCATCTTCCTTGCCTTGTTATAATTAGCATCTCTGCTTCATAACTGTATCCGTATTTACTTCACGAGTAAAGAACGATTCTTATTATGTCTAGAGCAGGGCCCCTGGGCTCGATTAACCCAAATGGTCTGCATTGTACCTGAATAAAATCTTTGTTCGTGAAAAACAACTTCGTAATTTTTCATTTCTTATAATATTAGTAGCTTCAGATCTGTAAATTATGTTATTGAACAAAAATAAATTTTAATTGATAAGAAAAGAGAGGTAGTCCACAAAGCAAACAATTGGAAAAATTGCAAAACCCGGGAAATACGGATCAAACTATATGACTGCTTAAGTTTAATAAAATCTATAGGTATGGGTACCTGCATCCTTTTGTGGATCCGGCTGGCTCTTCAAAAAGGAAGGTACAAACTCCATTGCATTTACGTTCGGAACGAAAGGTTTGGCCGAAACATTTAGGCCACTGAGCGATTTTCCAATTCCGTCATCACTCCCACTCTGGTCAATAGATTCCCAGCTATCTGGTGCTTGGTTTTGATCGCCCATGCTTGAATTGTTCCTCAAGAAACCAAGGTTAGTTTATAACGAACAAATGATGGAATTTTACCCAATTTTTGTTCAGGCCTACCTTTCCGAAAATGAATTTATATGGTGCAACAATTTTCGGAAGCCCTCGTGGTATGCCTCGTTTTCAGGTTAGGAAGAAGGAACAAGAAAGAGCTCTTGACTGCTCTTGACCAAAGTCTTTGCTGTGACGCCTACCTTGGTTCCAACTTTCTTTGACATCTTCTGTAATTTGTTCTCTGTTCATAATTTTACGAACATAACCAAACTAACATCGATCAGTTACCAGAATTTAAATCTTTCATTAGCCATATTTCCCCCGATCTTTTAAATATTTGACTGATTTTTCATATTCGGGAGTATTTCATTGCAATTTTTGTGACGTCATCATACTTGAAAACTCCATTACTAGGTGACGGTTTTCTTAACTGTTAATGTCAGTTACCTTGGCATTTTATTTTGCGTATTCGTGTCTCTCCAATTTTCCTATGGCCCTTTGACTTTTTCCGTCATTTAAGCTCTACAGCCCAAATATCTTTGACAGTGTTTATAAATGCTGATGAACTCCATAGACTATAGCTATGGGTAGTACAGCATAACACCAATAAATGCATTGACTGGTTTAATTCAAATCATATGACAGCCAATCCATCTAAATTCCAGTCACTAATTGAGGGTAATAATGACAATCACATTAAAGAATTTTCTATAAATTATGGCTTCAAAATAAATGTAAGTAGCGAAGTAACTCTACTTGGAATTCAAATCGATGAACAAATAAAATTTGAATCGCATATTGATAAAGTCTGCAAAAAAGCTGTCATTCAGCTAAACGCAGTCAAAAGACTAGCTCGATTCATGGGCAGCAAAGAAGGGGGGTGGGGGGTAATTGTGAATTCATTTATTCTTTGTCACTTCAATTACTGCCCCCTCATCTGGTTATTCTGCAGTAATGCAAGCCAAAAGAAGCTCGAGAAAGTAAAGGAGAGGGCCCTACGATTAGCCCTCTCAGACTACACTTCGTCGTATTCTAAACTTCTAGTCAAGGCTAAATCTACTACAATTCATATTCACTCCCTTCGGCTGCTAGCACTAGAAGTTTACAAAACTTTGCACAACTTGAATCCAGCCTTCATGAAAGACTACTTTCTCCCAAAACCCAATAGCTATAATCAGTGGCGGCTCCAGCCTGGGATAAGTGGGGGGGGGACAAAAAGTGTGTAAGGGACAATGCCCTTTTGAACTACGCCCTTTTCCCATGTTTGAAACTCTTTCTTCCGGAGGAAACGCCTGTTGTCTCCCAGGAAATGTCATTTACATGTGACGATCTAGATAACGTACATACCCCCCCCCCTGAAGTTTTCTCATCGGGTTTGCAAGAATCTCAAGGACCAACTTTCTGGAAATGTGGGGGAGGGGACTAGTCCTCCCCCATTCCCCTCCGGGGCTCCGCCACTGGCTACAATCTTCGAAAAATTGATACTCTATCTGTTCCAAAGGTTAAAACGACAAGTTATGGTATAAAATCTATTAGCTTTTGGGGTCCAAAGATTTGGAATTCACTTGCAAATGAAATAAAATCATCCATAAATGCAAGTCAATTCAAAGTTCTTATAAAAGATTGGCATTTCGAAAATCAATGCGCCTGTAATGCTTGCAGTCAAGTCAATGACTTCCATAATGCAATCTCTTAAATTGCTTCATGTTAGTGTTTATAAGTGTTCACACTATTGTCAAACTAACAGTAAAAAAAGGTATTATTATTATTATTATTATTATTATTATTTTCTTCATAACTAGAGAAAACCTTCGCCCAGATCTTCTCTTGAAGACTAACAACAACTACCTATACATCTTACAGCTTACTGTTGGTTTTTAATCCAATCTTGACACAAATGCAACAAGAAAATACATCAAGTATGCTTCTCTCCTATCTGACTTGCAGCGGAAGTTCAAATGTGTCTCTTTTGTGAATCTTTCTATGAGCTCTCTTGGCATCTTTGGCAATTCCTGCATCTCCTCAGTTTTTCCTTTTACCTTACGATTGTTATAGTATATTCTTGTAAAACCAGGCTAGCCAATTGCAAATTACCTTGTAATAGTGAGATTTGTAATTGTAGTTTAAGTTGAATTGAAATGTTTCCATTATTATTATTATCATTACAGTGGATTCAAAATATTGACAGTACAGGGCCTACGTCACGAAAGCAGAGGTAGAAGGCCAAGGCTTTTCCCCCTTTTACTGCAGCCTTAAAACTAGTTGCTTCGCAATACAGTTGGGGGCATGGCCTCTCCGCCTCCCCCTCCCATTGGCGTGGGTCTTGCAGTGTTCTACTTGACTTAATGAATTTATCTCTAGCGCGTTAACTTCTGCTTAAAAATTAAAATTTATCGTTACATTTCCTGTGCCAGTTATTACAAGAAATACATTTAATGGCTGCAAAGTGTTTAAGTAGTAATGTGATTGCAGCTGGATAGGAGTGAGGTAACCTGTGCAGGGCAGCCGACAGCTTTCCTGGGGCCTGGGCCCGTGACGAGGTGATTAAATGTAATTGCTGCAACCCTTTGCTGCCCCTCTCAGCTCAAGGCAATCTGCCGCCTGTCCCTTTCTCGGCGTGCATTGTCCTGTGTGAACATTTCAGAACTTGATGCAACAATTGATTTTATGGTAATGTTAACAACAAGTTTTCGTCTAGTACAAATTCTTACATAAAACAGCGCTTGGTTTGTTTTGTTGGAATTCACACAATCCTGTCGCAAGATAAATCCTGGAAAAGCCTTTATAAATAAACAATCTAGGTTGATGAAATTTCAAAATTCAAAAGTTTGCATCATACCAGTGACTTCGAATATCAAGTTTTATGACAGAGAGGAGGGTAGGTAGAGGTCTTTCAAGCAAATCTTCTCTATCGCGCGGGCCTTGACACCAATTGGTAACCGTGCTTAAAAGTCAGGGTCCATCTTATAATCTAAAAATGTTATAATTTTCGATCAAGATTTCATCGCGTTGTTTATCATGCACACAAATATTGCAAAATATGACAGAAATCAACACCGATAACACTTATCACGTGACAACGGCTAATGAATGTTTGCATATAATGCTAAATGCTACATAGCGATTAATAAGGGGACGACAAGCAAAATAATCATCCTGACCCTCGAATGGGAGCCACAGAGGCCTAATAAAATCACGGATGTGCAAAGTATCACAATGCTCTTCGAAATATATCTACTTATTTACAATGTATTAAAGTAAGGATGCAATGGAACGAAAAACAGTCTTATATGCTGGTACCAAAACGGGAATACAATGAAAGCAACACGTGGGCAGTAGGGAGGAGTCCGAAACTGAGCCCCACTAGATGGCATTAGGCTGGGAGTGGTTTTATAACGGGTGCGATGCATAGCTGGTCTGGAAAGTTGTACCATTCATGCACTACTGCATTATGGGGCTGAATTGTGAATTGCCAAAGTTGATATCCAGAAAGCCAAATGTACTTTCTTATTTTGATAATGATCAGAGGCGCGAAAGGAAACTTTTGAAGACGCAGGTTGAGATTAACCAGAGTCATAGCATTCTGCCATGATCCGGCTTTGTTTAAAAAGATTAAGACATATCAACACTGATAAAACTAATTTCGCAAAATCTTGGTTACTCTTGAACACATGAATTCGATCCAAAAATTACTCGTATTTCTGCTAACCCCTGTCAAAATCAAAAAGAAAATAATGCGATCATGATCTTGCAGTATCTACTTGATGGAGATTCACACTATGTGCCTTTCGATATAATGGGATTCATCTTTGTCTGTAACACAGGCAATTTGAATTCCAGTCTGAGATCTGGCTAAGTTTCGACATAAGCATTGGGATCGGAATGATTCAAACGTCAAGGCTTTCAGGGGATACCGAATCCACGGCAAAGTAACTTGATTCGCAAGAGAACCTCACGTTTCAGAAGCAAAGAATTACTTACAATTTCATACAACCTCTAAACTTCAATCAATCATACTTAAATGAAAAACTCAGAACAAAATAGAATCAAATATGGGATCTGTCTCTTAAAAATGTAATAAAATGACTGGAGCGAAGTGATATGGGTCAAACGCAGCACGTGCAAGGGAAGAAGGAGAAGGCATCTGAAAATTTTATGATAAACGATTCTAACCATTTGCATTTTAGGTCCACATTGTGAATACGAGCCATGCAAATCCATAGGAAGGGGAATTTTTTGAATATGAAACGTTCTCCTTCTTCCGCTTAAGGAGTTATAAACCGTTAAATTGTATTGAAAACGAGTTAGAATTTAGGAAAACACTGCCAATAACGTCTAAAAAAGTTAAGCTTGATGTCAGTCAGTTCAAAAGCATTAGAAATAAAAAACCAAGAATAAATCAATGGCGCCAGCATATAGTAGTGTGCTAATCAACCAACGTATGACCGATGACGTCACGTGAGAACAATCTTTAAATTTAGATCTAGAAGCGGTCTGGTCCATGTCTAAAAAGGCAACTTGATATATAGAAAGTATTCCTACCTAATGGTTTTCGTTAATCAAAAATAGAAAGAACATGAATTAAAATTTAAAATTCTCGCATGAAAACAGTAGTACAAAGTGACATATAGCGAAGTCTTTCAACTTCCTATACAGTTGAAAGTTACCATTGTCACTGGATGGTAACGTCTGTCATAGCGGCCTACATCGAAAGAGTCACAACAGGACTGGAGACCAATCATAAAATCGATATCGTCACTGTAACATCAATGACTTCAGGTTGTCTTGCAAAATAGTGTCCTTAACTGCATGGAATACAAATTTAATGTTCTCGGTATCAATAGCTGTAGTGAAATGGTGAAAAAGGGCCTTCGATCTTTCTCGTCTTCGGCTGTCAAACATCTGAAGTATAAATGACTGCACATCTTTAAGGTCGTCCGGCCTACCTTGGAACTGGGGAAAATAGTCCGAAATATTACTAAATTTGATTTTTTCTTTGAGAAGATCAGTCTTGTTGAGGAAAAGAATGATGGAAACGTTAGCGAAGCACTTGTTATTTACGATCGTCTCAAAAATCATGCAAGACTCGATGAGGCAGTTTGTCTTTCTGTCCTCCATGATAACTTGGTCGAAGGCGCTTGAGGATACCATGAAGAGTATTGAAGTTACCTCATCAAAGCACTGGAACCATTTCGTGCGCTGGGACCTTTGGCCTCCCACATCAACCATGACAAACGGGATTCCTTTAATTTCGAAATCATACTCCTGGATACCCTTTGTTGCTTTACGAGAATGGAGGGCATCTTGCTTGGTCGGCAGAAATTCCTTGGAAAGAGGATAAAACAATTTTCATTTCATTTCAGACTGGAAATAAGTGCACCATTGCACAAGGAGCAAGGGGTGACTATCGCAATAGTCTACCAATAGCTTTGAACTCAGGTCTAGTAACAGGGCTATCCTGTACAGGGACCAGGGCTGACTTACCCTTAGGGACAATTTATAGCGAAGCACGCTCACCCTACACAACCAGGAGACATTTTCTTAAGGAAGTAAACAAAATAAAAAGTTTGTGTAAAAATTCAGGAAACCACGTCACCTTTGTTCGTGTTAGACTTTTCTAAGAAAATATATCGCACGCAGGTGACCTAACGTTTCTCGCCTACTGATACAGCGACGACACCAATTTACAAAGGACAGCCACTCAGTGACATTTCCTAACACGTTGCAAAGAAAGAGCCTGTTTTTGTTACACTTATCGGGAATGGCAATGTTTGATGAATAGTACAGCAGCAAGAGCGACAAGACAAAACAGCTAGCGATTCTATTAGAGGAGTATGTGAATTATCGTGAGTTTTTCGAAAGACAGGAAACTAAAGCCTGCCACAAGCTAGCCACACAGTTAACAAAGATAAGATAAGGACCGTTAGCTACAGTCTTAGAGCTTCTTGTGGTAGCTGGTTTAGCTTCTGAAGATGAAGACCGAACTGATCGCGTGAGAAAAGGTGGGACATAAACGCTGCAGTATTATGGACGCACATACGCCGCACATTAAAATCCCAAAAAATACGTCCTTTACCCAACCCTGTGTTTAATCAGCTCAAAAACTTAACATATTCAAGGCATTAATTGGAGGGTGCAGGGCAAAATTTAATAAAAACAATAAATAATTCATGATTAAACATTTTGCAAAAAATCAACTAGCAAGTAAGTAGTTTAGCAGGGTTATTGAAGATGGACTGATTTTGGGCTTATGAAGGGTCACTCACGTACTTGCCTCCAAATAAGCAATGATATTACTGGATTTTTATGCTGAGCGAATAAAAATAAGCAAGATAACAGACTGAAAAGCAAACAGCGAAACATCAGCAACCAGATTGCCAAACTTTCTTTGAATGATACAGAGGGAAATGACACACGACTAGATTCAAATGAAACAGACCACAAAAAAGTCAAGTTTTACTTACTGGCTTGCCAATTCTTGTCAAATTATCGAGGAAGTACTTTGTCGAATCACCCTAGAAGATAATTGGGTAGATTATTGTCAATGTTTATCTTGTGTGTTCAACCACATACAATAATTCTTTATATTTTCAGAAGGAAGCACAAAAGTGCAATTTCAATTAGCAGAAAAAGCAACAAAATGATATATCAACTAAGATTGGCATAGCAACATCACCATTTCAGCGAAAACGTGAAAAGATGGTGATTTACGAGATACAGAATTAGCTATTCATTTACGAATTTTAAATTCTTCAAATTCCTATGTCCATTTATTATGCAGGATTTGAAATAAAAATACAAAGGATAATAATAAAAATTTTCTTTTCTGTATTATTTACATTAACAGCACACGCACATATCATAAAAATTTCCATTAATTTACCGTATCAAACCTTTATCCTATCATGCTGTTTTATCCTATTCCCCCGTTATTTATGAATTTACGTGCCAATGTGATTCTGGCTACGTAGGACGCACAACCCAAAGATTGGGGGATAGGATAAAACAGCATGTTCCTTCCAACATAAGAAACAAAACTGCCCCTCAAAGAGAACAGCCTCCTCGATCTTGTAGGTCTAGAAACACTGTTAAAACAAGTGATTCTGCCATCGGTCAACATCTTTTAGACAACCCAGATTGTGCAAAACTCTATAATGACGACAATCCCGGTCGTCCTTCCATCTAGCAGTTTTGGAATCGATCTACATACAAACGAAAAAGCCGCCATTGTGTAGACAGAAGGAGTTCGTTTTCTCTCTTGGACTCCAGTGGTAATTTTTCTTTAGGCACGCGGCACTGATTGGTAAACTATACCGGTCTTGTGCTTGTGTTTTTTCTGATTGGCCTATTTTGATCCACAACTGGGTATATTTTTCCATCGTGTTCTTTCGGACCCTTATTCTGACGTTTTATGCTCTGAGGAGTGTCAGGCGAAAAAGCTTTGAGCCAATATGTTGTAAAATGTTTGCTTCTTTTAAAGCCATTTACATATGAAGATGTTATCAATTTTAAAGCAGATGTCAAAGAAATGTATCACCTTGTCACAATTCTTGAGGATTCGAAAATATAAAATTTCAAGAGACAGCAAAAAGATGCAACATTTGCTTAGTTTAGGCCTAATTTTGACCAATTATCCATTTAGGGGATCCTTGTGGAGTAAATGGATGACCTATTCTTGAAATGCTTTTTACATCCCAGACATTACTGAAGCATCCCAGAAGAAAATTTATATCTTGTAGAATAAAATTGCTCTATTTATCCCAAGAATAATTGTCAGCAAACAGTCACAACTATTGTCCAGTATCAGAAAAAGAAACTCAAAATAATAAAAAATGTGTCTCTGTTACACTGAAATATTATAATCTGTTACACTTGCTTTGTTTGTAAATGGTGTATGTATAGTATGTATCAATCACTTTAGGCCCTGGCCAAAAATAAAACATTGGCATAAAACATCATCCAACATTGTTGGATAAAACATATTTTATTCTTTGGTCACCATGTTTTAAGATTCTTTAGGATGTTTTGTGATTTTTTACAAAATTTGTTTTCCATCAAACATTTTGTAAATCATGTCTTTTGTTCTCATGTTTGATCAACAATGTTGCATTTGTTTGGCCACCACTTCAATTTTGGGTAATGCTTTATGGATGTCTGATTCATTTGGCCAGGCCTTAAAATTTATACATTCATCATTTTTGAAATAAATAAAATAATACCCTTATTTTTAACTATACGCTGCAGTCCTTATTCAGAGTATATGCAGCACATTTACAGGAAATTATGGACCCTCTAAATGCAGTCATTGAGGATTTTGGAATGAGAATTAATATGGAGAAAACAAAGGTGATGAAAAAAAACCGGTGAAGGTGGTGTTATGACAAAACTGAATAATAAACAACCAAAGCAAGTTAAATACTTCAAATACCTCCGAGTATTTCAGCAAGCAACAGATATTGCAGTAAAGAGATCACAGATTGCGCTAGCAAAAGGTTACCTTCAACTGGAGAAGAAAACTGCTAACAAAGAAGTTCAATACAAGACTGAAAAAGAGAATGATTAAGATTTTGTTGTGGAGTGTGCTAGTGTATGGGTCAGAGTTGCAGACACTGAAGGAAGAGGATATGCAGAGATTGGAAAGTGCAGAGATGTGATTTTGGAGGAAAATGGAGAAGATTAATTGGGCAGAAATAGTGACAAATGAGGAAGTATTGGGAAGGATTGGAGAGAAAATAACATTAACCTTCATAACCAACAGAAGAAGTGGATTGGTCACATTATGACACCAGGGACTACTAATGAATGTCACTGAAGGGACGTTAAGGGGCAAAAGGAGCAGAGGAAAAAAAGACCCACACTGTCTGATCATTGGCATAGGAAAGACAACGGCAGAACAGAAACATATGGTGATATCAAGCACAGAGCTGAAGATTGGGATAGTTGGCAGGTGTGATGTTAAACCTGCACTTTTTTTCCATCTAAGCAAATTTAGAAGATTTTGCAACTTCTTTGTGATTACTACCTACATTGTACTTATAGAAATAATGCTAGGGAGAGATAAAAGTGTTATCCAACTCAATAACTCAATAAATTTTTTAATGAGAATTACATTCATACATCTTTCTTGCAAAAACCTTTTAGAGAAAAAATCAAGAAATGTTTGAAAGAAATATTAAAAAATGTTAAAAAATGCTAATTATACAAAATTTTATAATATAATAAGCAAATTTACAATTCCTGTCTGGAGAACAGGATAGTTCTAAGTTGCTACACCCAGATTCACAATTAATTCTTAAAGATGACATTAAGCGGAAAACTCACTGTACAGCTCTGCATACACAGTCTTAAGCAATTTATGACAGACAGGTTAACTGTTAACTGTAAAGTATAAAGCTGCATTACAAGCAAAAATAAGCCTTTCTTAGTGATTAGGGAGCATTAGTGATTAGGAATTGGGATATTAAGGAGCAGCAGCCTAAACAAGAGTTTATTCATTGGGATGGTGATGTCAATACCATGCAAAAGGAAAGACAACGACAAGGCTTTGTGACAACATTTGCTATTTGACCATTGGCAAGGTTGAGAAAATGACTCAGAACTGAGAAGATTGGAGAAATTTGGCCACGGCTGCTCAAACATGAACTTGATGATGATCTGAATGATAAACAAAACAGCTTAAATGCTTGCACTGGCAAAAGAGGTCAGTGTGAATAAATTGAGAATGGAGCAGCATGTAACCTTTAGGCCAAAGTAAAATGTGTGAGGGATCTGACGCTACCAAGCAAAAGTAATTCCTATTCAGGTAGTATTGTTTTGCCAAAAATGTGATATTCTGCAAGTAGCATACATCTTTCAATACACAAATAAAGGCTATTTTTACCTTATGGGAAGAAAAGGTATTACAGTTTTTTTCATATTGAAAGGAACAAAAGAACAATAGCAAATCAGGCAGTACAAATATAACCAAAAGAAGCTCTTAAGGGTAGTTTATCAAAGGCAGATTATGGTTTTTGCCCATTTATTGATAGTAAGTCATTGTCCAATAAACTGTCCTGATTTAAAAGGACATTTATTCAAATATCACAGTACATGTTAGAAAAACAATATTTACCTAATTCTTTGACAATTTAAACCCCCAAAAGATAATTCTCAAAACAATGCCTATACTAACTTCAAAAAGTTCAGATGAAATCATAAAGTTCAGATGAAATCATGATAAAGGTAATGTTGCAACTGCTGAGTTAAAAAAAGCAGAAACTAACAATTGCAAAAAAAATTACATTATTATTTGTTCTTTTTATATCCTCCTCCCAAAATCTAATGAGGAAATAAATCAACAACAACAAGTTTCATCTTAAAACTGTAAGAATTACATAAGGATGTGGGGAAGTTATTTGAATGGTTACTGTAGCTATTATTAAGGAAAGAAGTGCATACTAAAATTGGATCTCAGCTCTTTATAATGTAGAATAAAAAGCTAAATAGAAGATTTTTCAAGCTAAACAAGTAGCCAAAATCAAATCTTATAGAAAGAGAGGAAGAAAACTGATTAATACATCAAATGTGTTTAAATGCCTAGCAAAGAAATAAACACTTAAGCTCCCTAAGATATATCAATAAATATTACTTGGAGGTGGCACACATTGACTAGAAACCTTAAAAGGGAAATGTAAATAACAACACATTTAATGTAAATAATTGAGAACTTTTTTTTTAAAAATTAAAGAAATTTGCTTCAGAAAAAATGTAGATTGACATTCCTGTTTATCTTTCCCATGTCTATCCTTAACAATTATAAAATAAAAAACTTAAAATATAAAATAAAGATACAATAAAAAGGAAAGGGTTATGATTTTCAATAATGATATAAAAGATAAATTTTTTGTCTTTTTGCAAAAGGAAAGGCTTTACTTTTGTTCCTTCCCTGGAGTTTTTTATATATCAATAACTTCAAATCTGAGGCACAAGTGCAGATAAAAGCAGGTTATTGTCAGCTTAACATCTGTTTTGAATAAAAAAATTGGCTACAATAGTTTGTTAGCAAACTAAGCCAGTTTCAAAAAACAAAAATTGATTAAATATTTGAATATGTGTTAAGACAATGACAAGTCCTTGTTATTATTGTAAAAGAGGAATATGATCGGAGTGTTTGTAAACATTATCCCATTGACTGTAACTGTCTGTTGGTTACTAGATAAAAAGGCCATATGCCACCAAATAGCTTTCAATAAGGCAAATTATGGAATGACTTAAGTAAACAATAGAAAATTGTTCTCAACTTTAAGGTTTTCCTAAGAAGTCAAAAATTTCATCAGCACATAGAATTGTACTTTAAATAATGTCAACGGGGTGTAGGTGTTTGAAATTGTCCCCTTGCAATAAATTGCCAGCCCACGATATCAATCTTCAACGGACGTTGCGCTTCGCTGAATGCACGCCCATTTGTGATGGGCCTAAAATACTCACAAGGACCCGTCTTAACAACCGCCCAGTCAACCATACATGTTAAATTAAAAAATTGGCAAATCATTGCTTAGAAATAGAGCGATAACTTTCCTTGAATTACTACCAATATAAATAACACCCAGACGATCAATGTCCAATTTTTGCTTCCTGATTCGTCCGGTATTCGCCAAAATGTCATTCTAGTGTTTCGCTTTGGCCCAAAAGACTGCAAATAAATTACTTTTTATGGAAAAGTGCCAATGTGTCTCTGGTTTTAGCATGATTAATCTTTTTATTAAAAAACCGTGAAAATTTGTACTTTTGGTAACAGGGTCTTGGTGACATCAGAAACTTGCAATTAGATAGTGGACTCTTTTGTGATTTAAAGGCAGACGTGTGAATTCGCCAGCGCGCACAGAAACAATAAATAACAAACCGGACTTCAAAATCTGGGTGCATAAACAATGCGTTGCGCTTACCACCAAACACTTTAGTTCAATACGAAGTTCCAAATGATCACCAAAACAATTACTAACTAAGACGACCTGGCAGTTTCAATCACATTCCTGCCACCAACTGGAAAATTTGGCACAATAAGTTCAAATTGACTTCATATCTAATTGAAAATAGATTTTAATCGAAATAAACATAAAAGAAACATAATACGATTTTACGCATTTCTCAACAAGCTTCACAATATCACATGTCAGTATTTTAGGACAGACGCAACCCGAAGGACAGAGAAGGCCAAGTGAAAAAGCCGCAACAAACACGAACATGAAAGCTAAAATAGGAGAAACATGGTTGTATGATATATCGAAAGCTTTTCTCTTACCAACTGGAATTCATTTCTCCTTTGGTAAGCCTTTTGTATGCCATCGTCCTCCCACAAGTGTTTGACACAATCGACGTAATCCAGAAATGTTTGGGTGTCAATGACCGATGACTGGAATGCAAGGATAAGATCGCCAAAAACTGAATTATTCGGGTCTCCCCACGGTATCTTGAGCTTTCTTCTGGCATCAGCTAAAACCTTCATCCCCTTTAGCACATTGCTGTAGATGATAGGCTTGAATTCATGCAGATCTTCTGTCGAATAATCTCTGCCATGAATGATCCTCATCTGTTTCAAGAATGTGCTCTTCCCACTTTCACCCGCTCCTAACAATAATATCTTGACTTTCCGCCTAAAGAAAACTTTTTCCTTGGCAATTTGCTTATCAATAAGTTTAGACCTTTGCCTTTGACTGAGCTCCTCAGAGCTCATGCAACAGGGGAAAGCCATCTTCTGTTCCTTTGCCACTTTTAAACAACTCCTTCAGCCATCATGATCAAGTGTCAGGCGGTAACTCTGATTTTGTTTTACGCATGCGCTTTCCTTTAACTATTTATCCGGGGGTCATATACAAACATTTCTGACGTCATTACCATATCAAGGTCAATATGGAAATTAAAAACAACTCATTGGTGATTAGATGGGCAACAAACAAGGGTTTTTCTATAGGGATTCAAATTAAAAGTCTACATCATATTAAACAACATGTAAACAAACAACGTAGAATCAACTTTTGCAACTTAGAAATCAAAACCACATTTAAAAAGCCTGTTCTTATCTCAAACTAAAAGCTAAAAATCGCTTTGAGAATTGTTTTACAAATTCATTAGAAACTTAGCCACTCAGCATTTTAGTTTTTGTAGTTCCCCTCCCGATTCTGCTTCCAGACATTAGCTTTAAAAATTCAGGTTTGGAAATGCAAATTCTAGGAGGTTATGGGGGTAATTACCCGCCCCCTACTTTTGTCAAAACATGATCTATAAATTTTCTAGAAATTGCTTAAAAAGCATTTTTTGTCCCGTATTCGATATCGAACGTTGAGGAATGCACTGTTAGAGGCGCGTCGTCCTGGGCCACAGCATTAGGTAGGGTAAATAATATTTTCGCTTTTAACTCGCCTGATGCACCATCAAAACGAGGCAGATGGGGTGTGGTCGCACTGGTCATGCCCATTACCCTCCCCCTCTCACTTTCAGTAGCTGATGCCGCCATTGAATACAAGTGAGGGGGAAATCTCCTTTATAGGGGGGTATTGTCAGTATTTTTTGCACTTTTCTCTCGTCTTTGCACTACGTAGGTGTTACAAAGATTAATGAGAGGAGTTTAGAAAGTATGGGTATTTCGTGTTTCTGAGAATCCTAAAGACAATAGGTGTTCCATGACAATAAAAGTGGAGAATACCCACTAAATTGCGTGAATATTTCATTTTCGTAACCATTTTTATTATTACAAAAGCCTCTTAAAATATTTCAAGTTCCATTAGAATTAGCTAAGATGACGTCAGGCAAAGCAAATAAACAATGACTGCAAATTAAAGCAAAGATCTTTATCAACATACCATGCCTGCCCAAAATACTCCGAACACCCGGCAATTTACGTTGCATTCTATGTCATTCACTTCTCTAAAAATAATTCCTACTTCCCCCAAGAACAGGGGTTCGGGCCAAGAAGCATGTGGACTTTCTTCAGCGCCAATGATTTTTCTACTTTTACAAAGCTTTTATTGCCAAAGCTGCTCACAATGAAATGCAGATTTCATAGTTGCCAGGCCTAACTAGAGATAAGATAGGCAGGCCTATAATTTTCGTGTTAGATTCTATGTTCATAATTTTTTTTCATGAAATAAGTTTTGGAAAGGTGGATGATAGAAGGGGAAGAGGGAGACCAATGATTGCATGGAGGACATGGTACTGGGTTGATACTGGAACACGACGTATTCACAGGCCCGTTGCCATGGATATCTTTCGGGGGGAGGGGGGCTAAAATTCTCAATCTTTAGCATAGTATATAAAACCAGAAAATGCTTTATACAAAATTTGTAACTTTACGCTTTTTGTACCAGGTTGAATCAGAAGGCTTTTGTTTACCCCTACTGTGCTATTTTTAGATTAAGACTTAAGAGGTTAATCTTTGGTAAAGTTGATTTGAAATCAGATCTAAAGAGAGACCATGATTGGCCACTTGATAACGAGTACATGCTCGAAAAATCGTGCTTTTAACAATCAAACTATTATATTTCCATTCTGGTACTAGTTTTTTTGCTAACTGTTTTATCGTTACAATGATTGGCAGCAGTAAAAAATTAAATTATATTAATCTAGGGATGGTCAGAAACTGCATCTAAAATGGATTTTAGCGGGAAAAAATCCAAGGAAATTTTCTTAAGATGTTTTATAACCACAATGCCTGCCAAAAGTCCTGGAACACTATCATCAGTTTTCAAAGGCAAATTCAGGCATTCCCCTTCCCCCGTTTGAACAATGTTGGTTTGCTACAACACGATATAGAGGATAAGGAAGTGCAGTTTTTCTGCGACTTCTATGATGTTTTCCTAAATTATCAACATTGCATAGGGGGAAGGGGGTGCCGATTTAGGAGTATTCAAAAAGAATTTTAAAATATCAAAACAAAATACAATGCAAACTTTTGGCAATGATTGTAGGTTGCATAGTTTGATCTATTTTAATGCTAACTTAAAAGAAAGGGTCTTGCAAAGTTTTTTTAACTTTGCATGACAGCAAATAATCAATTTTTGTAACACTTGAATGAAAGAACATAAGATAGAGAAGAGAAATAACAAAAACACTGTAGCATAAAGCATTAGCCTGTTCGCTAGTCTACAAATGCTGCTACGCACGCTTAAAAGCACGAAATAAAGCACGAGATATCTGGCCCAAGTCCCGGGATTGCAAAAAGTGGAGGAAGGGGTGAGGTATCGGGTTAGGTCATACTGTCTACATCAATGACCACTTGAAATAAATGATAAAAGTGTCTGGAAATCATGTCTTACATTTTCTTTACTTTTTAACTTTGCCAGAGCAGTATAATATTTCGCTATGAAGTGTTCAAATGAAATCATTTTCTATTTTGATACTTCCTCTCGGACCAACAACTGGTCAACGGGACGCACATAATTATTTACTGCAGAGAGAAATAAGATATCAGAGCAGACAAAAATACAAAACTAAATCCAATTACAAATTTTGAAAAAGTAAGCCAAAAATATTTTTGAGACAAAAGCATTTGGCGGGCAGGTTGAAATCTTGTTGTGGGCCGGAGTTGGTCGGCGGGTCGGAGGTTAAGAATTGCTGCCCTAGAACAATGTTGATAGCATAGACATCAATCATACAAGTAACATAAATGAAGGTGCTGCCCAATTCCAACACCGTTGCTCCCTTGGGGAGACTAGGGTGGCTAAATTGAAATTTCAAAATCAGTGTCTCAAGACTTTTGCAGCTGTTTTATGTAAATGCTACCTGACCTACACTCCTAAGACTACCTATTTGTAAATGGACTACAGTAAGCAAGGGCAGATTTCGAAGTCTTCTTTTCAATCACGTAACGGTGTATAGGTACACTGGGGCTGTGCCCTCAATACAAAATTTTGATTATAACTTCCCCTTTTGTAACCTGCGTCACGTCACAGAACAAATCGAGGGGCTAGTCATTCTTTTAAAATCTCGTACGCCCTTTCTGGAAATACTATTGTTTATCTGAAACCCGGGAAATCTTGTTCTTTTGATGGAAATCTCGTACGCTAATGGCAAGACTGAATTGCCCCCCATACTAAATCGACCCCCCTCAGGCCATTGAAAATCCAAATTGCATTCTGAATGTCGAAGTTATCTAATTTTACGAGATTATTGTTTGCTAAGAGATTTCTTTATTTTCTAATAAGAAATAAGATGGCTCCTAATAAGAACTAAGATTCCTCCTAATAAGGAAAATATTGCAACAATCAGCAATATAAACAACCAGTTCCCAGCAGCGTTAAAATGACTGTTTGCACAAATGCTTGCTATCATTTGAATAAAAGTTGGAATTATGAAAGGCTATTTTCATCAAGGGAACTGGCAAAGTGAGAGTTTTGCTTGAAAGAATACGATTTAGCAGTTCCGTTTTCGAACATAATTCACAATCGCATTATCTTTTACAACTTCCAACCCTTCATCGGGACTCCCTGATTTGAAGACTTTTCCCCCACTACTCGATTTGTGGATCTTTTCCCTAAAGCTACCTTCAAGAGCTAGGTATAAACAAATGCAAGTACAAAATACAATTAAAAATTTTTAGGAAAATCCACCCAGATGTGTTGCATAAGCTAAAACATATAACAACGACACCAGGACATCGATTAAGCCATCAAGTATAGTATTCTGTCTGTGGATATCTATTAAAGTGTAAAGCTGTACTAGTAAAAATGTTTAAAAAGAGTGCATTTTCCAGCAAACTGGAAGCAAAACTCGGAAAAAAAATTAAAATGGAAAATTATTTATTCATTTTGGAAAAGTTTAAAGCAAGATGAAATAGATTTATATTTGACATGAAATGGCACTGCAATTTAGCTAAACTAGTATAGGTTATTTTTCCAGAGGGCCTGGAAATCGATTAAGCAAGTAATGTTGAAAGCTGAACAAAATAGCTTTTTAGTTAGTCCAGCAAAAAGTTTTCTTTCTACATGGCTTAAACGATATTTCTTGATTTCAATCTTTGACTGAAATTCTCTGGAGTCTAGATGAGTTTCTAGATCAAACAAATTTTTGAACATGGGTTTCTGTCAAAAACATAAGACGAATACGTCGTTATGTGTATGAAGAGAGTGAATAGAGCTAAAAACTGTGTCTTCCCTCGCCATTTATGATAGAAAAGCTATTGGTTGGACCGGCCTTCCCTTCTCAATGACGGCCTATCCGATGTCGCCACATTTTCAAATGGTTTTGGGACTTCGTTAGACGTCTATCTAGAGGACTTGAGGGTGGATGGAATGGAGATTGCTCTGGAATACTTACCTTGATTTTATTGTTAAAAGTAATTATTCTGTCATTTAAAATTATAAAAATCTTGGATTTTCCCTTTACTTGGTTAACCGTAATATGATACGCTTCATAAGATCACGATGAAAACGAACATATTAAATTCCACGTTCAAAATTGAATTTTTTTGAGGCCTAAAAAACAAAATTTTAGGAATTGTATAAAAAGAGCTAATTCAAGGTTTCGGTTTCTCATTGCAATGTGAAAAAGTGGTCGCGACTCCGATATTATCTCATTACGTTTTCAAGCAACTTGGTTAAAAATCTCATGCGCAAAGCGCGCGTTGTGGTATTTTATCGACGTATGCACCAGCCTTATATCTGTATGCGTTGTCAGTAAAGTGCTCAGCCATGTTCGAACATTATGCAAAAAGGTTGCTTGACATCAGCGCCGGATTGAGCCCAAATTGGGTCTGATGCTGCAGGAAAAAGGACCTATTTTTGGGTCTATAAAGTATGGGAGAATTGTAGTCATTTTTCATCTAGGCCTATGTCAGTTGTGAGCCTAACGCTGTAGCACAAATAGAGCACAACTTCAGCCGGCCTTGCTAGACCATTCTGCAAAATGATAGGTGAGACAAATCTCTCAGGGAGCCACAACTGAATATTTGAAAATTCGATTCTAAAGAAGAAAACAACTAGCTTTTCATTTCATTAGCTTGGTGAACACTTAAACTTGGTGATCCACTCACTAACTGGCCCATGGTGTTTGCTGTTTTGTTAAAATGCATCAAGACCTTTTCATAATAGTTAGGATTTGCTACTGTCCTATTTATATCACATTTCCATATCAGCATTCGTCTTAGAACACTTATCAGCCTTTTGAAGACCTCACAACATCCTCACCTTTCAAGATAAGAAAGAGATTGTGCGTCTGTTGAATGTAGGTGGCTCCAAAATGCTTTGCACCATTGGTCTCGTGCGTACGAAACTTGATATCTCGTAGCAACTCCCAGAAACTGAAACTTTATACCGTTTTCACCGTGAATCACACAAGACAAAATTTATCCTCACTGATACTTAATATCTTGAAAATCTAAATAACATGCATAAATACAATAACAACGACTAAATCGATATATTGATGCAGGCAAAGTCACATGGCCTAGAACAATATCGAAGGCCTGGTTTCCTCGCGTTAAATATTGCAATTTACAAAGTTTTCTTACTGAAAGTGAATTTAAAAGTCATATTGTCCACACCAGTCGACAGACACAAAAGGACGGACTCAAATTCCTACATTTAGTCTAATATCCAGATCAAGGGTTGGTCAAAGGATTAAACGTTTGAAAAACCTGACAAGTAACTCCGCTACTTCTTTTTTTCTGCACTCCGCAAATTAAAAAAGGGATATATGAGCGAAATCGCGTAATGCTAAGCCTCTGTAACAGTCACAATTGGCCACGAGAGTTATTCTTGAGTAATAATAAGTATCTTGCTTGACATTTTAATCGCAATTCTTTCCAGCCACTTCAAAAACAGCCGGTCGGATTTCAGACATTCAGTTTGGAAGACAAAGCAACAAAGGACAAAGCTAATCGAGGCTACTCTCGCAAGGTGGGCGTGGCAGCAGTTCTTTTTCTTCATGGCAACAGTTGGGTGACTTATTGGCATGCTGTAAAATTTGGGCTGGAAAAAACATCTAAGTTCCATTAATAGAGGTGCCTTTTGGTCCTTTAATTCGCTGATATCAAACGATTTTTGTCGGCACAAAGAGTGACTTATTCTTATCTAAAGAAATAAAATTCATACCCTTGTTGACCAACCGTTTTCTTTCATAGACTTTTATCAACAAATCAGTAGTTAATAGAAAAAAATTTGACTTCTGACAGACACATTCCCGCATAAAAACAAAACGACTTAAGTTAAGAATAACTCGTATTTAGATTTAACTCAGGAAAGGCGTGCTCCAGGTACGCCTGGAAACAGTTTCTGAATATATTATCCATGACAAAAGAAAGCTATTGTCCTTCCGAATTACGGTATAGAATATAAAAGCTTCACAGCTTCACAACTCGCTAACAAAACTAAATGATATCAGAAAAGGTTTTGGCTAAGTTTGCAATAAACATTGTTATTTTAAAAATATCTATCAGACAGGCTGATTCTCACAAGAATATATGCACCAGTTTAAGATCTTCGTTATAATAAAAAATACATTGCTGGGTAAAAAGCAACTACATTTTATATTCTAAATGACGAAGATAGGGCGTGATTGTCTTCTTTACACCTGCACCAGCTTATCGAGAAGATAATCTGATGCTCTGTATTCAAGATAAATGCTAAAAAATAACTCGGCCTAAAACCCCGGATGTTGTAGAGGGGTAGTGGTGAATACGAAGCAATAACATGATTCGTGAACCGTGAAAAGGACGATTTAAATGATCCAAGAATAGTAGAGCATGTTGGAAAGACCTTTATCAGTATCGCATTTCATCGTCATGTCAAGTATGTCGCAGCGAAAAGGAATTAATACTCCTATCTATCAAGGCCTTGGCACATCTTTCAAAAGTATTGAAAGTAAAAATGTATGACTAGTAGTTTGTGGTAGGTAAGTTAACATAATTGCAAAACAAAATCTTACTCGTATTCTCTATTATGGCAAGGCCTTGATAGTTATGATTGGTAAAATAGAAACACGGGTAGTAGCCGGGAAGTAACTTCTTCAGCAATATAACTGCTACTTGGGCCCTTCTTCTGACAGCAACAAAAGTTACATGCATTAACACCAAATGACAATTCGATTTTCGATTTTCTAAGCAATCTCTTTATTGAACCTTCAAAAAAATCTGAGAAGCTTGTCGCCAGTTAGAACGGCACAATTCCATCGATGAACTTGTAAATAGGAAGATCCTAGCCAATAAATTATAGCCTAACGCATTGCTTATCGTACCATTAATTATACGTTCTTTGCGTCACTTCAACATAAAGTATGTTTTGGGTGAGATAATTTGAAGTGACGATGTATCATTCTACATAAAAACGTTGGCAATTGCTGAAAAAACGACACCGAAAAAGCGGGAGAAAGAGTAGCTCAACAGTAGAGCTACGAGAAGAGAAGCTTGCTGAACAGCAGCTAAAAACAGATGAATTAATGCGGGACTACGAAGCATGCCAAGGTAGGAATGAGACATCTCGGACATTGAATTAGAGAAAGTAGCTGTACGATAAACTACAAAGGTAAACATCAGCTTTTACTGCTAAAAATTACTTACATACAAAAGTACGAAACAAGTAATGAATTAAGTGCTTGTGGTGCCACAAGAGCAATGCATATCTTACAGCAGTATGACAAAGTGAGACAAATCTACAAGACCTTATAAAGGAGAGCCGCCCATAATCGTCTTATGGCTGATTAGGGAATCTTAAGCTGTTGTGCTCAGTCTTTCAAAACTGAAGATAACATGTTTGCAAATTGCATCATAAACAGCATCCCATACTGCAAGCTCCTGATAGGTTTCATAAAAAAGTAAAAACCCAGAGAGCTGTTTAGTATCTTTTTTACGTATCCAGATTGACGTAAAATCAACTGTTTATCTCTGTATTCAAGTAAATATAAAAACGTTTTCTCTTGCAAACCTTATCTAGACGATCTCTATAAAACAACCTCATACTAAGTTTTAAAAATTTGGAACTGAATAGTGATCTGCCGCCGGCTTCTTCTCACTGGCTGTCACAACATCTTGAGACATCCATTGGCACTTTTGAGATCACAATTTCCACTGTCTGGAATAATAAAATTAGTAACACTCAATATGATTAATAGGTTTCCACTACAAATAAGTCCGATCTAAGTAATAGGCTCGCGCGAATTTAACCTTCAAATTGGTATATTTGATATTCAGAAAATGTTATGCAGCTGAGCTTCGGCAACAAGAACGCTGTGAGTTATTTTGCAGCATTTTTTATGGTTTCAACAAACAAAAAAGAATATAGTATTTAATAACATTAATGTAAAAACACTTTTTCGAAATGCTGTGACAGATAAAGTCCTTTAGAAATTCATTTAAAAAATCCTTCAAACTGTGATGATGACCTTTTCATATTTTGAGGCCAAATGACATGTCATGTGATAAAGCGAAATAAAAATAAATTTCATGCAGGTGCCTTCCGTAGACAACATTAGACCAGCTTTCAACCCAAATAGAGGGGCAATGTTCTGTGCTACTGTGTCACTCCTAAAAACTTCACATCTCAGCGAAGCTATGGTCCTGTAACAACAAAAGCTGCCAAATTCTATCTCCACTGAAAATTGAAACTGCTATAAAAACTGAAAGATATAGCTTTAGCAATAAGCATAACTACACATCGTGGTTCAGTTTGTAGCCTCTCTCAAAAAGGTTTGTCGCCTAAGGTTCTTCTAAAACTTGTTCTCTCTCGCTTTCTGACGTTTACCTCCTATAAAAACTGCACCCGTGGGCTGCCAGTTCCCCATTGAATAAAAACAAAGGCGATGAAAAAAGCGAGAGGGGTTTATTTTTATCCTTCTCAATATTCTATAACTAGCTAAAAATTTATTTTTGAAACTCATACTACAATACAGAAATATTCTGCCGCTGGTAAAATGCCTTCGAAGAAATTCAATCACAAATCGGTGGTTGCATAAACCTCCCAAAAGCAAGAAAGTTTTTTTTCCACTTTATAAAAAACAGTCATGAATTCACACATTCACCCCAAGTCTTAGCTAATCAGCTTTTCTTTCAATTTTGCGTTTTTTTTTCTTTGAGGAGCGGGCTAAAACATGGCCATATCGAGGCCCCTTTAGCGGAGCAGTTGAGCGCTTGAACAATGGACGCCCTTACTGACACTTAAAGTTGGCGAATAAGGAGTGACGGCAAGTACTAAACATTAAACTAATCTTTTAAAATTAATCAAGCCCTAAGTTGAAAAAAGATTAACAGACCATTCAACTGATCACCCGAAACCTTAAGAAACTACTCGAAACTCCTTCTTATAAAAATTGTTCGAAATGATTTTTTTTTCGAAATCTTTAAGAAAACTTATGCTATGAAATCAGCAAAAAGTAAAAAAACTGAGGGCTAATCCCGAGTTTATTTTGCTTAAAAAAAGAGTATGAACTGAACTGCCCGAATGTAGCTTGAAATGCCGTAAATACGAGGGGCTGCAGCCCTCCTAGGCCTTATGCCCTTATGTCTTACGTATATGAGAAGCTTAGCTATGACTGTTAAATCAGCGTAAAAAACACTTGGTTTTGGTAATTGCAAAATCAATGTTTCGTAATCAATCCACCATCGTTTAGCACTGGTGTGGGGCACGGGGGTGCGAAGTATTCTACACCGGAAACTTTTACTTAACAAAATAGCGCTATGCGTACATTGTGCAAAAGAAATTCACGCAGGCATTGTAGGTTCAGAGATTGAAACTGTAATTATCAAATAATATTACACACCTGAAATGTGAATCTGGAAAATGAATTTACATTTTCTTAATTACCAGTCATCTGGCTCATAAAACTCTTTTGCTGCAAAAAAGAGGAAATATGTTTGAATGAAGACACAAATTATGGACAAATGATGCAGAACTTCAATGCAAAATAGAAAAATCAGTTATGCGGTAGCAAATTAACTTCTGCATTAGGAATGGAATGCATCTTAATGGCGATGATAATGTGTTCAGCTTTGTATTCGTGATTTGTGGCTCATGTTATCCTTTATATGCTGTTTCGTCTATTTCATTTACAGCATATTTTCTTGGGCCAATTGCTGCCTTTTGTTTATTTAAATAAACTTCTACTACTCGTGTTCTTCTTACTTTACGTGAACTGTTTCTAAGTTTCATTAGCTAAAATGTATGTTTCCTATTCGCCTATTCGATAAACCCTGACGTATTTACAACAACGTTTATTGGGAAGATTTATAATCCACAAAGATTAAGTTGATCTTTCTTTAAATAAACGACCGCAACCTAATTGAGCAAAAAGCGTTGAGCAATTTATGCATTGAAAATTTTGCAGCACTTTTTGAACCTAATCATTTCTTCGATTTCCATTTCATCAACGATCTTTCTGAAAGGCTTCTTCTTCTTTCATACTTTCATAAGAACTATATAACATCAAGGTATTTAATGATTAGTTATGGTAAAGGTAAACTTTGGTTTTGGAACGGCTTTGTTACGATTCAAAACCTACATTTCCCCCCGGCATTTTGAACTAGAGTCTGGGACACATTCTCCAAAGTTCTCTTCTTCGAAAATATTACCCTCCACATCTTTTCGATTTTACTTAAGATCCTCTTACCTGAAATATCGTCTTTCTGGGGGATAGGTTCAATGAGTAATTATTGAAGCAACAATCTGGTCAGAACGCTATTTGAAAATTAAAATTTATGAACATGTTCATAATTGGCAGATTCGGTGCCCTATGACATTTTTTCTAAATTGCTGGTACTTATATTTCCGAATTTCTAAAAAAGTTCCCACAAAACCGTGATGTGATGCCAGTTTGATTAACAGGCTGCAAGCTTAGAAATCAAATTAAAATGCTTAAAAATGCTAGAAAAGAACAGGTGTGTACAATAGATGCGTCAGCAGACAACACGCAGCAGGTGAATGACGTCATAGTGAACGAGCCTGAGTCAATGGGATCGGACCGAAGACAGTTAACGTCAGAGGATTGTCAAACTGCACCATCATGGGAATTAATCAAAATATGTACACCTGCACAGGAAGAGTTTGTTAATGAAATGTTTCTCGCAGAAGTACAACACGTCTTTTAGCAAAACAACTCATGGTCACAAATGGTTTCTTTGCAGGTGTCCAAGCTTGGAAGAAATAATATCCCAGATGACATAGCCCAGTCTGGCTTTCAAACAGGAGGTTTCAGGCTAACATTTTGCCAATTTTCCACCCCTTTTCTTTTCTTATTCCTTCCAGTAGCTTAAAATCTTAGAATAACATTGTTCATGTCATATCTTCTTTGAAATACTATTGAGAATCGAAAAAGAAAAGATCTAGTGGGCCTTAACGAAACTTAAAAATGCCGGTCGAAGACACATGTTGTTGATAGCTTGATAGCTTGATAGCTTGTCCCAATCGTAAAAGTGCATTCGGTCATTAATACTGGTTGCTGGAATTATTAATATGCTATAGACTGATTTGGTATTATGTCTAAAAAATATCAAAAGAGTTGAAGCTGGAACGACAGCGAAAACCGAGAGAGGCATTGCTTAAATATTATTCCACTTCTGCTTGTTTTGGCTCATCTAATATTTTAATGGGCAGTTTAAAAAAGATTGCCGGAGATTATTTCAGGATTTTTGTATTTCGAGTTTTGTATTTCAGGATACTCCCAAACAGGAAAATCGTATTAAAATATAGATTTATTTTGTAAAACTGAGAGAACAACAGAACCTTTTTGAAGCACAGACAGGGGACCATCCCAGTCACCATTGTTACTTTGGCATTACTTTTATTCACATCTAGAGATTTTGTAATATACTGGACTAGAAGAGAGTGTTTAACGTCACAAAGACCACTTGTTAGTATCGTTTACTATTTAGACAAGCTAGACAAGATTCCAAACTTTAAAAAGTCTAACAGGTAAACAATTCATTCTTCTTGAGAAATTTCAGCGTGACAGAAGTAAACTCACTCGCCAAAGAAAAATGTTACCAAGCAAATTTGGGGCTTGTCTTGCATCAGTTTTCAGGTTTAAAACATTAAAGGAATGATCAATCAAACCAAATTTATTTCATTCACCAATGTTAAATTGCAGTCATCAATATTGGCGATTGCGTTTTTTGTAGTTTCTTTTTTGTTTAAGAATTTTATAAGAAATTTGATGTCTTGCTGTTTCAATGTAAGCTATTTCTAAAACACCTAAGTTGATATTTTTATGTTTATTTCGTTGCAAAAATTGACAGTCACAAAAAAGCTCTTGAAACTGGAATCTTGTTTATCAATTTGCGAATATACAAAATAATAAAAAGCAGAGCTAGTGCTTTAGTCTAGCTAAAATAATTACAAAATAGAACTTTTGACGCTTTTCTTAGGCCATTTATGTTATAGGTTAAACTTTTGTCAAGCAAATTGAAAGTCCAGCCTTAGATCGAAGAAAACTGGCAGCTTCTGCTGTCAAAACACGAGCTTCGTTATTAAACTAGTCAATGAATTTATAATTATTTCATATTAATTTTCATTCAAATATAACGAGTTTTGTATCATTATCCTGTTAACTTTATATTTAACCAAATCATTATCCTTATCATTACCCTGTTACGTTTTTTGATACCGCAAAATTTGAAGATGGCATGAAGCACTTCGTAGACTCAAGGCATAATGACAGAAAGTAAGCATTATAAATGGTCCAACCCTAAAATTTCCTGACTGCAAATATTGACCCGCAAATGTGCAGAAAAGAAAACATCTCGAGGGAATGTCTTACCTTCTGAAGGCTTCTTCTTTTTTGGCACTTCTGCACAAGCATCAGCATTATTAGACGGAGTTACTTCATCCACTGGCGCGGTTGCCTCTGGGCTGCTTACCACTATAACAGAAATTAGTCCTTAGCGCAACAGATAAAACGATAAGATAACAAAAAATTGTAATCGATTAAGCAGCTCATTACGTAAATGTTATCCTTTTTGAAAATTTCTCAACTAAAAAACCACCGACTTTGTAATTTTGTTGAGGCTTTCCTCGTTTGGCTTAATTGCAGGGGGTTGGAGAAGGGTTCTCCAAATATTGCAAAGTTTGCCTATGCGAAATTCCTTTTTGATAGAGAGAAAATGATTCACATAAGAACTTTTTGAAAACAGTCACATCTTTAAAGAGCCAACTATTAGCTATGTCACAGTCTAAAGACGCAGCCTGCCATACCTGATAATTTTTTGATAATTACAATGGAAACTAATTTACCTTCACCCTCTTCTAAAGTGTCTTCGAATTTTCGCTTTGTCCTTCTCTTATCTTTCTCCCCATTGCAATCTGCTTCTTGAATTGCCAGGAATTCGGCTTTGTCGTATTTGTCAAGAGGATCTAACCCAACGGATTGTTTGTATGTTATCACCCTGCAGGGACCACTATTTTTCTGAACCACAAGTTTTCTTATCACTGCAAAAAAGAGAAAACATGAAAAACAAACTGAGAAAAACATAGAGACAGTGGAACATCAAAATTACTCCCCCGTAAAACAAAATATATCAGAGTAAATTATTATCGCTTTTTCTTTCTATTTTGAAAATAAATTCGCAATAGGAAAATGCATTTTCACAAAAAAGTTCTTTTGACAAAGAAAAAGTACTACATGCATTACTGACACCTCTATCAAAGGAAACTTTAAGGTTTTTACCGTAACAGACAAAGGCGTCCTATCTTCAGCCTATATTTAAAAAGACTAATCTTCAAGCTGAAAATTATTATCTTTTCCAAAACGAATTGAATTTTTATCAGTTCAAAAAAGGAAAATGTGTTTCAAAACAGTTAGTCGTTAGCTCTACATGGTCTTTCTTGTAAATAAACTCTTTTAATTTTTTTTAGGTATACACAAGATGCAGCTAGGCAAAGATTACGAAAAGTCTTCCTTAATGAAATCACAACAGTCTAGCAGTGAACTACCCGAAATTTGTTTTGTTGCACTACCAATCGATACACAGAAAGGACTGGCAAGTGAAGAGAGGTTTAAAAAGCATGCCAAAAAGGTTTAGCACTCAAGGGAACCGCTTAAGGAAGAGACATAAAAACAGTTGGCTTAGAGTGAATCTGCTTTGTATTTGGAATAACAGATCCAAAAAAGTGTTATCTTTTACTGGCCAATGGGCAAATTCTTTCAAAACCGCTCGAAGAAGAAAACACTTAAAAAGAGATGAAAACAGGGTGCCGTCTGGATGTGGTCTGGTTTCCTCGCTCTCATTAGCCATGTGACCATCAATTTTTCTGGGCTTTGCAGAGTGCGTTTCTGCTATTAAATAAAATTCGTGATGATTCAAATAAAGGTATTAATCAATCCAAAATATTCCTGGCGGGAGTGTACTGTAATTACTACCTTCATCCGCATTTTCCGGCTTGTCCAAGGATACATATGCAGTGGTATCATCGAGAAACGCTGTGTAAACATTTCCTGAAATGACCAAAAACAAGAAAATCTAAGCAATTAAAAGAAGATTATGTCTTGCAGAAGCTGACGTCATTTGAAGTTTCTAGCCTTCATCCGCTCTTTTCCCGTTCGGGCGATAGCTATCTATACTGCAGTTTGATGGGCAATGGGATCTCACACTGGGCACCAAGTCACTTAGAGCCACAAACAAATGGCTTCAAAGGAAAGAAGGAGAGGCACTGGAGAAAATGAACTCTAATTCAATTGATGATTTGCATTGTGAAAAAGGAATTTTTTATTTTCATTTAAACTTTACACCACCACTCATTACAATATAACGCTTCACTAAAGAAAAGCAAAGCTGAATAAATTCTATTTTTGAAAAAGTTTTCAAAAATTTGATACTGTTTGAGCATTCAATGGTACAGGTCTGTTCTACGGTATTGTCAAGGAAAGGAAATCGATAAGCTGACAAAATGTTTCTAAGCTAAAGGAAGAGGACATCGATTATATGAATGAACAATAAAATTGCCGTCGTAGGGTTTGACTGAAAATTGGCTAAAAGTTTGAAAATGTCACAACAGCTTACCGAACTGGCTAAAAAGTTCATTAACATCTGCATACTTCCAATTATTAGGAAACTGAAGGTGAAACACGTGTTTTCTCTCAGGAATATCTTTAAAACAGAAAAAGACAAATTAGAGTGTAATTTTAAGAATTTAATAAATGGTTTAAGTATACCCTTATATCGTCGTAGATGTATGTTGCAAATAACATTATTGATAACGTTCAATTTTGTAAAAGATCCCTCTAAAGAATCTCATACAATCTCGAGACAAAGTTTAAAGATTTTTGGGAAGCAATTCGAAGCATTTTAAGCAATTCAAAAAACCTGATTGCTGCAGGAAAAAGATAGAAACGATACTTCCTGTCAAAACTTTTTCTAGTTAACTTGAAACTGAAATTACACGGTTTATAAGCTGTTTTCTTACTGTTATTTTACAGTAGTTGGTTTGTGTAAAAAAATTATGAAAGTACATAACTAATGTTTTTTATTCTTAAAAATTATCATCATAGAACAAATTCAACTCTTTTTTAGACTGACTTTAGAAACAAAGTGTCATCTATCGTTTTTCAATTATACCCTTTGAAAAACAATTCAAAGATAAGGCTTTTAAAAAGTTTGAAAACAGAATTTATAAAAACAGCTTTGTATTCCGAAATAGAAGAATGCGAGGAAACAGTAGACGCAATAAAAGTAGGGCATTTTTGTCTCAGCTGTTTCCTATTTTTGAAATTATGATGCAGAGGGTCCCTTTGTCTGTACATCAGATTTGAGTGCGTGGATACTTTATACAAATACCATACTCAAAAATGGACAGATGTGTGAAAATGGAAGTGCTATGTCATAAAAATTCAATGCAATGCCAAAAGTTTTAGTTGTTGAATTTTCACTCGATATGCGCTTGATGAAACACAGAAGTAAATGTATAAACTCATTTATTTGTTACAGGTGATTTGCAACTATAGGTGGAAAGCTTCAGCTAATTAAACTGATACGCGGTAATATCAGATATATTATGGAATAGCGGATCAGTAGGGGCCTCGTTGTTGAGGAAGAACCAAATGTTGAACTTCATTCTTATGGTTCGTATGCTCTAAAAATAGTCACTTCTGATTATTATTATTATTATTATTATTATTATTATTATTATCGTTGAGCAGTGGCGTTCACACGCACATTGTACACGATCTCGTTTCTTCGATTTTTCAAACAGCCTGGATGTCTACAACGCTTATTTAAAGATACGAATTAGTATATTGTATTCAACCGAGCCAGAATCGTTATGCTGCGACCTCGCTTACTATGGCTTCTAATAATTTCGGTGGTTTGTTCGTACTGCGGAAAGGATTTTCAGGTGCTAGGCCGCCACACATGGCGCTGCAGAAAAAGATTGCCCGAGAGTGCTGGACCAAACAACACGATTAATATCACATCAGAGTCTGACAAAAATGCCCTCCAGACGTCGGTTATAGTTAAATGTGTCTGTGGGAAAGAATGTTCGGGTGCTAAAGGACTGAAAATGCACCAAAGACGATGCAGAGTAATTGAAGGCCTAGAGGATCAACCGTTGGATTTTGAAAATTCAAATATTGGCGCCAACCAATCACTGATCAGCCATACGGAAGTGACAACGGATACACTTTGTGATTATGAAATCAAACCTGGTGTACGTCTGCCTAAGACTGATGATCAATGGAATACTGCTAACAATTATTTTAAATCTATCTTTATTAACACTAAAATTGAGAAAGTCTCTCTTGATTCCACGATTAAATTCATGAACGATTCAATTTACAATTATTTTAAACATTCATACGGAACCGTCAACGGAACTCGTGATAATGATCTACTTAACAAATATAAGGACTGCTCCAAACAATCACTCAAGAAAGAATTAAAACGTCTGAAATTGTCAAGTGCTCCACCTACTGAAATTAAATTTGTATCCCGCCTTCTTCGATCAAAACTCAGCCAGGATCGTAACATATGCAGCTCTGCAACAACATCCCAAGATTACGATAAGCTCATCTCGAAGAACCTCTGGAGTTTCGTAAAAAATGTTATCGAAAAACAATCTGCCGTTCTGCCATCATTCTCTGTTAACCGTTGTACACAATTTTTCGTTAAAATGTTTTCAGCAGTCTTCCCAGACCGGCAATTTGTCATACCTCCATGGATTCCTTCTCTTTCTCAACCTTCAGTTCCATTTGATACACAACCCCCGTCTTATGAAAAAGTGACAAAAGTTATTCGCAAAATGAAGTCAGCAGGATCTCCATGCCCTTTGGACAAGATTTCTATTATTTGTTTCAAGAGATGCCCTTACCTCCGGTCATTTCTGACTGAAATAATACGTGTTGTGTGGACCACGGGCCACGTTCCTAGCGAATGGAAAAAAGCTTGTACAGTTTTAGTCTATAAAAAAGGCAGCATTGATGATCCGGCAAACTTTCGACCTATTACCCTCGAGTCTGTACCGCTAAAAATATTTACCTCTTGCCTGCGTGATGCTCTGTTTTCCTTTCTCAAACAAAATAATTTCATTGAACACGAGATCCAGAAAGGGTTCACTCCTAACATCTCTGGAGTGCTGGAACATACTTCACTGATGGCCCATATTATCAATAAAGCACGCATAAAGCAACGCTCTGTGGTTGTCACTCTTTTGGATTTAAAGAACGCATTTGGAGAGGTCCATCATAACTTAATCATTAAAGCTATGGACTATCATCACATCCCTGCTCACTTTCAAGATCTCGTGTCTAATCTTTATACTGATTTCCACACTTCAATTATAACAGATAATTTCAGGTCTCCGGCCATTCCAGTCAAAAGAGGAGTACTGCAAGGGGACTGCCTCAGCCCTCTCATTTTCAATTTATGTTTCAACACCTTTATTCAGCTGGTAAAACAAGACAAATATAAACAACTTGGATTTTCTCCTCATGACGGCAATGATCGCTTGTTTAACCCGGTTCACTGGTTTCAATTCGCTGATGATGCTGCAGTTGTCACAAGTGATGAACGCGAAAATCAATTATTGCTAAACTGTTTTACAAGATGGTGCCAATGGGCAAATATGATCATCCGCGTAGACAAGTGCATCACCTTTGGAATTAAAAAGTTTGCAACTAAATCTGCACAGTTTCAGCCTAAACTCTTCATTAACAACGATCCTGTCCCTTTTGTGAAACATGGCGAATCTTTCAAATACCTGGGTCGTTTCTTCAATTATGATATGAAGAACCAGGAACACAAGGATCACTTGACCTCTTCTCTCCGTGAGATGCTCAAAGTTATCGATTCCTTGAAAATTCACCCGCGGAACAAAATTCTACTGTTTAATCAATACATCCTTTCAAAGCTCTCTTGGGATCTCACAGTTGCTAATCTCTCCAAAACGTGGGTTTGCGAAAACTTAGATCAGCTTGTCACAAAATTCGTTCGACAGTGGCTCGAGCTTCCAATATCTTCGACATTGAGTGGCATAGTTCTTTCTCGTAAACACTTTGGTCTTGAGCTTCTGCTTCCTTCCGTAAAGTTTCAACAGTGCCAGACTGTTCTTCGAAACTCACTCAAATCTTCGCCCAACGAAAACATCAAATCCCTATGGATGAACACCAATTATGGACCTAATATACAGTTCGACGCATACAAGAACACTAAGGCGGTACTGAAATGTGTAAGGGATGAACACACTGAAAAGCTCAAAACTCAGTTAACATCTCAAGGCTTCATCATTTCATTCCTGCTTGAGCATTCATATACAAAGTTAACCTCACTCTGGTCTGCAGCTCAAAGTAAACTTCCAAAAAACATCTTCAACTTTACGATAAGGTATCTCAACAACACACTAGCCACAAGGAACAACCTCTGCTTATGGAAAATTAGCTCTTCTCCAGATTGCTCATTCTGCCTTCAGCCTGAATCACTTCTTCATGTCGTAGCTGGATGTAACAAATACCTTGAGCAAGGGCGTTTTACTTGGAGGCACGACTCTGCCCTGCACTTCATTGCATCATCATTTCAATGTATCCGAGATGTATTCATTTATGCTGACATTCCCGCTTATTTATCACCATGTATCATAACTGGCGATTCGTTCCGTCCCGACATGCTAATCAAAACTGCTTCTAACTGTCTGTATGTCATCGAATTAACTGTTGGGTTCGAGACTAACCTGGACAATAACGCTTCGCGTAAAGCTGAGAAGTACCGTTCCCTTCTAAAGGAACTACGCCCTAAGTTCAAAAAAGTAAACTTTGTTAATCTATCTATCAGCTGTCTCGGTATCTTTGGTAACTCCTGTGATTCTTTCATCGATATGTGTGATGAACTAAAACTTGACTACCAACACCGTAATTTTATAATTAAAAAACTGTCAGCAATAATTATACGCACATCCTATTATATATTCTGTATGCGCAATAAGACTTGGACAAACCCTGAACTGCTCTCCTTCTAAAGATTCTTTGCACTCATATGATTTATTTAAATGTTATAACTTTTGTAAAATTAGTAAACTTGTCACCAGGCTAGCCGATGGTAACTACCTGTAAAGTGAGGTTACTGTTGTAAGTAGAAGAATATAAAATAAAAAATGTTTTCATTATTATTATTATTATTATTATTATTATTATTAATATCGTATTTTAACAGGTTGGCATCTTTCAGAAAATTCAAATTTCTGCTATCAATGAAGGACCTTCTGTACGTACAGTTATACAAGATCTTAAGAAAATATAATAATTAGCAAGAAATCTGTTAAAATATAAAGTGTAATCCAAATCTAAAAGTCCAGAGAGAGTAAGAGACAAAACTAAGAAGTAAAATCAGTCAAGTTCGTAGATGAACTTATAAAGCTGAGTAAGGCTAAAGCTAAGAAGTAACATATACAAAAAAAGAAAAATGTATTACCATCGGGGGCATCCATTGTCAAATAAGTGAGATCGTTGATTCGCATGACAAAAACTCTGTCAAACATAACAATTGGATTCAAATGTTAAAAGAATAAACATTCAGTACATTTCTGTTTACTTAAATGGCAATTTAGGGTACTTGGTGGTTTACTTCGCACGCAACTATTTTAGCATGAAAGGACTTTTGGAGACAATAAGCAAAATTACAAAATGAATAAAAACGCTATATTAAAAAAGGTTTTGCTATTTACGACAAGAAATTAACTAAAGTTATCAAATCAGATTTAATAATGATAAAAAACAAGGACGAACATTTCCACGGACTGAAACTGAATCGAACTAATCTACATTAAGCCCTTTTAACAGAAACTTGATTTCAAGACTTTTGCAGAGTTTTCGCAAAGTTTTGCCTTTTCCACTTAGGTAATATATGAGCAAAAGCCATCTAAAACGCTACACCGACGCAATTTTTAAAGAGGCTTTGTACAACAAAACATTACTTAAAATTTCAAAAAGTGCTAGCTTAAATCAGCCAGTGGGCCCTGATGTAGGCAGTGCAACCAATTTTGGTATTTGTTTCCACCTAGCATCCCAAGGTAGTTTTTAAAGACACTGAGAAGCTATGCTTATCGAGCAGTGTCCTGGTTCTTCCTCTCGATTAGACCACATCACACAATTTTATGCGAATCTGAGTTTGCTTTCTATGGATTTATGGACACCAGTCCCTTCAACAGTCAGAGGGTTGGCCAGGGCAACCAGATCTTTAACGCTCAGTATCATGATAATCATCTCAAAGATGTACGAGATTGGATCAGTGAAACCAGGGATCAGTCAAACAAAATACAGAAAACCAAGAATGCTGGTTTTTCAAATCCATTAGTTCATTAATTTCTCGCTTACCATAGAAGCATATGAGCATATTAAGCTTAATATTTGTAAGAAAAATCACTGAAAATTTGTTGAAAGTCTACCTGTTGATAAATGGATTTAGTATTTCAGCGTTGAGGTTGATTTCTCTCAATTCATCTTCTGGTTGTTGAAGTTTACCTAAAAAGAAGAAATTACCGTCATATTGCATAATAACAACTTGTGTAGCAATGAGAACTTTCTACATCAATGAAAACTTTCAACACTACAACAATCTAACAGCATAAGTTCTGTAGCTATCTACTTCAAGAATTATTTTATGGATAAAAAGAAAGATCTTACTTTGAGCATTGTTATACATGAATTGGTTGGTTAGTGATACATTAATTGCCCTTGCAGAATATCCATTGGTGCGCAGTAATTAAAATACACTATAAAGGTTATGTCTTTAAAAGCAGGTTTTTTGGCTGTTTTTCGAAGCATCCCTGTCATGTAGTGTAAAGGTTTTCTTCTGCGCAAATTACTACAACCACATTGGCTCTCTTTATCGATTGTTAATTTCTATGCCCCCCAAAAGCATCACGAACCACAGTGCCCAAACTACTCGGCTCTTTTGTAGGAGAACCCTGGCACTACACTTGCTTTCCCTATGTAACGTCTGCTTTCCATTATTAAGAAGCTCCCTTGTTTCCTTAGCATTTTAGAATGGATTCTGGACTATTCATAGTCCGAGGCAGAAGGCCATCTGGCTCGCTCGGTAAGAATATTTTGCGAATCCAGAGAAACTCACAAAATATAAAAAATACAAGCAATTAAATTTCCACCAAACTTTCATCAGTAACAGCCATGTATTGCAAAGGTACAAAACTACTAAAGAACTATAAATACGACGACAAGTAACCTTACATAGATGTGAAGCCATCTTCAAAAAAGAAAACCCAGTGCAGTAAGCGTCATATCCAGCTTCGTGAAATTTGTCATTGCCCTCACTGTATTCTCCAAAACCATCCTCAAAGCCTGTCAAAAAAAATCAAAATTAGGTATAGCTCACTCTTCGTCACTATCCGAAAACGAAGAAATATTTCTTACTGATGCTTATGACGTAGAGACGTTGTAAAGCAATTGCCAGAAGTGAACAACAACCACATTCCAGACTCTTTATCAATTCGCCTGCTAGCGTGCAATGACTCAGATGTTTTTATATGTAAACTAACGAGGCTACAAAATTCAGCGTACCTATTTCTGGTTCCTTGAAATTATCTTTTAAAAATGCAAATAAAGGATCTAGTGCCGACGTCGGTACCTTTTTCTGCAAGAAGAAAAATTGCAAAGTATTTAAAAAGAGAGAATTATTTTGCTCTTAGAAGTGGAAATTGAACAGATTTGACATTTAATACTTCAGAATTTTATATCAGAGATCGATCCTACTCAGCAAATTATTCCCAAAAAGAAGGTCACTCGATTCCTAAGTTACTCCTATTTTGTAAAAGGGGAAAGTTGAAGAAAAATAAGAGAGTAGAAAGCCATTTGTCACTATCGTAGAAAAAATGTGTCCATCAACTGCAACTGTAGATGACGCAAAAAGAACAGTGTACACGAAAAAGCAAGAAAAAATTACTAGAAATGAAGAATTTTGAAACATCCTTCGTTACCTTCATCTTGGAAAAATAAAAACGTACCGATTCGGAACATTGCGCATAAACATAACAAAAATAAAAAACCGTAAATTTTACTTTGCCAATTAATTTTAGAGTCAATTAAATTGAAAATAAAAGAAAACAAGTAGAGGTAGGAAGAAACTTACACAGCCCCTGTTTTGAAAACTTTGAAAATATTTAAATAATTAGAGGAAAGCCAAGAACTAAAATAAAAGCATTCCGATTTACATAATAGTATTTTTTGCAGCTGCTTTTGCAGCCCAATAAAGGGCAGTAATAAGGAATTGAGTATTTTTACTAATGAAAGCGTCAATAGACGGAAATGCTTGCAAAGGGGATTGGAACTAACTTTATGTTGTGACTCCTGCATGGTAACGAATTAAGAATCTCTTAACAATTGCCTAATTGCTGTTAGGGTTGACAATCAGAATAGAGTAAGCTTTCTTAATTGTTTGGGAATAACTCGGAGATAGCACTATAGATTTCGCATGAAACTACAAATTTCTCTGACATTAAGCAAATTAGTTAATATTTAAAAAAAGTGTTAAGAGTAATATTTAATCATTTCACGTGTTGTTTGACTGGGTCATTGGCCTACGAAGAATAAGAAATAGCCCTAGCTACATGAAGGTATGTAAGCTTGAAACAATTATTGAAAATTGCAAGTTGAGATGAGTTGGATGATATAACACTGATTTGCCGCTGAAGCCTAGACCTTTCCTAGAATATAGAAAATAACCATTAAATGGGCTCGAAAAAACGTTTTAGCCAAACGTTTTATCGTACTTTCAGTTTTAATAAAAGGCACCTAGCACCTTTACTTTTAGTTTTTCTTAAAGTTAACCAGAGTAAATTTGCCTCCTGCATGTGTTTGAGCTACTACAGTATAGGAATTAATTGAATTTGTAACGCCTGTTATGAAGCTTTCCGGTTCCATTCGACACAAATGACAGCTTTCACGATGTTTGGCAATAGTTCATTTGCTGGAAGATTTTTAGCAATTGTTTACTGCTGGATAATTGGATCTTGTCAAAGCAAACACCGGGTATATTTTCAAACCGAATTTGTGATTGATGTTTGCGTGAGATTATTCAGAGTTTACCTGTGAACTATAAATCAAGATTGTGACAGTAGCGAGGTGAAAGAAAAATATATTCAAACGAACGTGTTTGGTCACCATGGCAGTAGAGTTTACGCACAGTGTCACATGCAAGGTATTAATATGGAAAGATGAAGTATAGTGTACGCGAAATGGGCGGAATTCACAAGCGCAGGTGCAACTGTTAAACAATAAGCAATTCAGATTATCACAAAAGCTTTTTAAAGTGAGAATCTTCTCTACTTTGTATTTACATTTTAAGACTCATATGTTTATTCTATTCGGCATAATTTACTTTGGATTCGTTTAGGAACTTCCTAGAAAACCAGTTGTCAAGTGAACGATATGAATGGTGGAAAAATGCAGCATCTGCGTGAAATAAATCCTACTTTAGCCCTCTCTAGTCCTGCAATTGTACCGCTCTATATAGCATATCATTAATATCAAAAACTGTTTTGGGAACATAAAATCTGGTGAAGCTACGAGAAGTTACCTAAAGCAAATTCGTTTTGCCAAAAAAGCCCAAGGTATATGTTAAGAAAGAAGATTTTATAAAGTATGCATATCCGAAAAACAAAGCATTACAAAATTAAATTGTTGCGAAATTTACAAGAGAGGCTATAAGACAATACAGCAAGACTTTGAATGCTACGTCCTGTCGCAACATTAAAAGGAAGCCAAAGAATTTTGAGATTTAATTCCGTGTTACATCTAGATTATGAATTCATCAGAAACAAGGGAACTGTTTCTCTTTCCGTTTGGCAATATTCTCGAGGCTTTGACGATACTACAATTTCTTTGTCTTTAATTGTTTTCCTTACGGACTTCCAACGTATGACAATAAAGTTTTTTAAAAATGATTGAAAAATAGCACACAAGTTTTGTTTTCATGCAAAAGGCACTTTATTGGATTCTGTCCCCAAATGCACGGGTAACAGAAGCGGAGAACCTTTAACTATTGTTGCAATAGAGCAAAATATTTTGTAAGTCAGCAGGTGCCTCTTTCTGGTAAAAAAAACCTCTTGAATACGCAATGAATACGCATTCATGAGCTTGATGATCACGGAAGGGTGGAGAGCACAAAAGGGTTTTCAATTTTGTCCCGTTCGCTGCAGCATATATCTGAATGCGTAAATGCACAAAGAATGAAGGTCACAACATAATCTCACTTAATTTTATTTGGTCAGATTTTGGGCGTTGTAAAGAACATAGGCCATTCAGCTCATATGGTAACGACTGCTTGACAGCCTGTGACGTCAGAAGAAAATAGCTATATAGAGGTTCTCGAAGAATGAGATGAATAAAAAAAGCAAGGAACTAAAAAGGAGGAATGCGAGAAGAAAGAAAGGCCTTTCACTGGCATCACTCAAACCAAAGTGAGTAGGCCTCAATGTTTTAACCAAAGCTTACCTTTAGTGGTTCTGACGTCGCAAGCAGCTTGGTGTCAATAAGCCTGAAACAGGAGTTCAACATTATTTTTCAAGGCATCGCAATAATTCTTGTAAAACAGAACAAAAGCTGATATCAATTTACATTACAGCAACATCATGGCTTTAATATCATGGTAATATCCAGTAGCGTCACCAGGGTGGTAAAATTGGGGGCTGGAGGGGGGGCACGGACGAATTGAGCAATGAAAAATAAGGGTCCACACCCCTTTTCAAAGAAGGGTGGGGGTCCGCTTGCCGCCTCCGCACTACGCTGTTAATTTCCTTTTGCTAAAAACATAAATATAGTTCAACAATTACTTTTACAATCGCAGAAAAGATTACAACTCCACATGAACTCATTAAATTCACTTGAAATTAGGAGCGGCACGCTAAAACCTATTGTTAAAAAGTCCAAAAGCTCAGTGTTGATATCCAGTTTACGAATTTCAACGAGAAGATGAAAAAACGTAAAGGTTTCAGTGGACAGAGAATAACGTGCAATGTTGTCCCATTTTAGCCATACAAATGCCATTAAAATAATACAATACATGAAATTAACTAGCTACAAAAGATTATCAAACTATCAGGTCTATGAGGGGATTTGTATGCAAGAAATTTCTTGAAAGGAGGAACTCTCTAAAAAGGAAAACTAATCGAGGAGAGAGCACCCCCTTGGTTAAGAACAAAAATTTGTAAAATGTAACGTAGGCGCACGTTGACCAAAACTATAAAAGTATATGTTGCAGAAGAATATAATAAGATACTTACTTTGGGAAAAACGTTTGAACGATCTCCTTAAAGTCATCATAAGACTGAAAAAGCGACAATAAGCCATTATTAACTTGCCCCACATAAATTCAAATTGCTTATCATAGTCATGGGCAAAAAACATTATGGATATTTCCAGCAGTAAATTGAAATGCATGCACATGTTTTTAAGTCGTTTACTTCATATCCTTTTATTAGGTTAGTAAGTAAACCAATTATTTAGTTTCAATTTTTCTATCTTTTCAATTTCTACTGCACAACTTAATATCAATTTATCTACCTGTCATGAACCATGAATATGATTTAAAGATATTTTGCACGAACCCTTTTCAAAAACGGGGTTACATCGGCCATTTGGGACCATGTTCACATCACTGGAACTCTCACATTTTTTGAAGACTTTTCAATCTTGAACTAAAGTGCTAGCAAGTTTGATTTGTTGATCCACAAATTTTTGCTAACGTTAAGAGATCATCTGACATCAACTTTCAAAAGACATCTATTCAGCTCTCCTTGTTTTGATTCTCTCACAACTTTCTAGCTCACTTGTCTTCACCCTGAACCTTCCTTATTTGTAGATTTTTTAATTAATTATGCATTCTAAATAATTACCTTATGCATAATAAACCATTTGCATTAAACTTAATATTTATGTAATAATTTTACTTATAAAAAAGGAGAGTAACATAAAAACTCACATCAGGTAGAGGAGTAAAAAACTGGTTTATTGTGAGCATCAGGTCGATGAGCATGTTATGCCCAACAATTAATTTTTGCTAGAACGGAAAATGCATAATAATAATTCACAGATTATGGGAAAGAAAAATAAATAAAAGAACGGCGATCTCAAGTCGTGTTAGACTAAAACAGTTGAATTCTCGTTATTTAAAGTTAAAGGAAGAACTAACTGACCACGAAACAATCAAACAAGCCTTGCTCTCAGCATAGTTTGAATACAGCACAGAAAAGCAGAAACATAACAAACTAAGTGTTTTTCATCCGACACTCATCAAAGTTTAAGTATAGAGGTCGGATAATAAATGAAGGTAAGCAGAAATATCATTGGACGAAAAAGTTATTGTTGCCAAATATTGAACTTAAAAAAAGGATATTTTGCAAAACATTACAATTTATATCTCACTACTAACTTACTGAGCGTGAGAGAAGCTTTGCAATCGTGAGAAAACCAACAGCAGTCTCAAATTCAGCCTAAAGAAATTATGAAGACGCATTTTGTTAATTTTCTTAAATTTCCCTGCTAAGTGATGCTACGCACAAAGATAGGTTTGAAATAAGTCACTTTACAACGTGATAGGTCAGTTAGAGAATGCAGAAATTCGGGCCTTGCTGCAACCAAAAGGTGCGAGCAACCTGCTGAAGTGATTCTCATAAAATGTTTTAATATGTCTTGAACAGATGTCGGTTTCAGGGTTTTGATCAAACAACAATAAACAAAATGTGGTGATCCAAAGTTGTTTTCTGCCAATATTTACTTCACACTAAAGCTGAAGCAACCAACAAAAAAACAATTTTGCCACTGAAAACCTAGTAAAAACGGCAGCATAAAACAGCTTTAAACCTCATACAGTGTCATAATTTATAAACTATGGCTATATAATGTTTAAACATCATATATAGGCATTTGCTGCATTTATCAATCAATCTTGACCTAATAACTAAACATTTTCTCTTAAACATTTTCTCTTTAATGTCTCTTAAAAGGGTGAAACCCAATATTGCCTGTTTTCTCTATATATCTAAATTTTGTGAATCTGCTGCCTGCAAATGAATCTGCGGCCTGCAAATTTAATTAAAGTTCCATAGCTTATAGCTTCGGTAAATCTTTATGTTGCCGAACTGTTTTGAAAAGAAAGCCCAAATACTATGCTTGATAACTACCAATTTGTTTATGCTCGGTTTATAAACAGAGCACTGCCTGTAAAGTTCAAAACAAAAGCCGAGTACAGCGTCAGTCTTTAAAATGATCATATATGATTGCATATTTTTGATTCAAAAATTGCTCTCAAAAAGTAAATAAACAAGTCGTGGTATGTCTGTGGTATTCGAATGCGAATTCAAATTATTTTGATTCTAAAAACGTTTATCGGGGTCCTTCGCTGCACCTACATCATCTTCAGGATTAAAGAGGAAAAAAAATAAAGACATGCAAGTAAAAGAGCATAAAGAGAAAAGACAAAAATACCCGCAGAAGTTACCCACAGAACTCCAAGTTTACCCGCAGAACTTACCATTTTTTCTGCGTTTTTGCTGGACAGCAGTTTTTTTCTTTCTTCTTCGTCAACTTTTCGAAGTCTCATCTGCTTATCATTCTGTGAATAATGTAATATATAATTAGTTTTTAAAAATAAACTGCTACCAAATTGAAAAATTTGACTCCCTTTGTTGTTAATCGCAGAGTTTGATTGTCTGTGGTGAAAAAATAACTTTTGCTTGTTTAAGGCAGTTAGCATGTACAGATCATCCATTGCCATTCTTCCCAAGAGATCACATACATACATCGCCATTAACAAGGTCAGGCACCTTATAATAATGCATAAATGGAAATGATGCAATCATTAAGATGAAGTAAGACGCTTGATCAATGCCAAAGCTTGAAGGCAGTTGAGCAAGCCTGCAGATTCAATACACATAGCACGTTATAAAACAACCAAAAGGGAATACAAACACAAATTACGCTATGCCGTGCATTATTCAACGGAAAAAATGTCATGGCATCGTCCAAAACTACCGTGAAACGTCATCAAACAGCCTTAATTTGCTGTCAGCCTTAAGTCATCAAACATCAACCAGGCTAAAGCCGCCAATTATGATAAAACTCCGCGCGACTTCAATGATTTTCACGTTTACCTTATCAACACGGAAGAGGTTGATATTTTTACAGACTCCATATAATGACTGGATAAAATCTTATCCTTTGAAAAAGGGTGAAAAAATGTTGGTATAACTAATAACTAGTTTAACGCTTGTATGGCAAACGAAAAGACGATATGACGACAAATAACGATATAACGATCGTATTGCGAGAAAGCTCATCGACCACAGCAGAGAGCTTAGCATAATGAAATCAGGAAGCCTTCAAAGGGTGGTCAGGTGGGATTCCCTTCTTTCATTTTTTGTTTTTAGAGTGCCTGTTGAACAATAGTTGATGATCGAGCATGGTACGCTAAACAAAATGTTCCACTTAGGCTACACTTAATTTAAAATTTACCTTATTTAATTGAACTGTTTCCACATAAAACTTAGAAGCAAACCTGTTAACAGAAAGAAATCAGAGTTTACTGAAGATATTTCTTAACAATTGCCATACGTGTGAGAGGCTATTTATTAAATGTTCAATTCATTGATAAAACATCTGTCCTTTCAAATGTTTTGCAATTCATTATTTGCATATTCTTTACAAGCAAAACTGTGAAATCTGATGTTAAAGCTTTCAGAAATTTTAAATATACATTTCTATACACTCAATTAACGAAAGGAAAATAAAGATAATTGAAATTGAAAATTCAACGGCAGCATTGCCATTAAATTATAAATAAGCAAAATATTTTAAATGAAAAAAGCCATAACCTGTCTTCAATAACCTCATATGTCAGCTTTCTTTTAAATGCACTGTTAACAAAGGGGAAGCAAAATCAAAATTCATTTAATGAAGTCATTTGAAATAGTTCCATTCTAAAATTCTAGAGCAGTATCGACACGTTCCAAAAGAAATGTCATTTTGAAGAATAAGCGATAAAAGTTCCACAAACAAGACTCAGCCTTTAAAAAGCTCGACGAATTCTTTATATCTGTAGCGACAAATTCACTGCAGCTCTGATGTATTTCAAGGTCAGTTTAGGGTCTCTGGTATTATATACGATGATTTGTCTTTTTGAATGTAGTGTTTTGTGCTGCTATTATGTTTGGGGACAATAGAGCAGTCAGTGATTTACTCTGGTCAGTCAATTTTGAGTGATGTTTTTGTTGCTGTTGCTGTTGTTGTTTATGTTGCTGTTGACGTTGCTGTTGTCATTGAAATATGATGCCCTCATAGCTTGTCGTCACTTTAATCAAGGCTTTGTTAGCGAAAAATATGCTAAAAACTGTATCAGATGTTTATATTCGCCGAGATTATTCCAAAAACAAGGCGACCTTGCAGTGCAAAATTCAGTTGTGTGCGAGGTGGTTGCGTTGCGTACCTCATTCTGATTCCCAGAAATCAAAACGACTTTCTTTCACTGGCTGGCAGCCCTAGATTACAGCCAACATTCCTGTAAACTAACAAAATCTGACTACCTGTCTTGGCCTCTGACATCTTTTGAATATTACTAAGTGCCTTCACTGCATCATATCAACCCAGCCAAGAAATATTAAAATTTATGAAAAGGTCATCTTATTTGATGACACGTTCAACATGTTTTTGAGGGACATTAAAAAATCTATCAATAAAAAAGGCGAAAAAAAACTGGTGAAAGCAGATATGTATTTCAAGTTAAAGTAGTTTGTGCTTCTTAATCTCCTGTGGCTTAAAACATTGCATTTAATATGCTGCTTTGTGATTCTAAATATCACATTAAACATGCATTGATAGTGTTTTTACAGATGCATAGGAAGGCCTTATCGTTGATATTCGATATCTTTGTAAGAACGCCTCCCTATTAAGAACACTATGCTTATTTTAAGAAAACTTTGTGCTCCTTTGTCTTAGTTATCAGATACGAGCACAAGGGTCTAAAAGCTAACAAACAGCTGGTCCCATCGACAGCGAAATCAACCGTATTCAAGAAGCAGTCATTTGAGCTACAAACAGCTTCATTTCAAGTCTTTTGGAAGCGACAACGTAACACAAACTCTTCGCTTTTCGTCATTTTAACAAATAGATAAAGCCAAAATACTATGTTTTCTCACAAAAACACAGCCTACTTGTGCTTTCTAAAATGCAACAATCCCTAACAGAACTACCATGGATTTCTGAAATTAAAGGAAATAAAATAATATTTTCAAATGGAAAGGGAATTTCTCGGATTTCAAAAAATCTCAAATATCAAATATCATATAGTTTATATAACCAGGGTTTCGCCACATCACAAAATGGGGGTATAAAGATATAGCTAAATTCTTATAATGTCGCAATTCTGGTTATCACGGCTTTACAGGAAACACAACATTTTTAAAACGGGACAGGACAGTACTTAAAGATGGCTAAACACACCTCACTTTTGGAAGATCTAAGGACAGCTCCTCTGATTGGATGAATGTTTCGATTTTTGAGCTGCAGGATAAAAACAAGAGCGATAATAGTTTATAATTTGCACGGGATCATGTAGTGCAAAAGCAAGGGCAATCGTTTACAAAAAGTTCAATTTTATAGATTAATGGAGAAAATTTCCATTCCAAAGTAGCAATCTTTACAAATAAAAGCTTAGGAAGATCTTCAGATTCGACTTTGTATCTGCTAAAAGATTTCGTTCAGGAAACTTTCCCGGAAGTTAAGATCAAAATTGCATTTCGAGCTTCCACAAAACAGACAATAGTGATGAATTATTCAAGGGTGTTAGGGAAATTGAAAATTCCAGTATTTTGTTTATAATACAATGGTATGCAGTAGACAGTTGTGTATGACGCCTTGTTAATACAAGACACTTTCGTCTGGGGTCTGTCAGTATAATCAACGATTACCTGCGAATTCCTACTTGATTACGAATCTCGCATTCATTTACTTCGAAAAAAGGAGGGTGTTAAAATAGCCATATGGCTGCTTTTAACTTTCTATGAAGCAAAGGCGGTCTAATGCTCAATAATTAATGTGTCCTTAACTCATTTTTAATGCATTATTCTGCGTTTTACTGAAGGGCTCAGCTATTCATGAAAAGAGCTTTGAGGACCCAATAAGCCTTGCTTCATAATAATCTGGGCACCCTTGCGATAAGGAAGGTTTTCAATACATCCTCGTTCTAGCACCAAGGGTGATGTGCAACAACAACAACCTAATTCAAGTGTATCCCTACACGCCATACTTACGCGGCATGGTTTTATGAGTGAAACTTCACTAGATTCACTATAGGGCTTCAGTGAACTGGGTATACACGATACATCCTTTTTCAATAGCTTCTGGTTTACAATCCCTTTTCCAAAGCAATAATTTATAGATAAGCTTAAGCATGTTTGCTAAGTAATTTTGATACAGCCTGTGCGTTAAAATGTTGCATTCAAACGAAAGGATAATGCAGACATAAGCGAATCAAAGCAACGAAACCAGCATACCAAATTTCATCAACAAACTCTTTCATCGTCGAAGGAATAAAAAGCGGCGATTTAAGGCCAGCCTTGTTATCTTCCCTTGTTTCTGGAGCGGTTTGCAGGTCATTCTTCGCATAAAGTTGCTCAATTTTTCCCCTCTGGGATGCTTCTTGTGACGGTGGCATGTAGGATAAGCCTGTGATGATGACATGAAAAGGAATCAAAGCAATGCTGTAATGAAAACTGGATACAAAATAACTGAAACTAGAAAAATTAGGTAGAATCGTAATGAAGACAGCAGATTCAAAACTGACAACAGTTTATCCCAGTTGATTTAACACTTAGTATATTTTGAATGCAAGCACTATATTTCACATTTAATAACTCATATACGCCATAAATGCAAACACCCAGTCTTGAATACTTCATGAGGACAAATCTTCGCAAAGCAATGAATGACTACCTAAAATATTCTTAGTCTGTAATTCGTTCTTTGAGGTTCCATTTCTACATGAAGCCCTTGCTGTTTCGATTACGTTACAACAAATCGAATTATTGAAAAATATGGCGGCCTTAGTCGCTAATTTCCTGGCGAACAGACCTCTTCCTGGTGATGACAAAGGAAGCTTCGACTCATTGTCCTCCTTTATGAAACCACTTTGCTAAGGTCTAGAATCGCACATTATAAACAATTTTTTATATTGTAGTTTTCTAAAGATCTGTTATGCTAAGATTCAATAGACCTTACCAGAAAAGGAGATTTTTGAGGAAAAGGTGAATAGTAATTTGTGCTAGTAAAAAATTGTTGATAACCAATAACATCTTAGATGAAAAGGTTCTTCCTTTGTTGTTTGTTTGGCAAAAGCCAAATTTTAAAACGTGGTGTTTAATTGATAAATCAAATTAGCATGAATGTGCACGATCAATCAAAACTTTTCTAGCAATAGATGCGGACAGGTTCGAGGAGGTACAGTACTGCTCACTGCATCATGTCTTACTAAGGATTACTTAGCTAAGTACGTCTTTACAAACTCTAGATAAAGGTAGTAGTGAGGAGGGGCGGCAAGAGGAGGCGGTAAAAGGAAGCGGTAAGAGGGGGCAGTAAAAGGAAGCGGTAAGAGGGTGTGGTAAAAAAAGCGGCAAGAAGGGGAGGGGTCCCCCAAATGGAAATAAATCTCTGTAACAAATGGAAAAAAAGGCTGTCTTCTGGCTTTCCGGCTTTCCAAAGAGTGTGGACCCCCATTTTCTCATCGCGCAACACGCCATTGGCCCCAATCTTTACCACCCTGATTACGCTACAGAGTACTGTGTGCAAATAGTTCCCGCATTGCTGTTATTTTAAATGGATGATATGGCACGTTATGTGCTTGGCGATCAGCCAGTTTCCGTCTGAAGCTTGGTTTTGACATCAGCAATTAGATTTGAGTAAATCTCCCTTCGAGAAGATATTTTGTTTATGTCTCTAGTTCCACTCACTAACGTAGCAATTTCACTGCTTCTAAAAGAACAGTGTATTAAAAACTGATAAAATAGTGGTTTATCACTATAACCAGGAAATTCTAATTAAAACGACAAACGTCAGACGAAAACTGGAACTTTGAATGCCCGTTACAAAATCAATAATGGAGCTAGATTTCGCTAACCTTTGAAGGCCGTTCAGCGACTTAACATTAACAAAAAAACTTAAATTGTTTGGACATTTGCATCCCATGTGCAAATATACGGGTTGTTCATACAGGTCTTGGAAGAAACAAGCAAATGTTATAACTGCTGAAGGATTTCTATATGTTTCGAAGCAGCAGCGCTACCGACGGGTCAAATGGCTATTAATACAAATATCTGAATCACCTATACTAGGCCCATCAAAATTCATGCTAGCAATAATAAATATGGAGACCTATTTCTTAATATGATAAAAACGTGTCGCATTACGTTATCGTTCTGTGATCAAAGTAAACTGCAACAAAGTTCATTGAATGAGGAAATGAATGAATGAATGAATGAATGAATGAATGAATGAATGAATGAATGAATGAATGAATGAATGAATGAATGAATGAATGAATGAATGAATGAATGAATAAATGAATGAATGAATGAATGAAAGAAAGAAAGAAAGAAAGAAAGAAAGAAAGAACTGATGTATTTATGAATTTCAAATGGAACTTTCTTAATGACCTGAATTAGAAAAAGCGCGCAGTAGACAAGCAAACATTTCACTTCAACGCCACACTGATTTACACGCAGGAAACTTCTTGGGGTGTTTGGAAACCCTTAACGTCGTTTTTAGAAACAAAGACATAGGGAAATGATGACTTTTATATACTGAAAAAATATCCTTTATGGCAAGACTGGGGCGAATTTCCTGGCCTGCATTATTAAAGGGTTGGGCAAAACCGTGTCGAAATTGATTTGTTTATGCCTAGATCTCAAAGATCTAAAACACTAAAGAAAAAAGCAATTTAGGAAAGTTTGAGATGTTCGCCAACAAACCTGGTAATACGCCATGCGCTTGTTTGCTTGTCGACATATTTCTAGGGCTCCAAAGAAATCGGATATGATTTGAATTGACTAAAGTTTATTAATTGATGAAGGATAAAACAGGCACAAGTACTATAATTAAAAGGTCCATGCTAACTGGAGTCTCTACTCACCATTTCTTATCAGTTTATTGAAGTCGAAGTTTTGCCCTGCCAAGAACTCAAGACTTGAACTCTAAAATTTTTCAAGAGAATGAATATGGGAAATTATAACAAACAAGCTGTGCATGTGCCTACGACATTCTAAAATTCACTCACTTTGGTTCATAAAAACGGTCATTAACCAGTATGCCACTACAGTAACTATTTAATGTTCATGTGAGGAAGTCACCTCTCTTGCCAAGGTAGTCTAATTACAGCCACATAAATGATCAAAATTTCTCACATGAGCATTTAAATGGTATTGAAGTTACATATTGGCGAATTAAAAAGAAAAATATGAAAATAACACTTTACAGGTTCACTAAGAACAATTTTTTTTCATCCTGTTGTACAATTGTAACAGATTTGTAGCAACTTTCAAAGTACGGCACTTAAAACACTTGAAATTGAATTTTTTGAATGCTGAATATTGAAATAGAAACAATTAAAATTATTTTTTCACCCTGCCACTGTTGGCTCTCTTTGGCTCAGCATCCATTGTTTTTCTTAAAAATGTTAATGGAATGGTTCCAACAAGTCAGAAATTATTCAAAGATGTAGTTAAATGATTAACAAACCTGACAGCTGAAAAATGGCTCTTTCCCTTTGTATGGTCTTGGAAATATGTAGAAGTTAAATGGTTTGGCATCATAACTATAGCATAAAACTTTATATTAGTCTTATTGATAAACATTTAGCTACAACAGAGAAGGGGAAGGAACCGATAAGCCATCTTAACATTCCATAGATTTAAACTAACAATTCAAATTAATTAAACAGAAAAAGGCATTAAAAACAACAGGATAAAATTGTCTAACAACATACCATTTTGTTTCTTCATTCCATTTAAATGAGCAGATTCCATATTGAATGATGATTATACCTGATAAGTCCTGGAATATAAGAATATTATAGTGGAAAAAAGCTTTAACACATGCATTCATAACAGATTTACCAAGTTTCAGTTTTAAAAATGAGTGAGTTTATTTGAAATGAATGAATGAATGAATGAATGAATGAATGAATGAATGAATGAATGAATGAATGAATGAATGAATGAATGAATGAATGAATGAATGAATGAATGAATGAATGAAAGAATGAAAGAATGAATGAATGAATGAATGAATGAATGAATGAATGAAAGAATGAAAGAATGAATGAATGAATGAATGAATGAATGAACGAATGAATGAATGAATGAATGAATGAATGAAAGAATGAATGAATGAATGAATGAATGAATGAATGAATAAATGAATGAATAAATGAATGAATGAATGAATGAATGAATGAATGAATTAATGAATGAATTAATTAATGAATGAATTAATGAATTTCTTCATTCCCTTTAAATGAGCAGATTCCATATTGAATAATGATTATGCCTGATAAGTCCTGGAATATAAGAATCTTTTAAATGGGAAAAACCTTTAGCGCATGCATTCATAACAGACTTGACAAGTTTCAGTTTTAAAAATGAGTGAGTTTATTTGAAATGGTGTGGTAAATGTTTGAGCTGCTATGTGATCTTTAACCCTGGTACCAGAGCCCAAGAAATCAGAAGGAGAATGGAGCTCCCTTCCCAATATCTTAGGCTCTAATACCCAGGGTTTGTGATCTCAAGGCCACTGATAGATCTGGAATTAATCCTGATATGACAGGGTCATGACCCTTAGAGCATTTTTGTTCCCCACACTCTCTAGTTCTTCAGTAAGGCCTACTTTGAGTAACACTTTTTGCAGATTGTCATAACCATTCACAATTATTTGATACTTCCTAATTTTCTTTCATGCTATTAAATGAAGACCATTGTCCTCTGTACATTTCTGCAAAAATTACTGGGTCTTATTGTTGCAATAAAGCTAGTCTGTGATTCATGTAGGCAAGAAACAATGACAGTGAGCTAGATCTCCAATTAATTAGCCTTAACCTTAGGAGATTTGCTGTTATCTAGTCATTTTCTCTTCTGTAGCTAGGTCTTATTAGGAAAGAGGATTATTGCTACTATTGCGAAGAAAAATGTAATAAAATTGAATAGATCAAAACTTTATTGTAGAAGTGTGTGAGAATTATAGCTTGATTTGTGTGAGCATGAGAACAAGCAGTAATACTTGGAAGTTTTGTCATAAGTAAAATGCAGAAATATACCAGTCTGTAAAGCAAAGGAAGCTCATTTTCCAAACTTCTGTTTATTTTGGCAAAACCTAGATTAAACAATTCAAATGCCAACAAAGATTTGAATAACCTACAGTCTTTAGTCTGGAATATCTTTGTGCTGGTGTGTCAAACAAAACTTTAGATGGCAATCCTTTTCCAATACCTGGAGAGACAAAATTATTACAAGCATAAAATTAAATAGAGAAGGGAAAAGACGTGATTACTTTTGGAAAAAATTGATACACTCATTGTCACAAAAGAGCGTTATCATTGAACACAAACAATAGCAAAAGCAACTTAGAAAATGCTTTCTGGATTACTAGAGAAATGCTGTGGAATTGAGCGTAAAGGGAAAAATGTAACTGACCCTTGAGTCTGGCACAAAATTACAATATCAAGGCTGTGGAATCTACATGACGGTCCCCTGTGACCAGAATACATATGACAAATTAAAGAGGCTAGAAAGTTCTAAAAGGGGCTCAATATCATAAAAGGTATTGGAAGAAAATTTGTATAGTTTTGAGTACATGTGGGGAATTTTCGGAGGAGGTCAGTCCCCTCATCTGAATCCCATGTGATCATTGAACATAAAATATCTATTAGAATAAAGGCAAGCATTCAGGATGAGATTGAAAAATGGTCAGAAAATTCTACTGGGTACTAGGGCAGCATGGGGTACCTTGACCTGTAGACCATTAAGCAAAATATTGCCTAATGTCTGCCATCTCATACAACACTATTGTTGGGCTTGCAATGTCATTTCTAAATCACAAAATGATAAATATGAAAATCGAAAAGTCATAGTTTAGGAACCTTACAAAGTCTTGAGATATATTTGTGTTAAAGAATCAATCTTCAGACACAATACTGAAATAAGTTTAGAATACCAGTAAATTCTCCATCAATTGCAATGAAGTCAGACTCATTGATTGCATCTGTTACGACCGGCAAAATGTCTATAAAATCTAAAACAAAAGAGGAAAAGACCTTTAATGGATGCTTGATTTGAAAGATAAAGTTTTCAATCAATGAAAAGTGTGATTTGGTCCCAGTCAAAACAAGATGCCAAAAGTTTTGTGCAAATCTAAAAAATTCGGTCAAGAAAATCTGCAGTTCTAGAAAAAATTCCAGAATAGCTAGTGGAGACAAAATTTTAATTTTTTTATTCAATAAAATTTCTTATGGTGCATACCACATGTACTTAAAAACTAGACACTAAGAACCTAAGACACAGGGCCTAAGATCAGGCTAACAACAAAAATGACTTGTCCATCAGAAAGCTTTCACTCCCATAAAACAGAAGTTGATCACAGTCAGTACTGCAATGGTTATCAACAAGGGACATGCGTATCTTGGTTATAAGGACTTCAGAGAATGGGAGTTTCCAACAAGATCTTTGATGTGTAAAAGCAAAATCTAAAGTGAGTACCATATTTCCTCTAAAAATGCTAAGGCATTTATTGCAAAATCCAAATTTTGGATTTTAATACAAAATTAAAAGTTTTTCGAACAGAAAATGACAAGAAAAGTGTGACAAAAAAGATAAAATGTTTTCTTGTGTGAAAAGTTCACTTTATGGAAATGTCAAGGAATGTCATATCCCTGTACTTGTCAGAGCCCTCATATCTATGACATGACAACTTTAATACCTTTCAAATACTAAGCCTATAAACGATTCATTTCTTCTTGTTTGATGCGTTTTCTAATTAGTGCAGCATATTCAATAGAGGGTGGCGTTTTTTTCAAAATGGCTGGCTGAAGGTGCGACGTTCAATAAAGGGCAGCGTTAATCAGAGGACAGCGTTCAATTGGTACAATTTATTGCACACAATTTATTGGTACTTCCAATGTGCCTTGTGTGCAAACCATTTCATGAAAAACTGATCGAATTGAGAAGAATTTACTTTGGAATACATGTTAAAACTCTGTTGTTAAGTCTAGCATTGCCTTGTAGGGTATCAATCTTTTATTTTCATGGGATTGAATTCATGTCTTAGCAACAAGACTGGGACAAAACTGAAAACACAGATTGAAGTTTGTCAATTTAACATTTTCCTTCTTCCCAAGCAGTTGCTCATATAAAGGCAAATTCCTTGATAATTGCTTCTTCTTCCTCTTGCCTTTCTTACACTCATGAACATGTTCAAATCAATGTGTCTCCTTTCTAAACATTCCACTTCTGCAGGCTATCAAATCATGGTAGAAGCATATCAGCCCTCTGGATGGCCTTTACAGCCTTTACCATCTAGGCCCCAGCTCAAAATAAAGGGGTTTTTTGCACCACTCTTACAAAAAGTCGTACAAGGAGGTTTAAAAGGGATTTTTTGCTGATTTTCTTATAAAAGGAAGAATTTTTGTCATGGATATACAAGATTTTTAAGAGTATTATGCTCCTGGCAACACTTGATATTACAACATTTGAGACATGGAACTGAAGGAAGTTGCTTGAAATTTTCAACTTATGGGTAACAGAGCATCTGAAATTTTTGGAGTAGGGAAGCATCTGAAAAAACACTCTGCAGACTGGTTAACCATGGATGGTACGGAACCGGTTGTCCTGGCCATGGATGGTACGGAACCACGATGTCTCGATTGAGATTCTTATCAGCACCATTACACATAGCATGGCTTTCGCCTAGGTTATATTAATAAACTCAAGCTTTTCAAAAACAAAAAATAAGAGATTTGAGAATGGTATTACTTACTGTCTCTCAACACATCCATGTCTTTCTCGAACCACTTCTTAGAATAGCCTCATTTATACGATGGATCTCGCTTCCAAGAAATAATTCTCCCGAGGAAAACAGCTGGATGCTTGAAGAGGGCTCCCAGGGGCGTAACTTGGCCAATAGGTTTGGGGGGGGGGGTGAAAAGGGTTTCTGCCCTGCAAAACTGAGTGGTGCCCTGCAGACCTCGTAGCAACGGTTTGTCTATAGGTTACTAGTGAAAGCTTTACCAGTGTACACTGGTCTTTACCAAGGACAAACTTCTAAGCAATAAAAACAAACTTGAAACTTCATTGCCTATGAAATATCTATTTCTCTACGTGAGCGTAAATTGTTTTTATATATTCACTTCACTTAATGTTGGTTTGCAAAATTAAGCTAAAAAACAGCTAATTGGGGGGAGGGGGTACATGATGTAGACAGTGCAACGAAATTTAGCCCAGTGGGGCTAAGAATCAAGTTTAGTGAGATAGGAGGACCCACCATGGTTGGGTCCGACGTGAAGAAAATTTTTGAAATTATACCTTGTGAAAGGGCTAAAAAGCATCCTTCAGACAAAAATTTAGCAAAATACTATTGTGCTAAAAGAACTGATTGTTTATTGAAAATATTATTGTTTATTGGGAAAAATAGGTATGGGGATGTCATGCTAAAACTCTAGTATTAGACGCTGGGGAAGGAAAGGAACGGCAACCTTTAGTTTCAGATTGCACGTAGTTGTGAATGACAGAGGAAGATGTTGTTTTGATTGGGGGAATTTTATTTCCTGAACAGAAATGTGCAGTTTCTTGTATCGAGAAGGCCATGTTTACACATCCAAAATTAAAACATTGCAATGATACAAAAAGTGATTTACTGAATTAATGCAAATAAAAGGAAAAAAATAAAAATATACGTGAAAAAGTTAGCAATTAGATGAAACAAAATCGGTATCTTAACGATTTATTATGATTTTTAGTTCCTGCACTGTTAAAAAGTAATAGAAACAATTATAAGTGAGGGCCTTCAGCCTCTTATTTCCCTCCAGATCTTGACCAAAGTGAGGGCCTTCAGCCTCTTATTCCCCTCCAGTGACGCCGTGCTTGTCATGAAAATAATTTACAACTTAAATTTATTTGCATGGACTCAACCTTGCCCTCATAAACATATGCATCAATCATTGCATCCATTGGCTATGACTTTCGGTAAGAAATGCTTTCGCATTGCAAATAACGGAGCTTTTCCTTACATACCTGTTCCGTTCTCTAAAATGCATAACGGAGCATTTCCTTACATACCTGTTCCGTTCTCTAAAATGTATAACGGAGCTTTTCCTTACATACCTGTTCCGTTCTTGGCGCCCTGCAAAATCTTCGATTGCCCTGCGAAATCGACTATTTTTTGGATTGGGGGGTGTTACACCCCCTCACACCCCCCCGGTAGTTTCGCCCCTGAGGGCTCCCTTTTCGCTAAAGATTTTTACATTTTTACCATTTGGAGAGTTTCTAGGTTTTCAACATTGTGTATTGCTATAATTTGAATAAGCCTAGGGAGTTAATTGCAAATTCCATGCTTAAAAGAGGGGTATATTCGAGAGGGTATGCTTATTCAATTACAGGGGGCTTATGGCTTATTGGTCAGGCAGAATATATCTAAAAAAGAAAACTTCTGGCTCAATAACTTGGAAAAGAAAATTTTTTTCATTGTAAACAGATGCCGTTTCCAATTAAACTTTTTTTTCATTTGGCATGTGTTATAAGGATTGACGATTTCTCATTTTTCACGCGAATTTCATTTCTAATACAGGACAAGAATGCGTCTATAAAGTCCCATTCTCGAGGGGTAAACTAAGCCTCTAATTTTTGACAGAAACGTGCCATTTTGGTTAAAATTTTGGACCCACGATTCCGCAAACATGCTGAAAACTATACCCATAATTCTGCAGAGCAAATAACATTTTTAAAGCACATAAAAAATCATCAACCAAATTTTGCATGCTCTATTCCCCAAAATCTCAATATTGCACATATTTCATAACTTGATTTCTAACTGAACATTCAATTTGTTAATGCTAAATCTCCCTCCTAATAATTTGGCAATATTTCCCCGAAATGGTACCCATAATTCTGCATGTTTCTTCAAATGGTACCCATAGTTCCGCACAAATTTCAAAAACTGATACCGATAATTCCACACTTTTCAGGAAAAAACAACCCCTAAATAATGGCTCGTCCCCGTAACTTCGAACATGTTAAGGTACCCCCCCCCCCTCCGCCGAGGTCCCATTGTAATTCAAAATCAAAATGTTTTGACCGTTCACCCTAACCTTAGCTTATGAATCATTGTTATCTAAGCTCTACAAGTTATTTTGCGAGCAATGATCCTCCTTCGCTAGTCTGTCTAGGGAGCTCTATGGCAATTTTCATGAAATACAGCTCTATCTTCACTTTTATAGAAATAGCTACATAGATAACGGCAAAAATAAAATCCAATTGTGACCGATATACATTTCTTGTCTTTAAAGTGATTGCAAAGTACAAAACAACATTATAAATACGGAATGTTTCTTATTTCAGCATTTTCCATTTCTTTATTATGAAATGTGATGAAATCATTTCAAAAATTCTAAATTAGATTTTTATGATGTCATCACAGGATTGCCTTATTGCCGCTCGTGCTAGTTTTCGACGTTGAAGAATGAAGATTAGTTTGCTCATCAAATTTCTCTAACTCTTTGCTCTCAAGGCTGTCTAGGCGTTAATCCTGTTTTTAGTTATCTGCAATTCAAAGTAGACATTGAATATTTGGTGTCATTGGATTTTTCAGATTAAGAACTACATGACATCATATTGCCCCATCATCCTCGTTTTTACTCCTTAATGTCTATTTATAACTCATATAATTCATGAGTAGTGCAAATGATGCCTAATGGATATGAACTTCTAAAACTTTCCGTCTCAATGATATAATTGCCTCGTACAAAATCAACTGGAGTGGGGCAATTTTGTTTAGATGTCACGCATGTTCAAGTTTATCTTACTCCTCTCACTTCTTACTCACAAAAATACGATATAGGGATAAACCTAGGGCTAAGAAGAGTTAAGGAAGTAAATATACAATTCAAAGAAACAGCTCAGCTTGGTTCAATATAAAAACATGTCCATAAAAATATTTACCAGATAGAAAAGCCAGAGAACAATACAATTGACATCTTGAGATGAATTAGCTGGTCTACAAATTTAGATTTAGCAGAAAAAAATCATATGGCTCAGTTTTGAAGGTAACAAAATAAGGGGCTTAGCACGTATGTTCTGAAGTTGATGACGATGACGTAGAAGATTGTCCAATATGAAAAGGCTAGCAAGATTAAAATCTGTTTTTCACAATCATCCTCTTCATCATTTTCATTGCCTACCAAGTCATATCACTCTTTTGTTCTCTCTCGTGTGTTCCATCGTTATCGAGGTTCGAGAAACTGTTCAGTAAAATTTAATGTTGTGATAACATCTAACCTATTGAAAAATTGCTTGTTTTTGTTAGAACTAGTCTATTCTAGTAAAGACTAAGAACACAAATTGCTAGTATTTTAAGGTTAACGGTTAAGGCATTTTCTAGGCCTCCTTTATAAACGTCAAAAATCATGAAAGTTTGTAATATTTGTTCAAAGATTTGGACAGCATACTGTTGCCTAGGTACGCACGGCCGAGCAAAACTTTAAAAACTAATTATAAATTCTTCAAATGTTGATACTTTGAAAACAAAACTAACTGGGGTGATATCTAGGCCAGATTCCAGGCGGACATTTCTAGACGTGTCTGTCACGCTATCAATTATCATTGTATTTTCATTCATCCCGCAAAAAATTACCATTGACAGTGAAAAATTTCGTGATTGTGTACACGGTGCATAGCATATACGTGAAACATTAATATTAATATTATTCTCCCATTATAGCAGGAATAATGAGTTAATTTGGTTTGCGCAAATATTCAGCAGGTAGGCTTAGACTAATTCACAAGTGATATGAATTTACGCACTGCATTGAGTTAGAATGCATTGATGTGTCTGTTTCTTCCTGTAAAAACTTTGCCTTTGATCAAAAACTCTGGCTGTAACAAAATCGACTAGGTATAATCTAATGTGATTGAAGTTCCTTTTTGCCCTTGCGAACACATTGACATGTTTTGACATATTCCGATAATTTCAAAACATAAAAATACCTATTTGACAAACTTTCAGAGCCTTTCAGGCTGATAATGAACTTCTTTCTAATCATGAAATGCAGGATATCGATTACAACTAACGCTTGGGCAAAGATAGAGAGCTTTTTAGCGGACACAAAATTTTGCGTGGGTAAAAGGTACCAGAACTTATTATGGTCTCTCAAGGTCTCGAGGTACATATCATAAATTGCCACAAGAAACAACTTTTGCGCAAATACTTCATATTTTAAGCAGAAAAGTTTATGAGCACTTGAATTTCAAAAAAATCTAGAACTCAAAAAAACACTTCCATCTGGAAGTATAGTATTCTAACGTAACCGAATCTCTTGACTGGAATGTACTAAAATTTGTGTGCAAGGGGTAGTTTAATGACTTGTTTAGAAAGTTTGAATCAGATTCCAAAAATGTTTTTAGTGCAAATTAATCTTAGTTGTAGTCAAATATACAATTAAACATAGTTCGTCAAAGAGACGCTTGAGTTTTGTAGGGTCACATAATCTGTTTTATTTGGGATTCGCTGTTGGCCCTTGTTTTATACAACATGTGTGTACGCTATAACAAAGTAAGGTCGTGAAATCATTGAAAAGACAAGAACGAATTCATTTTTCATTTGAATGTTTACGCTTATATATAAAAAACAAACAGAAAAGTACAAGAACATCGCATCCTATTAACAGTTAATACAGTTGAGATTTCTGATCTATTTCTTTGCAAAGCATCCCTTTTCAATCGAAATGGCCTTCCGACAGTACAAAGGAACATTTTTCCGTCAATGATTTATCTTAGTGTCAGTATTGGTTGATTAAAAATTGGAGTGCAAAACAGAAGACCATTCAATATATAACATAAACAATTGCTACAGCAGTCAAAGTTTGGCAAGTGGTTGTGCGCTACTTGTCAAGGTATCTGATTGGCTCTCCTCGTAAATATGACGACCAATTAAATCTACTTGCACAATCAACATGACTCAGCATTTGGAAGATATTGGATACAATCAGAATCTCGGCTTCGGAAAAGTCGAGAGATTTATCGCGGATGCCTTATGGCAAGGTCTTGTTCTAACTGGTTTTTCTGCGTTTTAGATTAATTTATGATGAAGAAAGACTGTTGAAAGAAAAAGGACGGTATTTAGACAGATGTCTTCTTTTCAAGCAAAACTTTTTCTGGGTCATTTGTGGTTTTGTAGAAAAAACCAGTAACATTAGGGTATCCTAGCGGTAAAGTTGCATTGTTATTCAATGCTTCCCAACCAATGTTTGTGCTCTTGCATCATACATTATCTCCAAGGTCTATATCAACAGAACTTTGTCGTTTGGAGACATTACTGGTTGCTTCATTTCATCATCTTATAATCGCCCAAAAGTAGTTGTCTGAATTCTGACGTTAATTCTCCGTTCTTTGTTTTATATTTTGCTCTTTCCACCTTCGATAGTGAATAAGACATAATACATAAAAATCCGTCAAAAGTTTTGGGGAGTGGCACTCTCTGCAGCACCCCCCCCCCTCTTAGAACCCCCTGAAAGTCTTAATGAATAGGATATCGTGAACATGCCTGACAAGAGCCGGAAAAAGTCCTACAATATGCAATATTCTTAAAAATTTAGACCCTCAATAAACTGCATGAGTAGGGAATGATAAACTTTATTAGAGAATCTATTGTCATTAACTGCATGTATTTGCGTCAGTGTAAAATGTAGACCAAGAATGGAAATGAAAAACATTCTAACCGCCTGTTGCAGGGTGTCCGTTCAAAAACATCTAAAATTAATAAAGCAAAGTCAATTATTCATTATTTGGGGCTATCGAATAGTTAAGCAGCGGTTCGAAACATCAATTAATATTCTACAATTCAATTCAAATTTTCTACCAATCAATTTAATTTCCTATCAAATATTAACTACCTCCCATCCACAAGGCAGTCACAGCGGTGCTAAAGAAAGAAGTACGGGAAAATTGTATAGAGGATTGGGAAAGATCTTTTTATAGCGGTGGAAGATCGAGAAACAAGTCATCGTCGTTCTATTCTTTAAAAAACCAGTCCTCTTCTTTTTTTAACCTGAAATCTAATAACCGTTTATAGCGACGCACCCAGTTCCTGGAAGGCAGTTTCAGGAAAGTTACGCACAACCAAATTATCTTTTAAAAAAATTCAAGTCGAACATCTTTTTGTTGAAAATGCAATACAACAACTTTCAATGACGTCAGAGTGTGATTGATCGGGCACCCAACCCTAATGTTTCTTCTGTGTTTAGGACCGGACACCGTCCTTACATACCCCATTGACACCCATTGTAAAGATCTTATAATATTACTTCAAAATGTAGTTAAAGTTCACTGAAGGAAGCATGTTTTGCGATCTTTGTTTAAACAAAACCCCTTCGTATACGACCGCTTTTCATCTGGAGTTTAGTGATATAAAAATAAAAAAATGGGAGCGCGAGTCGTCCTAAAAAATGTACCATAAACAATGGGAGGAAGAAGAATAGAGCTACTTATCGGCTCTCCTTAGATTTAAACACCATCCTTCACAATGACCCATTTTTGGATTCTTAATCTGAAAAAATTTTGGCCAACCGATTAACAAGGTAAGGATAAAACATTTGCTTTTCTTGTATGCAGGTCGCTACTAAGTAAGAATTTCTTGGCTGTTGGAACTTTTGTCTGCTAACGAGCGTACGAAGAAAGCATTGGCATTTTTTTCATCTTCATAAGTCGTAAATGACAATTTTATATTCTTTTTAAATTCTAGGAAGGGTTGGAAGGGGCTTTTATGTTAATTAGAATTCGGCTGAAATTAACAGTTACAGGTGTCATTCAGTCTAAGGAGGGTGGTGTCATAAATGAGTGTACGCTTTAAAGATGTTTGTCAAAAGAACAGCAGGTTGTATGTAAAACTGTGAGTGAAAAGTTATCTTGTTTCAACCTTGAGTTTGGTAATATACTTCGTAACAGTCATATTATGATCAATTAGCTTAATATTAAATGTTTATGCGTAGCACTTAAAGCAAGAGGTAAGAGAGCTCGGGAGAAATTCTGAGGCACTATTTGACGCCGAAAATTCACCCTTTTTTTCTTGTTATTGCATTTGAGTAGTTTCGTGAGTGATACTGATAACTCATAGCTTAAGTTAAAGATATCCACCACACAGTAACGATGAAATTATCTCTGTGGATTCTTGGTTAAAAAATCCAAGCCAACAGAGCAGGGCAGTCGCACCCTATTAGCATAGAAAATACATATAAAGCCACGAAAATAGAAGAGTAGATAATCTTACAATAAACGATGTGAGCATTCTAGATCTAGCTGCAAATAAACAAACTTGAGTGACATGGGTTTTCATTGAAGGCCAGGGGATGGTTAAACTAAGTTAAAGGGCTAAGCTTTTCTCTTGTAAGTCATTATCATTAAAAATGCAGCAAATTATTTTGTTTATCTATTAGGACAATTACCGAAACTCACACGATTTGGCAAAAAGTTAAGAAAAATGTTATTTTACTTTGCCTGATAAAAATTTATACTTATAATTGAAGGAAGAAAGTATTATTAAGCGTCATGGTTATTCTGGTTAAAATTGACCGGCAAAGGGATTCTAGCCAAAACTGCTTAGCAATGTCTGAAAATTGAGCTTCACGGCAATACTGAAGGACGGTCTTGGTTGAAAATCTTTTGCTTAATAAAATGTTTGACTAGCCCAAAATGTCTATATTTTAAAGGCGCCTTTGACTATTACAATATTTTTCAATCCTAAAAAAGTAGGAAAATTTTTTCCGCAATATTGATGGTTTAGGATACATAAACTAGTATTTTATATCAATCTATAGATAGAGTATTTCAACCATTGCGTTAGGCCTATGTTTTATGATGACATGACTTGAAGTAAGGCCTTTCTTTGCTAAAAATATTATCGTTGCTAAAACCAAATTCATCGAAGGTCTTTTTTATTCTTTATCTACTGATTCCCTTCGATTCCACCAGCTCAACAAGAAACTGTTGTTTTTTAATCAAATAAAATCCAATGGAATGCTTCATAAGTAAGATCTTTTTTTAGTCAATCACATCAATCTTTCAGTCAGCTGTTGCAATTTATAAATGCTTATCATGAATTGGAGGGGATAGATGTCGCGGAGGAGGTAGAGCAGTGTGGAAACAAGAATTTAGTAGGAATGGATTCCGGATTTCCCCCCAGGTCAGATAGGATTGAGAATAAAACCCCGCATCTTTTAACCTGCCATTTTTCAACTGCTATGAAAAATCGTATTTGAAAAATAGCAGCTACATTCGGAGCATTTGAAGCTTTCTAGCAGTACTTTCCCTCACTGGTTGCCTCTATCACCAGTTAATGACATCGATCTTGTATATTCATGAGGCAAAATTTGATTGAAACATTTGATGTTATGTTTCATCAGAGCATTTACCGTTTACATTCTGATCTTCATTGGAAAGGCATTAACTGGTTTGGAAAATATATTTTATAGCATACATAAATCAAAAGAATGAATTTAAAGCGAATAGCCAATGAGAGCTGACAGCAAATTTGCACGAATGCAAAGAGCGATCCATTAGCCACCAGAAATCTTTTATTCGCTCAAACTAACAAAACCAGCAACGATTGAATGCATTTAGCTAACAAATCATTTATAATTCATAAGCTCATAGTCGGCAGAAACGGAGCAGGAGTAGTTCAGTGCAGCGAATTAAACACTTGAATCTCAACGATAAGAAGTCAAAGCGAAAGTAACAAATTAAGAATGGTTTAAAAAGCTATATTGTTGTTAGAATTTTACTGAATTATCAATTTTTATTTTGCAAGCAAATTGCAAGGTAAAAAGCATGGACTTTAACTCTTATTGCAACCTGTAGAAGACGATTCATGTTATATATCAAAGTCAGTTCGTAAAATGGGAGCAAAGATGGCCAGCCTTCCTGTCCTGATTTTGAAGGTAACAGCGCTGATTCTTGCGATAGCGGTCAACTGTCGTGGTTTAGTCCCAAGCGGTAAGTTTCATGATACCACTCATAGTTCCCACAATAACGTTTTTGATTTAAGGCATCTAGCAAAGAAATATGTCTACAGCTGCCTTTACAAATATCAAAAGAATTCCTACTGGTTTCTGTTCAAGCATAGTTGTCGAGGGCTCCAGTCCGTTGGAAATCTTAGGTGGAAATTTAATTTTAACAGTCTTAAAATTATAGAAATCAATTGATTTATTGTGGAAAAATGAATCACTTTAAACGAAACTTGGACTATTGAAGGTAATAGAATACTCTTTAGAATATTGAACAGTATGAGAAGGTTGTTATGGATCCGAGACTTTATGTAGGTTCATAAAGCAGTATTACAATAGAAAATGTGTTTGGAAGTTTTGCAATGATGACGTCACTAGCATTTAGATAGCATAAATGGTACCAAAACTCTATAAAGCATATTGAATCAAACATAGCTAGGTCAAGAAGCGCAGCTTGCAATAATGTTGACCTCATTCCGTGATATCCAAATAGATTTTTGGAGAAAATTGATGTAAATTTCACGAAGGAAAAATTTTCAATTTTAGAATAGTAAGACACGTGTTGAAGATTTTTAAGTGTGTGCATGCAGTTAACGTGCAAGATATTGTGAAGTGCAGTTGGAATTCAAGCGATTAAATTTGTTCTTTTGAAGGAAATTTTTAATCACACAGTTTGAGATCACATACTTTCAAAGTTGTGGTAAAAGCATTCCTGAAAATGCAGTTATTCATTGTAACTGACTTCTTCCACATGAGTTTTGTTATTCAGTACTTATATCAAAGTTCAGACAACATTTGGGATTTTTATCAGTGGAGTTTTTCTCAAGAACAAACGAAGATATGAATATGTGTGAAACAACTTTGACTGTTGCTAAGCGCGCTCAAAATGATAGGATGGCTGCTCACTAGAATGGATGTTGAGTGCTGCACTTGATAGCGAATTCTTGGTAGATGACAGCACAAAAATATGTAGTAACTGAGATATTTTCCATAGAAAAAAGATTCTTTTCTTTGCGTATTAGTTTAGATTGGAATTAAGCAGCACATTACGGCCTTTTGGAAGAATCAGAATTTTTAAGCAACTCAATTCATTTGCTCGAACATCAATACTATCGCCTATAACACAAAGCCTGGATGCCGCACTTGCTTCGCATTGTCATACAAAATAGAGCCGATTTCATGAGATACAAAGAATCAACACGGCTTTTATTATTTTAGCGCATTTCTGAAAAGTCAGCTACTTTTTTCGTTGCTACATGCCGAAGAAAATAGATCGAAAGTCCAACTCGGGTGTGATATGTAATTCATATCATAGAAATGCGTAAACAGATAAAACACCATTCAACTTATATGGAGATATTTATATATTTTATTAGCGATCTTTTTTGTTGCTAATACTTATGGTGTTATTGAACAGAAAGCGATTTAATACATTAGTTTGACATTTAATACTGGGTGGTGTCATAAGAACGTTATACATTTTATCTACCTTTCTGGACTATACATCCTATTCAGTGAATAAAGTTTTCGCACAAAATAATAAATGCAGACATTTTGAGTATGCATCAGGATATCTTTATAAATAACAAGCTTATACCATACAACCAAACATTCCTAAACGTAACAAAAAGCTATGGTCATGATTCATCCATAAAGCACAATAGAAGAAAATCACAAAACGGAACAGAATATTCACAAAAGGACTTATTCAACTTTCCAATTGATAATGGATTAAAGAATCTCAAAATTGAATTAGTTTCTTTTACAGTCTCCTGCTAATGTTACCATTTAAGACTTGTACCATACATTTAACAAGTCTGAGTATCTGCATGAGACGGAATCGAAGAAACATGACATGTTAACGTGGTTGCTGACAATTTATTATCGAAGTGATGAATAAGAAAGGCTCCAAAACATTTAATATAAACAATGCAATGCATAACTGGAGAAAATGATTTTGTGTACAAATTGTTATCGATTCATCTTCCTCTACCAGTGATTTGCCAGCTTTCGAGGGCTGAAGAAGAAACTTAAAGGCAGTCTGTCCCCTATTGTGCTCAGCTTCATTTTCACGGGAGTGAAATTCACACACAGTTGAGCTTGATCGATAATTAAACGATTTAAACCAATCAGAAACAACTTTGATTTCAGAGCTTTTGAATAAAATGCCTGTGTTTCCTTTGTAGTGAAGCTGTGGCTAGAAAAATATGGCTCCCTGTTTAGTTTCTGCGACAAATATGTCAAATAGCGAAAGGAAGTGCTTTCATTATCATCATTCAATTCCAATAATTAAATCTTCTTGTCATTCCCGATAGCTTTTTGCTCGCAGTTTCAAATGTCGTCCACTGCCGCAGCTAGGCCAGCCAAAGCAAGCATCGTAATCCGTTATCCGTTAAGGCGAGAGGACCTATTGTTCATATTAGCCAATCATCGAGGGGATAGACTGCCTTTAACTTGAGGGAGAAAGCTGATTAACAAGAATGGCGAAATAAAAATTTCCAAAAATAACTTTTCAATGTGACGGTAGGAAACTTCACATTTGAAGTGTATTAGATAATTCAAATAATTAATCGCATAGGTTTACAATCGCAAAAAGGATGCACTTTCTGATTAAATAACATTGCCACCGTAGCTACATTGTTATACAATTAATGGCAGTACCAAGATTCTCGTAAAACTATGAAGTACAATCAATTTGCATACAGCGTCAAACTCTTCCATGCTTTTGAAGCAACGACCAGAGACATCGCATGTGGCAAAATTGGTTAATTCTACAACTGACGCATGTCTAGAATAGAAAAGATTTCTTTGAAAAAAGCAAACATTTAGTAAACTAAAGCTTTTCGTCTGACACTCTTCAGAGTTTAAAACGTCAGAACATAGATCGAAAACTCTACGCTAAGAAATATATATACCCAGTTGTGGATCGAAATAGGCCAATCAGAAACACTAGCACATGACTGTAAAGGTTGACCAATCAGTGCCGCTTGCCTATTAGAATGTTACCAATGGAGTCCTAAGGTGAAAACGAACTCCTTTTGTCTACACAGTAGCGGTTTTTTCGTGCTTATGTAGATAGATTCTAAAACTGCTAGGTGGAACGACGATCGGGCTTTACCAATAATCCGAAACATGTCGCCATTATAGTTTTTTGCACAATCTGGGTTTTCTAGCAAATGCTGCCCGATAGCAGAATCGCAGGTCTTATTAGTAATTTTGGATTTGCAAGACCGAGGTGGCTGTTCTGCAAAGAGAACAGCCACCTCGGTCTTGCAAATCCAAAATTACTAATAAGACCTGCGATTCTGCTATCGGGCAGCATTTGCTAGAAAACCCAGATTGTGCAAAAAACTATAATGGCGACATGTTTCGGATTATTGGTAAAGCCCGATCGACCGCATTTGCTGAGAAGTTTGCTAAAAAAGTAGCATGTTAAATTTACCATGATCTATGTTCTGACGTTTTAAACTCTGAAGAGTGTCAGACGAAAAGCTTTAGTTTACTAAATGTTTGCTTTTTTCAAAGCTATTTACAAGTTTTGTACCACCAAAAGATTGTTAGAAAAGATTTCCGTTGCCAAGAGAACTGAATGCTTGTTTTCACCTAACCCGGATTGAAAAGTCATTGTCACACCCAATACAACAGGTGGTTGAACAGTGTGCAGTTAAACGGAGTTTTGATGTGAGATCGATCGCATACGGTCAAATTGTTGCCAACAACATTGCTGACCGCATTTGCTGAGAAGTTTGCTAAAAAAGTAGCATGTTAAATTTACCATGAAAGCATTATCTAACTCTCTTTTCAACAAGAAACATAAAGTTGGCTGTGAATTTCAAGCACTTAGAGCAGCATATCTGCAAATTAAATGCTGCAATAAGAGGTTTTCTTCCTTTGTTAATGAATCTAGTTTTGCTTTCTCAGAGGCAAGGTCAAACTGCAAAAGTTTTTTCATTTTCTGCAACACAACAATTCCTCATTTTGACAAATACCGTTCTATTAAACTGTGACATTTAAAACTCAAGCAACGTTTTCTGGAAAGCTTGCTTTATTGCATTCCATCAGATCAAGCTGACACCGACATCTCAATGTTTTCAACTTTGATTGCTGGCCCAATTTTGATCACTTGACCTTACAGAGAGACGCAAAACTCTACAAAACTAGTTTGGAAAAGCCTTCCGGCAAGCAAGTGAGAAATGCTTTATTGAGAGAAACAAAAATTTTACGTTCTTGGTTTCTCAAATACGGAAAATTAATCACAAATAATTCATTAAATAACCATTGAAATCCTTTGAACTGCATGATATTAGCGAAGATGCACTGAATCAAAGATGAAAAATCCAGGCTTGAACAGTCATTAGAAGAAAATACAAAGACAATACTTGACGCCGAAAAGTTATAATTGAAAAACTTGGTAAAGCAGAGAAATATCACAGATAGACCCCCTTATTAAGCGTTCTTGTTTGGTACAAAACGCTTTTAGGCTAATTATCGGTATTTTTACTGTGTATCAAAATTAGGATGATTGAGGTCATAAATTGCTGAGTTAGAGGAAGGTCAACAACTTTTGCAACTCTGACGTCACACGACGCGAGCATCTATGAATTCTCTATCTCTAAATCCTTTCATCAGAAGCATTTTTCTTTGATTTGCGAAAATTTCACCATTTCAAGGACATTTTGTCACTTTTCTGGTTAAAAGCATAAATTCATTTTCTTTAGTAACAATTTGTGTAAGCTTTTGATGCATTGCAATACATATCGAAGCAATAAAAAGCGCCTTTTGGTACCCAGTCGTGCTTATTCTAACCATCAAGATATTGAGCTATCCCGTTGAGACGATCTTCAAGACATTAGTACCATCATATATTGACAAAAGGTAAAGGTAGGCTTTTCAAGAAGATAGAGCAGAAAGGCAAATGACCTTTGCACCAGCATCTGAATCTTAGGAGCTTTAAAATTTTCCCATCTGCAAAGAGACTGTTTTTGAAAGAGGTTTCTTCCATATACTGGCCTTTGATGATTGTGTTTTGTTTGATTAAGCAATCTTTAATAATCCACTGTCTTTGCCACTGCAAGACGAAGGGTAAAATGAATGCTTTTCAAATTTACATTGGCCCGAATGGACGCGAAACCAAACGTTTGATTTGCACAAAGAAGATAGCGAGTCAAATAAAATCGAATGGAGGTGACACAAAGTAAAATATGCCAATCTGTTAAGGCAAGCACAATTATTTCTAAATAGAGTCAATCTACGTTTATTTAGCGAATGTTTATGGTCTTTACAAAAGATTATCATATGAAATTTGCCTTTGATTATGCATTCATTCTTTCTTCTCATATGGTACAGCCTTTTACAACATCTGATGTAGAGGAGTGTTTTTCAGGTGCATGGTATGGCGGTTGTTTTCCTGATACCGATCTACTCATCAATTACCAAGATGTTTTTGTACCAGAAGGCAGCGAAGATTTTAATACAACATTTAATGGAGATAATGCCGTGAAATGTGGCTCAAGATGTACAGCTGTGCCTTCTGTCAAGTTTGGTCTCTTTTCGCAAACGGGTCTTTGTCTGTGCACTCTTCAGGTTCACCAAATTTCTGCGTCTGTTGATGCCAGTAACTGTGTCCAAAAAGTTTGCGACTTTGAAAATACAACGGAGGACTGCGATGGTACCACATACCATTGGCTGGTGAACATGACGTCCATGTTAAAATCGGTTACTATTCTTAATTCTGATGTGTTGAAGGGATCTGTGCCACAAAACATAAGTATTCAAACTGACCCAGGTAAGACCATTATGGCTTTTCTGAAACGTGTCATGCATAAAGCATAGATCACATTGAATTAGTTTCAGTGCACTTTTTTAAATTTGTAGCTAAGAACATTATAATTTTCAAGAATTATTACAAAACATCTTTAATAATGTAATATAAACTTATAATATAAACTTAGGATACCAAAGTACGATTAATTTAATTGCTTAACATGTTTTTACGTATCATCTTGGAAGAATTCTTCTTCTATAGTGACCTTACTTTTTCGACATCATTTTATGGAAGATTACACTCCAAATTCTTTGCGGAAACATTCAAATAAGGACAGGTTAAAGATTTGAAACTCCCAAAGATTTGGCAAACAAAAAAAACCAATTACTTGACAACATAACAAAATTTTTCTTAAAAGGGATCGTTACAAAAATCTATGCCACCAAAAAGCCAAAGAGCCTTTTTCTTTATCAGAAATTTAGCAGTTACTCTAGACTAAATTATTCTAGTTAAAGAAACAAAAAGATATCAAATGTTCTCAAGTTGCTTTTAATTTTTATCATATCTTTAACATTGATCATAGAGAATACTTAGTAAACACGATGAGTAAAAATAAAGTTGAATAATCTTTTGGCAAACTTTTACTGTGTTTATTTATTCGCAAGTAGACATGCTGAGAATTCTTCAATATGTTAGTTGTCATAAGCTAACTTTGTTGATTCATGGTAACGAGACAATAGCAGAAATTATACCTCATATTGAAATTATACCTAAAATTAACAGAAGTCTACCAAATATTTGATTGGAAATCCAACGGTGTTCCTTCTACGTACCACAAGTCGATACAATAACCTAATTTTTGCTGTTATATTGCAGTCGATATAAACGTTGACATAAAGATCGATTTTGGTGATGGCGTGGCGGTCGACTATGTCCAGGGAAGAACCATGGCCTATGTTTACAAGAATGCTGGCTTCTATAAAGTTTCAGTGACTGCAAGAACATTATCCGGTATGGGCACTGCATCTGCCAGCAAAGTATTGCAAGTAGAGACGCCGCCATATGGTGTCAATGTCAGCCTTAGCCCGCTTATCGAAAAAGGCGAAACAAAACAGTATACAGTGGCAATAGTGGAAGGAAATAACTTGACAGTGGATGGAGATATTTATATTGGAAACACGCTAGTCACTCCAACGCATGTGAAAAATTTGGCTATAGAAGGTAAGAAGAAGGTCATGATCACGCTGTTGGTATTATCTCTCTCAGTAACGGGCATCATTGAATGTTTCCTTAAATTTGAATCAAAAACACATATTAGAGTAGAGAAAATTCTGCTGCTCTTCAATCACTGTGTTTGTCTATAACATGAAACTTTTGTGAAAATATTTAATCTAAATAGAATAAGATTTTGTAGGTATCAATGTTCCTTAAAACGAAACCCTCAAAACCAAGAAATGGCATCTTTTAACTGATCTTGTTGTATTTGTATCCAATAACTTATTGACTTAGCAAGTCATTTGATTACAAACTTTTATCGCTATATCCACAGACGCTTTCATCGTTGCTGTTGGTGCTTCAGCGAATGACCTCATCCGTGCAACTAGCGTCTTATCAAGCCCAAACTCTGGTGTTTATATCATGCCGCAGTTTAAATTTCCAACAGGAGGCATAGTTTCTGCATTTGAAGCTTACATCTCTAAAGCCGGTTATTTGCGCTTTCAGGTAGATAATAGACTTTCAGCAACGTTAGCTAGTTAAACTACGCCGTTGAAATATTCACATTTGGGAAATGTACTTTACATCTTTACATATCAAAGTACGATGCACCTTGCATAGGTTCAGGTCTTGTATTAGGTGCAGATTGTATTGATAATTGAAGCCATAATTCACAAATTGTCTACTGTTTATAACTAAGCATGTATTACAATGTGACACGAACAAGAAAAAGCATTGGCACAGGAAAAAGGCCTTGAAGAAAATATTAGACTTTGCTTTATAGACAGACAGGTATTTAAATTACCTTGTTTCGATATTCAGGTTTACAGACCATCATGTGCAACTGGACTGGTATATTGCTTTGCCAATAATGGCTGCAACGCAACTTGCAATGAGACAGTCGATATGATGTCTAACATAACTGCATCATCAACCATCATTCAAGGGACCACCCCCGACTTTACTCTGATTTCTGGTAAGAGCTACTAAAGTTTTTCAGTTGCTCTTTTTAGGAACAAACATAACTTATTTACTTCTCGGCCAATTAAAGGCCATTTCCTTTTCATGACTTGTTTGATAGTTGTTAGAAATGAAAATGCTGATAAAAACATAAACAAAGCCTCTGATTAGCTTTACAGATCTCTCCACGATCTACCAAAAGTATAATGTTAAACGAAGTTAATCTGTTTCAAGATAGCTAAAATGTTACTTTCACACTTTCAAGAAAAGCAAATTTCAAAGCAAGTCTGTATAGCAAGTATCAAAGAACAATTGAAAAAAGAATAAAAACACAAAATAAAAGTGACTTTACTATGGTATGAAAGGTTTTACGTATAAAAGTAGAGTTCTGGTTACACAACCATATAAATCTAAATAGACAATTCATGTAATTGATACAAAAGTGAATAGCTTATTTGCAATACGCAACATTGCTGTATTTCTAGAATAACGGGCTATGCTCGAAACGTCGTTTATTCATTTAAACAATTTTTTCCTGGTATAATTTACTTACTTTCATCGTTATTATAGCATTATTACTGCACGTAATCTAGTATTTCTAGTATAGGTAATCTAGTATATGAATGCTTAGATTAATGACTGGCAGTGACTTGCTACAACCTAAACTGCCTACAACTGCCAACAAATTGTTTCCCAAAACTCCTAGCACTTTAGGAATGCAATTGTTGAAAAATATGCCAATTTTCTATTTAGAGGTGAGCTTTCTTGCCAATACCACTGGTCTGAAATACTTCAAGCTGAAGACGGCAAACATTGAGGTTCAGAGAGGTGACGTGTTAGGCCTTAAACTCTCTTCATCAGAAGGAGATATTAGCCATACAACAAGTGCTTCAGCTACAGAGTATCACTTCAGTTTAGCGACAGAGATATTTCCTGGTATGATGATACCAAGGCCTTCCAAGCCAAAGACAATAACCCATAGGATAACGGCGCATTTGTCTACCACAAGCTCGTTCAAAATGACAACAACATTCGCCGAGATTGGAGTTGGAAATGTCAAAGTAACTGCCAAGCATCAAACTTTGGCTCCCTACATTGGAAACAAATACGTCCAAATACAAGTAATAATAATCTCAATTCATATGACTGCATAATTTCATGCAAATCGTTGTTGTTATGTCATGCCTAGAGTAACTCGTGACAACGTAATTTAAGGATAATGTGATAGTTCTGAATATTACTTTTATTTTAGGCTGTGCTTTAATATGTCAAACTTTATTATCTAGCAACAAATTGCAATGCATTGGTAAAATTTATGCTATATTATATAGCAAAAATTATGTTTAATAAATTGTGTTGTGTTCTATTTAGTTATATTAGATTTAAGCCATACTTCAATATAGTGAACTATATTGCATTATATTAAATCATATCATATGAACATTGTATATCGTTTTATAGCATTTTATTATATCATTTGTAACTTTATATAATTATATTATATTTCTTGATGATATTGTGTTACATTAAAATATATCATGTTTACTAAAAATCACAAAGTGCTTTAAGGTTTTGAAGGAATGCTTCTTAACTTCTAGGAAAGGATAACTGGACTGAAAATGGAGGAGCCAAAGTTGCTTTTACCAGCAGCCTATGAATTGCACAAAACATTTACGATGGTATCATCTGTGGCAACAGGAAGCAATATCACGTATCGCTGGATAATTGATTTTGGGGCGGAAAATTTCACATTCAATAATACAGAAGGCAATCAGGCATTCACGCCAAGCAGAGTTGGTTAGTTTCAAGACTTTTTAAAAATTTCGAGGAAGCGTTTTGCCGAAAGAATGTAGATATTAGCTGCCGATGATGCGAACATAGACTTAAAATACTTTAAATTTTTAAATAAGCAAAAAACAAACGTTTTATCTGAAAAAGTGGTTCTACAGGATGCACATCAGTTATAGAAGGGAAGGCTTGATGCCAAATACTATGGAAGTAACGTCACATTTTTGCTTGCTAAATCAGTACTTCTAAGATGTATACAAAAAGTTGCCCAAAGTGAACCACGCTGACAAGATCAAGTTTGCACTATTTCCTAATTCGCATTATCTGTTTTCATTTTGCAGGCTTGTATGATTTACGAGCTGAAGCGGAGAATCTGCTCAGCAAGGAAAACGTTACAAAACAATTCAAAGTGCAGGAGAAAATTGTTCAGGTAGATGTGTCTGGGCTGGTAAACGGTGCAATTATTACGAGGGCTTCTTTGCCAATAATTATTACAGCAAATGTACTTAATGGCACAAATGTGACATTAACGGCATCACTAGAAGGAGTAAATAATGTGACAATATTGCCAACTGCATCTGGAGGAGTCACTCACATTTTCAATTTCAGGTTTGAAACAATAATTTACTGATTGTTTACTTCTCATAGAGATATTCCTATCTCCGGTTTTTTACATCTACAACTTTTGAAATTTTCTATCCTGTTACACCTTTCTGTAAGAAGAACTACATGGCCTCTTTTTCTGCATGAAAGTACCAGAAAAAGCGGTGTTTAAACGGTGATTAAATAAAGACTTGGTACATTTGAAAGCTAAATATATTTGCAACGTTTTGAGCATAACTCTTCATCAGGCAAAAAGAATAGCAATAGAATAGTTCAAAAAAGAATAGAAGAGTAGATTGAAAGACATTTTCCCGCTCCTTTATTCCTGAAAAGGGCACTGTATGCTTCAAATTTGCCGAAAACGTGATCAGCTAGACAAAAGCAACTAGATATTCCACTTTGCACTAAAAATTTGTTAGTCAAACTTTCATCAGCTTCATTGAATTCTTTTCAACAGTGAGCCATTTACGACGCTGTGCGGGCGCTATTTATTTGCCTCATATTTTTCTGTGCCTAACGTAACAACGAAGGGGTGCACAATACGTGTTAATGTTGAAGCCGTTCTTCTAACAGTAGTTATAACTGAGAGTAACTAAAAGATATGGACGAAACAACGAAAAGCGAAAAGAATGTTTAGCACCATGAAAACAGAGCTGAGTGATGGAGACAAAGTGGCGTAGAGGGGGATGATGCCGACGTCACAGGAGACTTTTTAGGGTTTTTGAGTCACATAAAGGAAAAAGAACCTTTAAAATTGCAATAGAGATTGATGTGATCAGGGTCAAACTTTCCTCAACATCACTGAAAAGAGCCAAAGAACTTAAAACTAAACTAAAACTAAAAAATGTTCACTAATAGTTTTATAGAGACTAAGATTAGACGAAAGATTTTGTGAAATACTTGTCGAGCCGGAGACCTGGGCTGTGTGTTCCTCAACAACAGAAATACCGGGAAGTCAATGAGATTTTTTAGTTTTATCGCTGCAAAGTTCCCTGTTTATCACTGCACAAAACCATTGTACCTCAGCACAAATCGTTCATTATTGCACCTTAAAATTAGGTATGGTATGCATTAAGCGAACCCCTGAATACATTTATTTTGTTTACTTCAGTCAAACTTATAATTTAAGAGACAGTAAAAAAGTTTGGAAGATAAAATCGAAAATACAAACAAAGCCCTTTATTAAGATGTTTTAATAATGTCTACATAGATCAAAAGATCAAAAGTGACAGTGACAATTACCAATCGCCGATCGGTAAAAAAAGAACCCGCCCAACGCGTCTTTCTTCCTCTAACGCGTCTTTCGAGCCACGCCTGAATATGAATCTTTCTGTTTACCTTTGGTCATTATCTTACGTTTTATATATACTTTATATACTCGGAGGAAAGATTCTCTTGTATACTATGTTGCTGCTTTGTTTACTATTTTCAAATTTTGCGGTACTAAATGCTTTTTGCTAAATATAACTATTTAGTTGAGAATAATTTTCTTCTTTCGTGAATTTTAGGCCACTACCTGGTGACATCTGTAAGAAAACTGTCGCCACCATCACTGCCAAGAACGACATTCCTGGGACGCAAGTTACAAAAAATATCGATATTGCCGTCTTGTGTCCAATAACAGGGCTTGAATTAATTGCAAATCCTGGCTTTATGGAGTCAGAAGGTATAAAAGAAATTGTTACTGGCACAGATTCAACAATCCAGCTAACAGTCAAGCTAGCAACCGGTTCATTTGCCGTGTACAGCTTGCAGAAAGATCCCGCGAGTCCAGATGTCGACATAAAGAACCACTCAACCCAAATCAATCCAACAACAGTGACATTTTCATTTCAGTACAGTATGCCGAAGGAGTACATCGTGAGACTAAACATCACAAACCCAATATCCAAGGTAGAAGAAACATTTCGAGTGAAGGTCACTCAATGTCCTCCTGAGGTATTAGACATCACAGGAAGTCCAAACTCCCTGAACCCTACACAGGTATCTCGTGGTATGGATTACAAGGCTACTGGTACAATTAGCGAGCCCAACTGCACAGACCCTGAGCAAGCTGTAATAAAATATCATATTGCCCTTTATAGGATAGGAAATGACGTACCATTGGAAGAAAAGAAGAATGTACCAAAGACAGAGCTTGTCTTTGTCATTCCAAAGCAAAAGTATCCTCACGGAGAATACAAGGTGACATTTACCCAGAATGCATCGCTATCAAAAGGCCCACAAGTGATCCAGAAGAATGCTTTCGTCACTATTAATCAGTCGCCACTCTTCGCAACAATCGACAGTGGTAGCCAAAGAATTGTGCCTCTTAAAAAGCGATTAAGCCAAGAGGCCAATACAACAAGTTTTTATGAAATCATCCTTGATGGGAGTGCCTCAAGAGATCCAGATGATGAAAAAACCGTTCTTACCTTCGAATGGTTTTGCAAGGCTAACATATCCAAACCAATGCTAGACGCGAGATTCCAACTATGTAATCACACTGAGGAAAAACCATATCTCAAAAGTAAATGGGGGTCAAAGATGAATTTAGACACAAAGGATTTCCAGTTAAACGCGAAATACACATTCACATTGAGGATTAAATTTCAAAACAGAACATCAGAGTATGCACAAGAAATTTCATTTCTCGAAGGTGCACCTCCTCCTGCTGAAATTGGGTAAGTGCAAAGGCATTTAGTGGCCTTTCTAAAATGTAGAATTTTTCATTCTCTTGAGATGACATCAAGGAGAGGCAGAAGGAGTGTCTTAAATTTAATGTCTTCAAGCTACAGTCAGGTCCAATTAAATTATCTGTACCGTAAATTATGGAACTTCTTTACGCAAGGAACTGTATCTGCAGTACTTTGAAATAAGATAGTGTTCATGCCTTACTGCTACAAAAGAATATTGGAAGTTAACAAATATCATATGCTTAATAACGTACATATAACTCATGAACTATTTGTGCTGTTTGGATAATTCTCAAATATACCATAATAGATTTTTCTAAAATATTTTGCATTTTAGTGTATGCTTTCCAACCCAAAGCATTAGACATGGATTTCTCTCAACTTTTGAAAATAGAGTTTGACACACACAAACTCTAAACTAGCCACTTCATTAACATAGTCAATGAAATATCTAGCTCAAATTCAAACTATTTGATGGCTTTCAGGTGCGTTACCAATTGCAACACAAAATGGAATATCCAAGAGAAAATTATCTTGCGAGGGCAGTGTCCAGATTGCGTGGATCTTGGGTAGGTTTTCTCTTGATTTTTTAATAGCAATTCAATTCTAATACATGAAAGTGTGGCTGGGGTAAGGAGCTTATAACACACTCAATTCTCTTCACTCCATGCAAGCGGTTATCTAAAAAGGTTTGAATATGTCTCATTGCATGTAAAATGTAGGTAAAAATTCGCGGTTGAATTGAAAGAAGGAGTCCGTTTTCACCTTAAATTGGTATCATTTAAACAAAGTAAGCAGCACTAATTGGGCAACCTCAACAGTCATGTGCTCGCGGTTCTGATTGACCTATTTCGTTCCACAACTAGGTATATATGTTTCCTAGCGTAGTGTTTTAATCTTTGTTCTGATTCTGAAGAGTGTCAGACGAAAAGCTTTACTATGACTTAAATGTTTGCTTTTCAAACCATTTTTGAATTTATACCACAAAAAGATTGTTTAAAAAATAGTTGTCCAATCACTTTCATTCTCTTCAAATGCTGCAAAATTAAACTACTTCTAAGTTTCCTTACTCAAATTGAAGACCAAATCTAATTTTATTTCAAAAGGAGTATTATATACGATTGGGAAATATTGTACGGCAATGGAACAAAAGTACCAGGAGTCACAGGTACGACTGATAGTCTTGTGACAAGCACAGGATGGAACAAGCAAAACTTAGTAATAAACGCAGGGCAGCTTCAGGACAGCGTACAGTTCAAAGTCATATTAAAAGCGAAATACGGAGAAGCAGGAAAACAAACAATCATCACAATGGAACGGAACACGGCGTCCTTGCCGCACAGTGGAACATGCGAAATATAGTAAGTAATTCGCAATTTATAAACCAGGACCAGATTTTTCAGCCAAAGTCATTGAGCCCAATGTGTGTATTATCGAAGTAGGCAGTGAAGTTTATTTTTTCGTGTGTTAAAGAAAAGATAAAGTAAAATCCAAGGAACCAAATGATTTTTTTTATTTTTTGGAATTGTGCTGTTGTATTTTTTAATATATTTGATGAGGAATGTTAATGCTGTTGACACACAGAGGAATAGAAACTTTCCATATGCCTACATATCATGTGTTTCACGCGATTGTTGTGGTAACTGTCGAGCATGACAAGGTGTCAGTCATGACCAAGAGCTTTTGAGAGGTTGACACTATGTAAATCTTGTAAGGTTGTATTTCTCTCTCGATTCTCAGGGCAAAGACAACGAAGACACCTTTGATGACATTTTACGTTTAATAAGTTAGCACTATTTACATAGGTCTTAATCTTGACTAACCTGTTGATTATTAATTGACATATCCGCGTGAGTTACTCTCTACCATTCCACTGGCCTACGCCAGGGAGTGGCCGTCTCTGTCTCCATGACCCTTCTTCTGGAGCTCCTTTTCGTAGCTAACTACAAGCTATCGGATCTATTCCGCCCATCTGTGTGTTTCCGCTACTAGTACCTTTTATGGAATAATGACCTTGGCCTTTGACCTATCACATGTATACATCGTTTCCTATACGAGGCTATCCTACGACCTAGTACATATCACGCGCTATGATTCTCTTCTAATTACATGCGAGAGATAATTCTTAACAACACTAGATTATGGTGGAGATATGTATATGACGTCATAGTGATTTTCGTGAAATCGTGATTGCATTGGAATTAATATTGCCGTGCACCAGTTTTTTGCAAAACGAGAAACGTATCGGGAGTATATCGGAGCAACTTACTTAAACTGGTATATAAATTCAGAATAGATACCTGTTACATCCAATCATTGCTTTAAAGGTTTCTAATAGGAGAATGGTTTTTGCCCATTGGATGTCCTCACTTTCAGAGTTAAGGTGGCAATTTCAGTTTCAGAGTTAAGGTGAACATGAGTGTGGTATGGTATGCAGTTTAGAAAAACTACCGCTCAGGTGCTAGCTTGCTCAGGCGGCCATTGCAGATGCTTCTCGAAGTCAGTTTTGAGATTGAGGGTCATGTCTCGAAGAAATCAAGCTACAAATGCATCAAGAGCAGAGTTTCACTTAATTTGAATCATATGAGCCATTAGAAATCATTATGAGCCTTTTATTTGCTTCCAAGACTTCCCTAATTCAAATCGGTTCAGCCTGATTTTAAGTCCGGTTAAAAAAGACCATTGCGAGTATTGGATTGAGCCTAGGTTGGGAGTCATGTAAATCAAACCTGGGGAAGATCCGTCTTGTTAATAACACAGCTGCATGTTTTCTTTATCTTAAAAGTTTTTTCAACTAATCTTAATTTCATTGTAATTTGCATTGGAATCGTTTTGTAGTTGCAAACTTTCGCTTTGTTCAATCGTAGTCAATCTTCAACGTTTGGTGTGAATCCAAAGGCCTCAAAATAAACTCGAAAAAATTAAGATTAGTTGAAACATTTTTTCTTTCAATTCCAAACCCAAAAAACTTGTACACACATGCGCTGACTACTATCAACCAGAGTTCAAGGGCCACACAATAGTTGGGTTCAACCCAGGGTGTTTTCTACGTTGATTATATAATCATGTTGTGCATGAAAATTGATTATTGTATCTTTTCAAATTTCAGCCCAAAAGAGGGATTTGTAGCTGAAACAAAATATCAGATAAGATGCAAAGAATGGAAATGCGAGGATCTGCCAATAACTTACCAATACATGACCAAAACTAGTGGTAATAAACAAGTTCAAATATCTACGGTGTCCCGTGTAGACTATCCAATATGGTATAGTGGCAACGAGCCATGGAATCCTCCAAACATACTGCCACTAGGCGTACCTGATAAAGACTACAAATTGGAGATGGTAGTTCGAATATTCAATGTGTACGGGTCCTTTCGAGAGTTAAAACCAATCAATGTCACGGTAAGAGACTTAAGGACTTCTAAATGCGAATTATTCAGCAACTAGATTCACCAATAATTCTTTTTTCCAGAGAGGCTCCAGGGGAAGAGAAATGTTTACTTTTTCTAAATAACGACTGACATCCAACTTGAGTAAATTTTTTAATTGGTCTCAATACAGAAACATGTCCTGACACTAGGTTTCGCTGACTATTATTCCCTAAAGCATTTTTAGAGTTTATATGAATCGCGAATGTATAAGTAATCTAAATTTGTTCGTTGGTTTGAATTTTTGATTTTGTTTGAAACTTTGTGGTAGGTAAATATAAATTAAGTTAGATAAACGTAAAGTCGACAATTTGGCTTAAACTTAGAACCAGTTTAATTTAAAGTTTGGTGTTATCGAGTCAGCTACAGCTACAGTTTCAGCTACAAATCGATTATCAATGGTTTCAGCAAAATGCAATTTTTTTGCCTTTCAAGAAGGCACCAAATCATAAAGCATTAATTGATATACTTTGCAATAAAATTGACCCACAATGATCAAGAATTTTCGACACATATTACTTATTAGGTGAAAAACATCAAAGTTACAGCGGAGAAAAACGCCTCATCCATAATTGAAAATTCAAAACCAAAGACGAACGATTCTGTGGAATTGTCACAATGGGCTGCAAGCGCAGCTTCGATTCTGAATGCAGAACCAAGTGATGTTACCACTGGATCAACTGGGGCGCCAACCGCGGAAGATAAACGGGAAATAGAGCAGGTGAGCGCTAGTTTTCCTATTGTTAGGTTATCAAAGCAGAAGCTGAAAGTCTCAAAAGACGAAAAACGCTCTTAGGCCAGTGCAGTGGCGGATATAAGGGGGGGGGGGCAACTAGGGGCAGTTGCCCCTCCCTCGACGAGTTGAAGTAAGTCTGGCGTCCCTTTTTGGAAATTGTGCGCCCCTTTTGAAGAATGAGAATCTGGTGAAAAAGTTTCTGAGACCGATGGGCTAATTTGCTTCAAGGATTACCTCAAAGTTATGTTGTTTATTCCGAAAATGGACCTCAAATTGTTGTATACAGCGTACTCTCGTCACCAATTTTTGAAAATTTTTCAGCGCCCCCACTACCAACTGCCCCTCCTTCAAATTTGCTCTGGATCCGCCCCTGGGCCAGTCGCTGAATTTGGAAAAACGCCAATAGGGAACGCCTGTGACTGAATATTTGCTGGGTAAAGGCAGTTTCGAAATCACAGAATCATATCACAAAGAATACTTTGCCAAAATACAGCCTCTCTGCTAAGGTTATATTTTGACCGAATTAAGAGGAATTGCATAATACATAACGCCGAAAACTGGGGGCGTGTCCCCTCCCAGGCATTGGTAATTGGTAGTGTCCGAAAACATTAGTAATTCGTATGCTTTCATTATTTTAACTACTTCACTTTTTGCACTGGAAACGTTTGATGACCATTGAACCTTTAAGCTATCCAAAGTTTAATTATTGTTTGCATTCGAAAGCAGATCATTCTGTAGACAAATTTTATTTGCAATGAGCCCAAAACTAATCAACTTTTCCAGTCTTTTTCATGGATGTCAAGTCCACTAATATTAAAAACATCAATTTTAGACAAGAACCAAAATCATCACCTCCTTGTCACAAGCAGACTTGAAAGACATTTCTATGTCAAATTTGAAGCAGCTGGGTGAAGCACTTGGGACGCTCGTATCGAAAGTTGATGAAATAAACGATGAGAGCGAGGTAGGTTGAAAAACATACTGCGATAGAACTGTGTGTTGAGCATGATTAACCTTTTAATCTTAGGGCAATCCACCGATTCCACTGTCATCTGTGGAGGTTGTCAGTCAACCATCTTTAAATCATTCATTAGCCAAGCAAAAGCCGTAACGCCACCCAGACGGTTTAACTGGTTGGTTGGCTAGTAATTGATTGACAAATAGCGCAGTTACGGTTTTTGTTGATTGCAATAATGTCATTTACTTTAATCAAATGTACTTTGCTCTGTGCATCGTAAGATATCAACAAGCATCATGGTCGTATATTGAAACAGCTAGCACGTCTTGTATAGCAGCTAGCGCGTATTGTATAGCAGCTAGCGCGTATTGTAAAGCAGCTAGAACGTCTTGTATAACAGCTAGCTGTATAACAGCTAGCGCATCTTGTCTATCAGCTAGCGTGTGTTGTATATCAGCTAGCGCGTATTGTATAGCAGCTAGCGCGTATTGTATGGCAGCTAGCGCGTCTTGTAAAGCAGCTAGAGCGTCTTGTATAACAGCTAGCTGTAAAACAGCTAGCGCATCTTGTCTATCAGCTAGCGTGTGTTGTATATCAGCTAGCGCGTATTGTATAGCAGCTAGCGCGTATTGTATGGCAGCTAGCGCGTCTTGTAAAGCAGCTAGAGCGTCTTGTATAACAGCTAGCTGTAAAACAGCTAGCGCATCTTGTCTATCAGCTAGCGTGTGTTGTATATCAGCTAGCGCGTATTGTATAGCAGCTAGCGCGTATTGTATGGCAGCTAGCGCGTCTTGTAAAGCAGCTAGAGCGTCTTGTATAACAGCTAGCTGTAAAACAGCTAGCGCATCTTGTCTATCAGCTAGCGTGTGTTGTATATCAGCTAGCGCGTATTGTATAGCAGCTAGCGCGTATTGTATGGCAGCTAGCGCGTCTTGTAAAGCAGCTAGAGCGTCTTGTATAACAGCTAGCTGTAAAACAGCTAGCGCATCTTGTCTATCAGCTAGCGTGTGTTGTATATCAGCTAGCGCGTATTGTATAGCAGCTAGCGCGTATTGTATGGCAGCTAGCGCGTCTTGTAAAGCAGCTAGAGCGTCTTGTATAACAGCTAGCTGTAAAACAGCTAGCGCATCTTGTCTATCAGCTAGCGTGTGTTGTATATCAGCTAGCGCGTATTGTATAGCAGCTAGCGCGTATTGTATATCAGCTAGCGCGTGTTATATAGCAGACAGGGGCTACTACTTTAGTTGCACTATCTCTCTATAATTTCTTGCTTCGTGCTTCGAAATATCTCTCACTCTTGCTCTGTGAATCAAAATTATTCCATTTGTCTTGCATGTATAAAAAATATTGATTGTCATATCATTGTCATAAATTTTTTATTTGTCCTTTTGATTGTCATATCAAAACATCGTTAAACCAAGGAAAAGTGCACTGATCGTACAATTTCTCTCTTTTTAAAGAGAAATTAATGGAGAAGATATTAACGGAGAAGATCTTAATGGAGAAAATATTTTTAGAGAACACTATTCCATCTGCAGACACTTCCAGTCTGTGCATATTAAGCAAAAGTTGTTTTTCAATTGATAAAGAAGTTCTTCAGTGTAGCGTAATTGTTACCTTTTCTTGAAATATTTATCATTATCCCAGAGTATCGGCTCAGACTTCTTAACAAAAATGGCTGGCAGCTTTTTGAATAACAAAGACCCAAATGCAGGAGCAGAATTGTTAGAGCAAGCCTCCGCAGCAATCATTGGGCCCCTGTCCGACTTGATGTCCGCTACAACAAGCAAATCGGACGCCTATCTCACAACAGCAAAAGGTATAAAAGGATCAACAGTAAACTATTTATATGTTTCAAGTGCACATTATGACAAACCTTGTCCCTGTCCCCTTATCACTGATATCGTTATTTAAAGGCAACGTTGGTTTATATAAGTGCACATCAGGGGAAGTATTAAAGCTCAGAATTTAATCTTAAAACATTCATTCCTCTCAATACCCAGATATTTTGCTGCAAATTCTACTTGTTTTCTCAATAAATTAGCCTTACAAAAGCTAGCTCTAAATCAGCATATATCCACATGTAACTTCAAAGATATTTTCTTCCCTCCTAACCCACCATTAACAATTCAAGGCAGGCTACATCATCATCATCATCAAGAGAAGACGACAGAGGATTTGCGAGAAAAGGGGGCAAAGCACTAAGACAAATAGCAAATAAATAGCAAAATACAGAAAATTGCTTTTGGCTTCGATTAAATCTGTAAAAGCTTTAAAACGTAAGGTTCTAAAGACTATTTTCTTCTACACGCAGATATAGAAAATGAAAATGAAGTGTCTCCTACAGCGGTCACACCTACGCAATCCGGCTTCACGACACCACGGCCGACAAAGAAACAAATTCAAAACAAGGTAAAGGCCCCTACGATTACAGTATTAAGATAAGTGAACGAAAAAAGTTGTTTTAAAGAGAATTATCCGCTTTGAAGATGTCAGGTAGCGGGTCGTAAACATTCACCCATTTAGACAGGGAATTTTGCATAACCATATAGCAACCTGCCTAACCTAAATTTTTAAAGTTTAAATCATAAGAGTAAAAACCAATGATCATTTTGAACCTTGGGAACATTCTGGCAAATGACCGCAAGTTGCGTTTCCGGAAGCATGAACATGCAAATTTGAAGATGGTTATGCAAATTTCCGTCTAATTAAAAAGCTCGCTGCCGTAATGCATATTAGGCAGTGTCTGCGCCACAACGAATGCACAACACTGATGGTGCCACATCGAATGGGCAAAATGATGTGCCACATCGAATGCGCAACAATGAATGTGCAACATGAATGTGCAACATGAATGCGCAATATGAATGCGCAACATTGAATGTGCAACATCGAATGAAAAAAATGAATGTGTGACATTGAATGTGCAACATTAAATTTAAACTTCTTTTTGAATTGACGTGTAGCTGTCAATCAAACAAACTTCAGAAAAGAAACTTCTGTTCCTCTACTGCCAAACACTGCTTCCTTTTGTTATCTTGATTTTTACATTCAAATTTGCAGGCAGCTGAGTCAAAAAAGAACGTCATAAACTATCTTTCTGTTTTGGACAACGTTAGCGAAAGAATATTCAGAAACAAAGTTTCTGGGGAGGTTGCAACGGTGACAAAGGCAGAAGCCTTCAATCTGGTACTTGTAAAGAAAAAACTGTCTGATCTCAATGGCTATTCAGTCGATTCTGGCGACCAATCTTACGGTGTCGTTTTACCAGACGGCATTTTTAATGAGATCCAGTTTAATGGTTCCAGCGTGGGTCAAAACGAGACTGAAATTTCATTACAGGTAAGCGTTGAAGAATGTTAAGTTAAAGTACAACTACTAACTAGACAAACATAAATATTACTACAATTTAACAATTTCTTGATACTAATACAAACTGCTGAATAGCTATTTGGGCTGCTGTTAGAGCTTCGACTGTTAATTAAACACGAGCTGCAACGCTGCCCCTCAAATTAGGGCTATAAGGTGGGATCCAAGATGCAATTATTTAGTATTTTTGGCATCCCTAAACGTACAAAAAACGTAGTACTTTACTTTGAATGTCAAAACTACAGGGATCTTAGGCCAGGCAATATGTAACACAACAAAGCTACAACATTAAGTCTTTAAAACTGTTGATTTCAGCCCAACGTATAATATTTTTTAAGCTTGGTAACATTATTATAGCTAGTCGAAGCTTTAGCCCATATAAAGGAATCAATGGCAATCACAACAAAAGTTAAATTTAGAAAATTTGATTACGGTGGGTTTCTAACAAAATGACAGATGAAAACTTGGCAAAGCAGAAAACCAATCATAGATTTTGGAGCATTATTAATAAGGTAGTCAGTTCAATGGACATACATATTAATGAATTGTTTTCTATCAAACAGATATTAATCCTTATAAATAGAAATTATATGCACCTTACTGTTATTTGCCATTCTTATCTTCAATCAACTTCATATTACTTCCTCTTATTGCCAGTCATCTATGTTTACCAAAAGCCTTTCTCTAACTCATACAGGGATCCTCCATGAAAAGAATTTTACATACTTGGGATGTTGACAATGCTAAAGACAGCGCTAGCAAAATCGAGACCTTGAAAATGTTATCAACAGATTACAAAGGGTATACAGTGGCCAATTTAACATCAGATATCACAATAAAGATCGAGAATCGTCCAGAGAAGCTCAACTATACAAAGATTGCTTTGAACTTCCCTCAAGAGATGAAAATACGAAAGGAGAAAATCAAGTCATTTGACAACCCACTTTTAGCAGAATTCGACAGCCCTGACAATTCATCAAGCAATCTCACTGTGCTGATCCAATATGGCTTCCCACCGACCGCAACCAACTACGATGCCAGATTGGATATAACCCCCGATGGAATAGCATTGGTGAAGAATCAAGGAAACGTGTCAGCTAACGGCACCACAAACACCACGTTGAACGCAGACAAGCCACTGGTTCGCAATTCTCACATTCGCGTAATTGATGACAAAACAATCATAATGTGGGATTTCGCAAACTTTACTTACGGCGCCATGGGCAATGGAGACATGTTTTTCAATTTCTTTTACAGCGGGCAAATGCCAGATCCAGTATACGTGCCAAATCAATACACATTCGATATACTGGAGTTGAGAAGGTCACGAAATTACACGATGCGGACATTCTCCGCTAGCTGCCTTTATTGGAATCAAAACGCTAGCAAATGGACTGGCGACGGCTGTAAGGTATGTAAACCGTCAAGTTATACAATTTTCAAAGATCTTCTAGAAAAGATGACAAAAATTACAAAAAGAGCTCTTTAAATGACAAAAAGTATGCGCTGCCAACAACTGAACTTGCAGCAGAGATTAATGGAAAAACGTAGCACGAAAAACGCATAGATGTAAAGTATTCAGATAGCGTAAAAATGCTTATTTCATCTTCTCTGTTGGCCGCCGTCTACACCTAAGAACGTTTGGTAACCAGAAACTGTTTTTTGATTTAGTTCAAGAAATGCCAACAGAATTTTTGTTGTTTGCTTGCAGCTCCTCTTATTTGAAGATGACATAGTCAATGTCTTTTAATTAAGGAGCTTTGATTTCAGAAATCGATCATTCTCGGTTCATCACAAAATTGATTAACAATAGATTGACAGGTAATATGATTGTACCGGGAAAATTGTCCTTCGAAAAGCAACCAATCGAATTGCAAGATTTGCTTAGCAACCAATCGATTTGCAAGTTTGTTTAGCGGCAAGTCGAGTCGCGAGACCAACTGAAACCTTTATTTAGCAACATATCGAATGGTAAGATTGTTTTAGCGATCAATCGAATTGAAACTCTTGATAAGTGACCACTCGAATTGCAAGTTTTGTTTAGCGACCAATCGAACTGCGAGATTTCCTTAGCCGCCAGTCGAATTGCGAGATTTAGCGATTAATTCAATTGCAAGATTGTTTAGCGATCAAACCAAATGCGAGATTTGTTTAGCGACCAATCAAATTGAAAGTTTTTTTAGCGACATGATTTGCCTCACGGACACATTCGCATAAAGACAACTGTAGCACGCCTGCAAAATGAAAAAAAAACAAAAGGCATTCTGCTGTTGGCCATTTTATAGTGATATGGGAGGAGAGCCAAAGCATTTTAAAAAAACATCAAGATTTGTATTATGTTAATGTACATTAAGTTTTTTCATGGCATAAATTTTCATAACTTAACATAACTTTGCAGGTCGACCCAACGGCTACAACGTTTAAGCGAACCATCTGCAAGTGCAACCACTTAACCTCCTTTGGGGGGTTCTACGTAAAGCCAAGGCCAATACCCCCACTGAGTGCAGACATGTTCCTGAACGGATATGTGCTGTTCGTTTCTGTCACAGTCGTCCTTATGTTCTTCATTCTCGGACTTGTTCTTGCACGGAGAGCTGATAAAAAAGATCTCCTGAAGGTAACACAACTATATTTTCGTCTCATATCACTCCCAATTCATTTACTTACTAAAAGAAATTCATCGCCCATACACGCAACAAATATGAAAACATACGATTTATTGCAGGTCGGTGTATGCCCGCTGCCAGACAACAATCCTGACCACCATTACCTTTACCAAATAACTGTTTGGACGGGCCTAAGGAGAGATGCTGGCACTAAATCAAATGTCTATTTCATCCTATCAGGTTTGCTAGAAATCATCTTGCTAATACTTTGCAATGTTGATTTGGCCGCCAATTTAATATTATTCTTGTTATTTAACAGTAAAAACAAGGAATTTTCGTTTAACCTCGAAGTATCTTCCTAGCAAAAAACAATTTTTTGATAACAATGACCGAGATATGCTTAGAGACAACTGTCTCTTTACTAGTAGAAAAATCCACCACCTAGGATCAAAATATGCAACTTTGAAGAAAACCTTAAATCAGAGTGATACAGAAATTCATGAGTCGATTGAATAAAGCTCAAATGCTGCCATATTTCTGAAAATTTGTATCATGCTGCTCAGTCAGGATTGGACAGTGCTCGTTGCACAGTAAGTTGAGCAGTGACCAGTTGCAGCGAGTTACTCCCCCTGGCCGAAACTGCTCAACCACTCTGACCGCTTCCATTTCAATTGTAGGAGACAAAGGGGACACCCGAATCCGTCACCTAAAAGACCCAGAGAGAAACACATTTCTAAAAAACAGCTCTGATGTTTTCGTCTTCAGTACAGAGAGCGCATTAGGAGATTTGTCGCACATCAGGATATGGCACGACAACTCCGGAGGAGGCTGGTATCTAAGGTATTTTTGCAACGTTGGTACTCGCAATTTCGTGCTTAATGCACCCGAAAGCTTATATACATAGTATTGTAAACGAACAAATTTCGTAGTTACTTGATTAAATTCGTCTTTATGTCATGTTGAACAGAAAAATGGTGATCACAGATCTACAAACGGACAAGATGTATCAATTTCTGGCCAACCGATGGCTTGCGGTCGATCGAGACGATGGTCAGATTGAAATGGTTGCCCCTGTCTCTGGAAAAGACGAGCTCAAGGAATTTAACTATGTCTTCATGGCGAAAACAAGAAGTGATCTTAGTGACTCACACCTTTGGTTTTCACTGTATGCAAGATCACCAAGAAGCCCGTTCACCCGCTGTCAAAGGTTGGCTTGCTGTATGTCGTTGCTGATGACAAGTATGATGACTAGTGCCATGTTCTATAACACATACCCCAAGCCGACGCCTGAAACGGCCAACTACGCTGCAGGATTAACATTCACTTGGAAACAGGTAATTCATTTGAAGCCTTTCTTGTTCAACTTTCTCTAGTCCTGCAAAATATCGTTGTCCAATTCGAAGCTACTCTAAAAGCAACTTGCAAGCTTCTTTACTTTGTGCCAAAGTTACCTTCAAATGATACAGAACCGAAAAACTGAATTTTCTCATCATAATGGTGAAAAGCATTTTCTGCATTGCTTTTTGTTTTGTATTAGCATTTTAGTATTTGTTGCTGCCAACCTTTCGAATGTAGGACATTAAGAAGCCGTGCATATCGAGCAGTAGCCTTGTCCTTACTCTCCATGTGATTCCTGTGCCTGCAAAGCGGCTAGAGCTCCCTAATCTCATCACTGGAAGTGAAAGTATAGTCATTACAGTGAGTTGAACCACAGACCATAACATCTGTAGTCCGCGAATCTAGCCACTGAGCCATCTTCAAACCTAATGGTATAAGACATTTCATCTTTTACAGGTATATGTGGCAATCATCTCAGCTGCAATCACGGTCCCGATCAACATAATCATAGTGACATTGTTTAGATCATCGAAGCCAAAAGACGTGATCGAGATACAGAAACGAAATTCATCGAAAACCGGGTCCAAGGCTAGCCTAGCTGACAATGCCAGCATAAAAAGTGTGGACTCATTAGCAACTCTCAATTCACCCGAAAGTCCTGTCTTTAACCAGAATGGTCAGGTAACAAATTTAGAAATTGTTAACTTATATAGTCCAAATCAGTTTCATTTTTGATCATCTGTTTATTGAAGGCCTTATTTCTTCCAATCAGATTCGTCCATAGAACTATGTTGCTGTGCCAAGTAGAGTCACGTCGCCCCTTATGGAACGATTTCAGTAAAAATTGTTTCCTCGGCTTTTTGGTACTTCCTAATAAAATTAAAAGTACTACAAGCACATTCTTTGCTGTATAATTTACATGCTTGTGTAAAGACAGTCTTATCGGCTTTTCTATATTTCTTCACGAGCAACATTACTACAGGTCACTTTTCTTCCTGAAAAACTTAGGCCATCGCCCCTTATGGAACGACTCAAATTTAGGCATGCAGAAAAGCGCACAATGGAGAAAAACCGGGAATTATCATCTGCCTTCTTTCCTTCTACCTTTATCATTCGTCAGTATCAAATCAGACTTTCGTTGAGCCATTTGTTTCCAAATTCAGAGTAAAGAAAAAAAAGTTATCCCCCAGTTTGGTTTTCTTACATGAATGAGACCAGATCACGTGTCACACGTTCAGCCACTCATGAATTGTTCAGAATCACAAGAGGAAGCCCGCCGTTCCATCGAAGAAGCCACTAGGCCAATGAAAGTGCTCCTGATAAAAAATCCCGGTGAATGAAAATTGTGCAAGCTATTGTTTGGGTTTCAACGAATATTTGTTTTTGGGAGAGGAAGAAACACGTTGTGGGGGTTGGTTTTGTTTTAGCTAAAAAACCGACCGAGGGAATGACCAAGAAAGTTGAGGTGCAGGAAAAAAAGAAGGATCGAAGGTCTAATGACAACTTTTTCGTTTACATTCCGCTTACTTTTAAAATATTCTCCTAGCTTTTAAGAACAAAATGAAACAATGATAATTAGCAAAGAGTTCAAGCAATGTCGTCAGCAAAATAATTTCGCGCCTTTTTTGAAGGTAAATAAACTTAAACTCCTTCTTATTTATATTTATCATTGCACAGTCAGAATTCATTAAAAAATCAAATCGTTCCATAAGGGGCGACGCGCCTCTAGTTATCTTTGACTGATTTGATGCTAACATGAGCATTATCAATGATAACAATATTATTCCTTACTATGTACTTTTAGTTGCTCGAAATATAAGAATTATACGGTTTTACCATTGACAACGCGGGCAAATAATGCCCAAATGTGGTATAAATTCACATATAGTGTTGATTTATTAAAACAAATTAAATTATAGTGAATATTCAGTGAATATTACGTTTGGTTTCTCATCACTGTCTGTGAAGCAGACTTCAAAGACGTTGAAATTGGCAGCCAAAATATACAAAAGCCCAACGGTTAATGTTCTTAACCAGTTTAGCAAAGCTATTATTATCAAAACAAGATATTTGACAGAAGTTCTTAAATACTTGCCTGTATAAGCTCCTAACTATGAAAAAATTTCAGCAACCATTGCTACAGAAGACAAATGAATTAGAAGAAAAGAAAGAGGAAAAAGAAAACCAGAAGAAGAAAGAGTCTTACCTTTTCCCATATTGGTGTGTCTACGTAGGTTGGGGCCTGGCATTCATTGGTATCGTTTCATCATCCATTGTCGTTATTATATATGGAATGGTATTTGGAAATTCTGTTTCTTTGGAATGGCTTTCTTCAATAATACTTGGATTTATACAAGATATCGTTGTCATACAACCAATCAAGGTATGTAGATCTTTTAATGGCATTGTAATGTTTTTGTTAAAAATATCACAGCAACAATGGCTTACTGAAACCTTTTCCCAATAAAGGTATATTCCCTTTTCAGTAGAATGATATATATTTAAAAGAATGGAAGAAATTCCATCCAGCATCTTAATCTGCACAAAACGATTGGCTATATAGATTAAATCTTATTTTTCATATTCTTTTCTTAAACTGCCATGCTTCTAAAATAGCACTATTTTCAAAGATAAATAAAATAAAAACCAATATGAAATATGTAGCTCTAACTTAAAGAAAATTAATCATCAACGAATGCTCTTTGCATCAAAGCTTTTAATTTGGATCATCCTGCTTAGCCGTTTAACTGTGATAAAAATGGTGCATTGAACTTGCACGGAGAGATGCAAGCATCAGGATTCAGTTGCTACATAAGTTCACGGTTTGCCAAAATTAGAAAAAAACACGATTCTAGAATGCATTTGATGTGTTGTAATTCAGTGATAATTTTCATAGATCTTCGCCATCGCATTATTCTTTGCTGCAATAATAAAGAATGTTAAGGATGAGCGGCCACAAGTGGAAGAGCAAGGAAGGAAATTAGCAGAAGACGAAGAATGGCTGCATGCCCATGCCGACACGTCAATTGGCACAGGCGTTGACACAACCTCATTGCGGCCTCCTGAAGGTTTAAAACTTGACGCAATGCGAGAACTGCGGTTTAAAGAGCGCAAGATGTATGCAATAGTCAGGGAGATATTGCTATACACGTTCTTTGTGCTGGTGACCTTCTCCATATCGTACTCACTGCGAGAGGAAGTTGGATTTTGGCAGACAAATGGCTTGGAGCGTTTATTCAATTTGCCAACCAAAGAAACAGGGCAGTTTGAAAAGGATCAATTCTCTGGGGTACGATTAAGAATTTACCTGATATTTTCGTGAAAGAACCTCTTTAATAAAAATGTATTTTCAAAACCATTTTACTGACAACCCTGAAGCTGATATCACAAGAATTTTTTTAAATACTTTTTACATCTGAAAAAAGGTCTAGAGCAAGAAAACTTTTTCTTCAAACGAGTCTAGTTGTTAATTTCAAACAATTGGCAATACCGTAAGGAGCGTAACTCCTGTTTGTGATTTTCTGATGGAAACAATAATTATTGAAAATGTCCATATACATTTCCATTAAATATATTAAAGAGGCATTTTATTGCATTAGGTTTCATCAGATTTATTGGTTCTTCGTTTGACTCTGTCTTAGGTTCTTTCATATAACGACTTTTGGCAGTGGAGTGACAAAGTTCTAGTTGATGAGTTGTTTCCAACTCCCTGGTACGACAAAAACGTAGATTATCCACAAAAGACAAAAGATTTTCCAGGAAAACTCCTCATAAATGACTTAAACCACAAGATTGTGAATGGAGTAAGGCTGCGACAAGTTAGAGTGAAAAAAGGTAAGTTGCATGAACTGACATTGTTCTCTGTTACTTAAGCACAATGGAACAATTAAATTCAGTATACGGGGAATTGCGAGGATTCAACAACGCTAAGCAAATCTTCTTAAGTTAATTCTAAAATGCCCGACATGCATTTAAAATCTATAAATTGTGAAAATCAACATGAATCTGGATAATTTTCTTAAGCAACTAACTTTCATTATTTTGGGCTTCAAGATCACGAGCCGTTTAAAAATAGTTTCAAAAGTCACTCCCATGTACATTAAGAAAACCAGGTTCTAAAACTTCCCACGTCATCTAACTCAAAACATAGGCTGATTTCAAAGACGTAGGAAGCATTTCAAAAGAGGGGGCACATGTAGGCAAAAAAGGGACCTACGACTATGGCTTATCGTTGAAGTTCAGTAAGTAAATTAAGGCAGTAATTTGAGCATGCATTGACTGGTATTGGCGTAGCAATTTAAAGAAAAGCCAAGTTTTTTGTTAACACCAACTCATAATGCTATAGATTGACAAAGTGCATTTAACTTCTGATAGAATCGCAAAATTGAAAGTGAAAGGTACGGTTGATGGTGACAAAAATATGATTCTTAACAGCATTAGAAAAGGTTTTAATAATATTTGGTAAACAATATTTTCCGATCTAATAGATTCTTGCAAAAAGGCGAAACTTGTAAAAGATGTCATCAGTATCGACTGTTCTGCACCGTATGGCTTGTCAGCAGAGGACCAGTCGCATTCCGTATTCAATTGGACAAACGATGTGGAAGATCGGCCTACGATTACCCGTGAAAATCAACCATGGCTCTACCAAAAGTGGAACGAGCTTGATGGCTACCCATTCATGGCAGAATTAACATCTTACTTTGGGGGTGGCTATACGCAAGACCTGTTCCCAAGATGGCCTAATAAGGAAAATTTAGAGAAGCTGAAAAGAGCACGGTGGATCGACCGACACACAAGGGCTGTTATCATTGAGTTTGCATTGTTCAACCCTTCAACAAATCACTTCAGCATGGTAACAATCACCTTTGAGTTCGCTGCCACAGGAGGCTGTATACACTACTACAGTATCTATACATTCAAACTATATAGATACACAACTGGATATGCTTTCTTCACTATTGTTTGCGAGGTTCTCTTCCTCCTTCTGCTACTTATGTATTTGTACAGAGAGGGGAAAGAATGGTACCAGTTAAGGGCAAAGTATTTCACTCAATTCTGGAATTTGGTCGAAGTGATCATCAACCTCCTTTCAATCGTCGCAATTGGATTTTATTTCTACAGACAGAAACTAGCGAGCGACCTCCTGCGACGGCTGCCGGCCAAAAAGCCACAAACATTCATTAACTTTCAGTTCGCAGCCTACATCGACCAGATCTTCATTTATATTGTTTCCCTGATCGTGTTCTTTGTCAGCATAAAGTTCATCAAGCTATTGCGATTCAACCGTCGCATGTCAATCCTAGCCGAAACCCTGAAAGATGCCTGGTACCCTCTAGGTATGTTTTCAATTGTGATGGGCATTGTCTTAACAAGTACCTTTGCCTTTGCAACAATCGTTTTCGGACGACACATGTACGGGTATCGTAACATGCTGGTTACAGCGGCCACCCAAATAAGTTTGCTCCTTGGCAAGTTCAATTTCTACGAATACCAAGACACAAACAGAGTTATTGGGCCGATATTTTTCCTGCTTTATATCATCATGGTGAATTGGATCCTATTGAATATGTTTCTGTCGATCATCAATGACAGCTACGAAGTGGTATCCAGCGGCTTGAAGGAGCAGTCAAATGATTACGAAATCGTGGATTTTGTTATGGATCAGTTCAAAGCGTGGATAGGTTACGGCAAGACCCGAAAGGAAGAGATACAACAAAACATCCGTTGGCAGAGTGCTACAAAGAAGATGAATGCACTGAGAGCTTTTTCAGCAGCCTCCAACAAAAAGGGCGTGCATTGGGGAGATAAAGATGTACTGAGTGGCCTAACAAGCTCAGTTTATTGGCACGAAAACCCAACCATCTTTGAAAAGAAGGATCTTGATTCAAGCGAAATCAACAAAACCGTCGACCGTTTCATAGAATGCATTAACTTGCTGTATTTCGATGACACCGAAGTCGCAGAGAAAATGAGCAAAAAAGTGAAACAAGAAATCAGTGATTATGACTTCCTGAAGCAGCAAAAACAGTCAGAAAAAGAGTAATTTAAAGCACGCAATATTTTGTTTAATATTACTTTAAATTTAATTTCTTTAGTAAACTGACGAAGCCTCTATGGAGGGTAATAAGCTCTTTACATGATAAAATCCCTAGCAAATAGATTATTTCGAGGAGTATCACATGGGATGGGACCATTACGGAAAATGTCACTCATAATAGAGTCAGCCCTGTATCATAGAATTTAAGGGTTCAAGACAGTATGTCTCCTTACAACCCATGATGAGTTTATCTCCCTTTAAGTCGAGGTGAAACACATGTTGAACACAAGGTAACCAAGTCTCAGCTGGGGCTGGACCCTCATTTAAATGCTGCTGTACCATTTCAGATGAGATTTTTCAGAATTTCTATGGGTTTTTATTGGGGTATCTAAGCAGAACGGATATAGCGCAACAGCATTCGGCAAGGCCCGTTTTGAGTCGGTTCGTAATGGCACAAGTGTTTCAAAGATCGAATATTTGATTTTCAGACATAGTTTTGTTTGTTCTGATTCGGCTAAAATACCCAAAACAAATGGTGCTTGATATGGACTAGGTAATTTTTCAGTTTGCCATCTATATGATGTGTATATACTTTACAAATGTTTCGACAGTGGCTATTAGTGTTCGGCAATGAAAACAAAGCGGGCGATGTTTTGTGCACTTGGCGGCAATTGCATCTCCTCCACAACGCCACTAGTCGTTACTTCGAGATGTACGTATTTGATAATAAAAACAACTTTACTCTTCTATGTTATTTTCGGGTATTTAATGATGTAGTGATTGCTTTAAGCAGGATGGGATTAATTAAACTAAGCTTTATCAAATTCAGTGAATGAGTCACAAGAGCAGCTATGTATATATAAGCTACATTCTTTGCTTTGTTACACTATCTTCTGATGTTTAATATCAACCTTCAATGGGAGACTTTTTGCAAAGATTTGAGGCGGACTAGGGCTACCAATGCTACGTTGCTCATGAAAGAAGATTTGCTCAAAGAAAATCTTTTATCAATAGGTGAATAAAACTTTTGAGCAAATTTTGACGGGAAGAGACCGGAATCATGACTAGCCATTCTGTACAGTGGCTATCCCGTACTTTATGATAAGATATTACCTAAAAAGCCATGGGCTCTTCAAGAATCTATTCAAGAGATTCGCGTTCTAACAGAAAAGGCTTATTCTCTGTTATTTTTTATGATTATATATGAACGTGAAATAGTAAATTAGAATGCTACTACTTCACCATCGGCGCATGTACAACACTGTTTAGAAGAGATCAAAAATTCTGTAACTGCAATCTTCATTAAGACTGGATAGAAAAGCTTAAAATTTTGCCTCACACTAAAGTACTTTTCGTCCAACCTTACTCTGGGCATATGCCCCGGGTATGAAATATGATAATAGTCCAACCTAAACAGAAATTTGCATCAAAGGATAGATCGAAGATAACTTCAGAGGGGTAATGGCGCAATTGATTGGCTCGTTGTATTGACCAATAGGGAGCAACTTTCAAGTCAGAAGGTTGAAGAGCCCAAGTGAAGTATGAATGTCTTTACAGTAAAAACCTACACATAAGAAACTCACTATAGGAAACTACAGTTTGACATTTTCAAGAGCTTTGACAAAGATTTGACAAAAATTCACTAGGCAATCTTTTCCAGTATCATCCTGGAAAAAGAACTTCTACAGTATTTGATATCAATCCATTAGAGTATATTCCAGTTAATTTCCACGAGTGACGGTTTTTCTTCTCTTGTTCGTCTCTATGAAGATTTCCTGATTGAGTTTGATTTTTTGTCCTTTTCGTCAGCAGCTCGTTTGTAGTTTGGTTTGTCATGATAAGAAAAACATGGAACAAGTAGAAGCAAGTCAGGGCCACAAATAAGCAAACCAAGAAAAGCAGCAAAATTGCCATCAGAGGGTACGACGTTGCCAAATACTAAAAAAAAGGCGGTAATTAAAACAGGAACCGCGGAAGCAGGGGAACAGGGGGGGCTTTAGCCCCCCCCCAATAAATTTAAAAATGGACTTAAACCATAAAAAAGTTTCCTTGCTTCTTGTTTTTAGCATGTTAAGTCCCCCAACCCCCCCCCCCCAAATATTCGCAGTAATAATAAACTCAAACTTTACGCAACGATAATACTGAAAACAAAAGTGATTTGGTATTGACAAGTAAAATTGCAGCAACTACCAGTAGACCAGGAAAGTGGCATGCTCCGGCAGGACATGAATGGGGAATTAAAGCGTCCCTTCCCTTCACTAGCTTACAGGTCCAGCCTGACCCGACTGGTACCACCTGGCAGGGTTCCCTTGCTCAGGGTTACGAGCGATGGCCAACGGCTAACTCGGTGGGAGACCAAAGGCTAACTCGGCGGGATGAGCTACGACTCCAGGGGTCAACGGCTTCGGGCGGAAGAACTCCTGAAAAGAGGAAAAACACTGTAGAGGTGGTTCTGGGGGCCCATCTCTACTATGAGCCCCTTAGTTTTATCTATGACCTTGACAACAAACCAAAACTCAGATTTTGGCCATTTGGGTATCAGGAGCGAGAAGGGCCTTGATAGTCTAGTGGAGGGGATGTGGGACAGCAGGCAACCCTGCACCGTCATCCAGCGACTGCTACAACATCAAAACATGGAATGTAAGAGGACTATTAAAACAAGAAAAGCGAGCAAATGTGGTTCAAGAAATGGATAGAGTGGATATTGATATCTTAGGATTGTCTGAAACACACTGGAAAGATGTAGGAGAATTCAAGACCAGCATGCCAACAGTTCCAGGACAGTATGGCACCATCTATTCAGGAGGAAAGCAAAGCAGACAAGGTCTGGCATTCATTGTAAATGAAAGAACTAAGAAGTCCACTTTATACTATCATGCAGTTAATGAGAGAATTATGCTTATGAAATTACAAGAAAAAAGCGGTGAACTCCTTATCATACAAATTTATGGTAGTACAGAAGACACGGACAGAGAACAGGTTGAAGAATTCTATGAGTTATTGGATATTACAATAAAGGGACACAAGAAGAGCAATGACAAAGTTATAATATAGGGGGACTTCAATGGAAGAGTGGGTAAAAATAAATGCAGTAATGTAGATGATGGCAAGTTTGGACTTGGACAAAGAACACCTAATGGGGATAGACTAATAGAATTCTGCAAAAAGCACCATCTTTTAGTAACAAATACCTGGTTTGAGCAAAAAGAAAGCGCAAAGCACACTTGGATATCACCAGACCAAAGAACAAAGAATCAAATAGATTACATTTTGATAAACGAAAGATACTGGAATAGCGTGAGCAATTCAAAAAGCAGACCAGGAGCAGACTGTGGATCAGATCACAACCCAGTTATTGCTAAAACCAAAACAAGACTTAAAGTTATAAAGAAGAAAAAGAATAAAACATGGAATATCTAAAATCTACAGAACAAAGATGTAAAGGAAAAATTCAAGGCTAAGTTTTTTAACATATACCAAGAAGAACGCGATATGGAAATAAATGAAATAAGGAATAATATCAAGGAATGCATACAAATAACAACAGATGAAATATGCGGGAACAACAACCAAGAAACAAAACAAAAGTGGATGACAGTTGAGAAACTAAAAAAGATGAAAGATAGAAGAAGAATAAAAAATCAAGCAACCATGGGCAGTAACAACAAACAAAAAGAACTAACCAGGGAAATCCAAAGAGACTGCAGAAAAGCAAAAGAGGAATACTATGAAAGAAAATGTGATGAATCTACATCTTCTCAGTAGTAGAATATGGAAGGGAGGCTACAGCAAAGTAATAACAGAAAAAAAACTTCATGCTTTTGAAATATGGTGCTACAGGAGAATTCTGAAAACAAGCTATTTTATCTATGTGTAATCCAATATAAAAATATTTATCCAATATAAAAAATGTATCCAATGCTATTTTGTTTTCTTTGGCTCACTTTGGCTTCAGACTGCAGAAAATCTAGCCATCCTCAAGACGTCTCAACAGTTTATCACAGTCACGCTTAATAGGCTATAGATCAAGATTGTACTGTCAAAAATGGGTGTTTGTTTGGTTTTTTCATGATTCAACATGCCACCATTTTTAAACTGAAAAAACTCAATGAATCTCCAGTACTAAACCATCTTAAGAGAAACCCTAGGTTTGGCTAAATGATGTGATAAACCTCAAATAAGGTTCCAAATTGGATAAAAAGGATTGTGTTTCTGTCATGCTAAACTATCTGATTTCATAAGTGTAAAAAATTGATAAAAAAATAAATTTTAGCAATTATGAGCAATTTTGATGGATTTTAGCAAATAAAATTTAAGGATCATACCTGTATAACAGTCCTTAAAGATGCACTGTGAACTTGTCCATATTTGTCAACAAAATTTGCAACATGAAGTTCATTGACATTAACTATGTGTATAAAAACCATTATGATCATAAAGGATGACACACCACACATAAGCACTAATGAAAGCAGAAATGCAGCAAAATATCTGTGATTGTTCCTACCAATGCAGACATTGAGAAATGAGCAGTGGTGATCAAATCGTGCAATACAAAGGTTGCACAAGCCTGAAATTTAAAAGAATTGAATGCATGTAGTGGGAGTAAATCATTATGAAAAGCTTAAGAGAAAAATCTGATAAAAAGGTTTCTGCATGCTGGTAAGATTTGATAAATAAAAAAGGAAACCAAAATAAAGTTACCTGAGGGTTCTCTCAACTAAAGGCAAGGTTTTTAGCCTGCCAATATTTAAAGATTTTACAGTTTGCTAATATACAAACAGTTTTCACTTGCTGTATGAAGGTCTCTCTATGAAAATATTTAACAAGAACAGGCAGAAATAATTAACCGGAATACAATGCACAGTGAACTATGTATACCCTTGCACCAATATATGCTAGATTGTTGCATTTTTCAAAATATCTCATGTTTTTATTTTGTTCCTCCTAAACAGAAGACTGCACAACTCAAAACTGCTAAATATTATCATCAAATTGCTGCTACCAAATACCTAGCACAGTTCTTGAGAATCCATGGTAAATTACCATATACTTGAATTTGGTCAGATTCTAAGGTCCCTAGACCACCATGTTTGCATTAGAAGGTACACTTAATATGTTATATCTAGTGAAATGATAGGTTACAAGTAGTGTCACTAATATTTTTCAATTGCTCCTAGGCATAAGCCTATAAGACATATTTTTCAAGCTTCATTGTTTCAAATTAGCATTCAAGAGTTAAAAATATAATATACATAAATCATGTATATTTCAAGTAGGGCATAAATGTACAAATTATTCAGTCCCAGAGTGTTTCACTTTTACATAATTTGCTACATTATACTCTAACGTCTGTTCGATGCTTCTTCACTTTATGATAAAAGCAAAAAAGGAAAGGTAACTTCACAAATCACAACTGATACTTACTGCAATGCTTTGAGCGTGCTGGCTTTTTCAGATGGCATGTTTGGCAGTCTTTAGGAGCATACATACAACCATCATACTTGTAGTCCTTTAAATACTTTGAAACAGTTTGTCTTGTTACTATCCCGGGATCAGAGCAGCAGCAAGCAACAAATAAGATTAGGTGTATGATGAGCAGATAGTAAGGCACTCTTCCCATGAGTGACTCAGAAACATATTTAAATGCTGTTTTTGTGTAGGCTGCATATCCAAAGAACAATAATGTGGCATAGAGCAGCTGAAATAATGGATTCCTAAAATAAAACAATAAACTAAGTCTAGTTGAGTTAATAAAAACTGATAAAATTTAAGCACTGTTGACAAATATAAAGGAGGTAAAGTTGGCAGATTAGCAAAAAATTCAATGCAAAAGCTAAATAATAAATTGGTATCAGATTGGAATCAACTCTTTGACATAGAAACATTAGCTATGGTTCTTTTCCAGTAAAAAGGAAATATTTTATTGCATCAAGCATGGTATATATTTTCAACATAGCTGGGGCAAAGATAAAGAAAATTGCTAGAAGGTTGCAGATCCCCAGATTTGCCAAACAAAAATGGCATTCTTAAGGTATGACAATTGGCATTACTTTAACTGCTTCCAGTAAAATCTTGAAGCATTTGAGATGAAGGGATGGAGTACATAATATGTATTAACTTGTTTATCACTATTGACATATCTTCAAAGTAAAATTCTTTGGATCAATAGGCTATCCTAGAAAGCTGTTTGATCACATGTGTACACCTCCAGACATGCCTAAAACTTCTGAGGCATGCTTATTGATTTGGTGAAAACAGGCCACTCTGTTTAAGTCAAAACAATAATGCTGGTGTTTCCATGTTTATCTCTTCTTGTAATCTTTGTTCGTTCTCTTTTTGAAACTGAGATTGAATGACTCCATTTTCAAGTGCCTTTTTCTTGGATGTTCCTTATGAAGTGACACATATTCAAATGATTTCATATTACCAGGACTGAATAGGCATCTAAGAATCTAGAAACTTGCCCACAGGCCCGAAGTTGGGGAGTCCAGCTCCCATTGACCCCATTTGGCTACCCTTCTACATCGCAGTCATGGTAACAATAAGACTTTTCTCATAATATGGAGTAGTGTCATACCTCTCATAAAATATAAAAATTTTTGCCTTTTCAGTCCATTTCTTGACAGCAGTAGGAATGAATTTCTTGCATCCAGCATCCAAATTTTTGAAAATCTAAAAGGATTTTTAACATACGAAAGTGTAAAAATAACATAATAGATATAAAAAAATATAAAAAAGAGCTTTAGCATTTCAAATAGATTTAAACTTGAAAATTGTTAGTATGGCAAATCAATAAATCATTTGTGAAATAAATCATTTCATTAACATTCAAATACATTTCTTAGAAAGTGCTAGAATTAGTCTCTTCCTTGAATGTCTAAAAACTATTCTCGATGAGAGAAACTTGTTTTCTAGGGAACTACAATCTTTTTCTTCAGAAAATTACAGAAATTTTTTTGCAGAATGCTTTTATCAATAATTTTGATGATTTCAACAGAGATTTTGAAAATGTTGCATTTATCATCTCATGCCCAGGAACCTTAATATGATTTGCCAGAAAAAAGGTTGCTGGCGGGAGACCAGCAGCTCTTTCAGTGGTCTCCTTCATATGGCCAATGGTCCTCAAAACAGAACTCTGGGGTAGATAATTCTAGTAGAAAAATTTGTTCGCCCAGTGGTTACCCTGTGTAACAATAAGTGGTCTCCTGCAGATCCTGGTCATCCTGAGTGCATGGGAGACTGAATTGTCCATCCCTAACAATTATTTTTCTTCTTTAACTTAGAATTTGTTTAGAGATTGGCTTCAAGCTTATAGTTGAATTACACTGGGGTCACAAAAGTATGAAAATGGTAAGTCAAAATGTCGGCTCACAGTGACCACCAGCCTTAGCCAACCAATTTCAAAAGCAGAATTATGAGGTGAAGGGCTTGGAAATGATAGTTTATGGTAAGAAGATGCATTTATTATTCTTTTGACTTTTGGTTATCTCAATTTGGAAACAATCATTGAAAGGCCAGTTCAAGTATTGATAATTTCAGCAACTGTATTAGACAAAAGGACCTTGAGGCCTTATTTAAAGACAACTAATGCAATGAACATTGTAGGATCTGTAACTTTTCTTGAAATTTTCACCTCAACATTTTACTTTTTGTATATTAAGTTTTTTAATAAATTGTATGTAAATAGTGTCCCAAATTAGCAGAAATGCTAAATCAATTTGACACTGAAATAAAGTTATTATTATTATTATTATTATTATTATTATTATTATTATATGAACAATGGAAAATTATTATTATTATTATTATTATTATATGAACAATGGAAAACTGCCAACACCTACTTCGCTGCAACATTGCCTTTAACAGAAATCAACCCATCTAACGTCAACGTTTCCATAAAAACAATGAACTCAGTCATCTATGAATATTTTCAGATCAATTATGGAGTATCAGACGACGTGATTAATACAAATTTAATTGAAAAATACAAACACAAGACAAAAAGCTCACTCAAGTCTTGCCTGAAATGTCTCAAAGAATCACAAGCTCCCCTCTGTGAAATTCGCTATGTATCTCGGCTTTTGCGTTCCAAGGTGGTACCAAACAGCGATACAAACAACTGCAATCATGATGCTGAAATCCAGAAGAACTTTTGGGGATATGTTAAGAAAACTCTTAAAAAGGACAAATCGATTTTACCTTCCTTTAACGTATCTGTGTGTACCGACTTCTTCCGCACTTTTTTTTGTAAACTCAATCCCACAAAATCTTTCAAAGTTCCAGACTGGATCCCATCTCTATCTCTTCCTTCAGTTCCATACAATCTAGATCCTCCTTCTTACCATCAAATCACGAAAGTTGTTCGTCGAATGAAGTCGTCTGGTTCGCCTTGTCCGCTTGACAAGCTATCAATAATACCTTTTAAAAGATGTCCATATCTCCGCACATACATGACTGAGCTAATTCGAATAATTTGGAGTTCGGGTGATATACCTGAGGAGTGGAAACTGGCCTGCACAGTGCTAATCCATAAACGGGGCGATGCATCTAATCCTGAAAACTTCCGCCCTATCACCCTTGAAACCATTCCACTGAAAATATTCACATCTTGCCTACGCGATTCGATGTTTGCATTTCTCTCCGCAAACATGTACATTGAACACAGAATTCAAAAAGGGTTTCTTCCAAGACTGTCTGGAACATTCGAACATACTGCACACATGGCTTCTATCATTAATAAAGCTCGAATCAAACAGCGAGCTGTCGTCATCACATTACTAGACCTAAAGAATGCTTTCGGTGAAGTCCATCACAATCTGATCCCAGCAGTTCTTCGCTATCACCACATCCCTGAGCACATTCAAAATATTATCTGCAGCCTTTATACTGATTTTAAAACATCTATCATAACCGATACATTTCGTACCCCTTTTATACCGGTAGGCCGCGGTGTCCTTCAGGGTGATTGCCTTAGCCCATTAACCTTCAACCTTTGCTTTAATACTTTCATTCATTACATCTCAGATAATAAATTCAAACAGTTCGGCTTCTATACAAACTCCTTAAACCCTGTCCATTGGTTTCAGTTCGCTGACGATGCGGCAGTGGTTACTGGTCAAGAAAACGAAAATCAAATTCTCTTAAACCACTTCTCTAGATGGTGCTCTTGGGCAAACATGCATATTCGGGTTGACAAGTGCTCAACATTTGGAATTAAAAAATCATCTACTTCATCTGTTCAGTTTCTACCCAAACTTATTGTCAATAAAAACATAGTTCCCACTGTTGAAAAAGACAAATCTTTTAAATATCTTGGTAGATACTTCAACTTTCCTATGGATAATAGTGATCATATGTCAGAACTATTGGAAACTGTCAACTCGTTAATGTCCAGTATCGACAAATTGTCGTGTCATCCAAAGAACAAAATTCTGTTATACCACCGATATGTGCTATCCAAAATTTCCTGGAACCTGACCATCGCTGATTTAAGCAAGACATGGGTGACAGAGAATCTAGACAATGTTGTTTCAAGCTTTGTTAGACAATGGCTCGAGCTGCCAATAAGTGCTTCACTAAGTAGCCTCGTCATTCCAAAATCGAAGTTTGGCATCAATCTCATTCTTCCATCTACCAAGTTCTTACAATGCCAAACAGTTATCCGCAACTCTTTAAGACTGTCCCCAAACCAAGAGATTCGCTCTTTATGGAAAGACTCTAGCACTGGTACAAACATACAATATGACGTTTATCGCAACACAAAACAAGTTCTCAAATCCATCCAAAGTGAACACGAAAACCGCATTGAAAACGTTCTTACATCTCAAGGATTCATTATCTCGTGCATCTTAAAATTTGCTTCTAAGGGAACTAATCAACTTTGGTCTAGTGTCCAGCAAAAGTTACCAAAAAACATTTACAACTTTACCATCAAATACCTAAACAACACTCTTGCCACTAGAAAAAACCTCTGCAAATGGTCAATTACTCAGTCATCTGCCTGCTCTTTCTGTCTCCAATCAGAATCATTACAGCACATAGTCTCTAGCTGCAAGAATTATCTTGAACATGGTAGGTATACCTGGAGACATGATTCTGTACTTCTATATTTGGCTAAAATCCTTTCAACACCTAGAAACAGCTCACTTTACGCCGACCTGCCTTCATTTCTATCACCTTCTTTAATCACAGGCGACTCCTATCGACCAGATCTTGTCTTCGTAACTGAAGATCGAATCCTCTACATGCTAGAGCTTACTGTTGGGTTCGAAAGCAACATCGACGAAAACAGTACTCGAAAAGCTAGGAAATATAGCGACCTTATCAAGGAACTGAGCCCTGCCTATAAACGTGTTACCTTTGTTAACCTTTCTATGAGTGCCCTTGGCATTCTGGGAACCTCATCTACCTCTCTCTCTGACATGCTACACCAACTTAATTTTGACTCAAATCAAACTAAATCCATCTTGATGAAACTCATGAACATTTCTATCCGCTGCACCCACTATATCTTCTGTCGTCGAAACAAACCATGGCTAAGCCCCGAACTAATTGACTTTTAAATGTTGTAATGCAGATAAGCCAATTATATGATGCCTGTAAAAGCGAGTCGTATAATTGTAAATTTAAAATGTATTCAATGAAAATGAGATGTTTAAAAAAAAAAATTATTATTATTATAATAAAGAGATGTGGCCAATAAATTTAGTACCTCAGTGAGGGGGAGTTTATATTTCAGACAAAAATAAAACGTCTTTGACGACCTTAAGCAAACGATTGTAAGATATAATCTGATATGTATTTCAAGCTAATCTAATGGGTGTATCGCAAATTTTTTGTTCACTTTGCTTGGCTTGCAGGGCACCCTCCTTTGTACCTCTAAAGAATATTTGACAATTTCCCCTAGTTATAGGTTTTGGAACTTCCAGCTGAAAATTGCAGATTGTATAAATATTATCATGAAAGTAGGAAAAAGCTGCAATTCTGAAAACTGTCCTACATTGATGGATGGGACTTATTGAAAATGTCAATGTATGTAAACAAATTTTCTGACAAGATTTACATCATCAATGTTAGTAAAAAAATACCGCCCAGCATACATCAAAGTCTTCAAATTTATCCTTAGAATATTTATGATTTCGGGCCAAAAAGCGAATTTTAAAGATGTTTATTGAATTTTTCCTATTTATCCCAGCTATGACAAGGTGTCTCTCCCTCTCTCGCCAGTAGCTGTTTTCCTATTCGACCCAGAAACGGCAAAATAGAGTCCTCTGTAAACAAGGGCCTTAATTATTGTAATTCATAGTCTGATATGAATTTATCTAGTGATATACCTTAATTTATAACAGCCTAAAAGGTGTTAACAACAGATTGGATGATTTTACGTGCTGAAATGAGGTAAGTTCCCTGTTTCATGTTTTTTCCTTGCTTTTTTGAAGATTTCCCTATTTGACCCCAAACGCCGATTTCCCTATTTGACCCCAAGCGCCACGATCACTCAGCTGATTATTTTGAGAAATCTTGTAACCTTGATGCAGGATGTTTGAAATTTGGATTGATGAGAGAGTGTGTATTTTTCCTTGCAATTTCTACCTTTTGCTATTTATTTTGAATTAAAACGATGCTTTTTTAACGAGTTTTGTCTTTTTGCTCCCGTAGCTACAGAGGAGCCAAGCTTCAAGCTAACGTAGAAGCAAAACATTGCGATTTATACTGCTAAATTTACTGTAGTTGAATTAAAAAAACATCTAAAAGGAGGTTTGAAGCATGCCTAATCCGATTCTGAGGTTTGTTTAAAGATATCAGTCCAATTTTTGGAGTTATTAACGATTTCCCTATATGACCCCGATTTCCCTATTTGACCCCGTTCCCCATTTGACCCCGAGCGCTGCCAACATGATTGCAGCGTGATGAACATGTTTCATTTACATTTGCTAGTGACAAATCACGAGACGAGATCTCGTTTTGAAATAGTTGTGCTATACTTTTGGCAAACTTTTATGGGACCAGACCAGGTATGCTTTTGGCTATTATTCATGGGACAGGGTTAGGGTGCAAAATGCTTTCCTCACGCCTGCAGGCGGCGAGACAATATTGATTGGAAAATGTTTCCATTACTTTGGTGTAAAGAAAGGTGAATTTGAGCAACTCACGTAATTGAGAAATCTGTTATCTTCGATGCTTATCCATCCAAGTGATACGAAAACAACAGCAACTATGAAAACTATGGTGTAAATAAATAATAACATCATTAGAAATAGTGCATCCATTTTCCTTACTTTATTTTTATGAATCTAAATGAACTGAATTGCTGCCTCCTTTTGAATTTTTCCTTTCTTTTGCCAGAGTTTCTTTCATTCGCTAAGTTTTATTAAAACTAAATTCTGTTAGAAATGATAAGAAACTTTTGCAGCGATTATGTAGGATTACGTTTTCTTTCCACGATGGCAGCGTGTATTTCATTCCATTAGCTAAATAACCATTTTTAGTTAAGCCTCTTTTTGGCACTGTTTCCAAGGAAACAAGTTGTTATTCTCCTTTAAATATTCGAATCCGTTTAACCGAAGCAAGGGAAGGTGCATAAGCGCAGATCGGAGAACATTTTATTTAGAAGCAGTGAGTAGCCTAACACCCTTTTTTTCCTTAAGTAAACTATCATTTTGCTTTCTCGACGAATCAAATATTTAAATATCATCGTTGGTCTAGTCCCAAACATCATGTGTCTTGCTGAAGGATTTTTATCAAGGCCAAATTATGTCGTATTCATCCATTGTCGCTAAAGCTAACTGAACTTGTGGAACATTTTATACATCCCGTGTATTGAGGACACAACCTTAAGTTTTACCCCGTGTTATGAAGCGTACAAATGATAATTATAGGCCTAAATTTGTTTCTTATGAATCCGCTTCTGGAGATGATTAATCAAATGTTAGAGCAACTATTATAGGAAGGAAATTAAGTGCAGGGAAAGCCTTTTTTATACAAATGGGAGGACAATGGCCTATTGTTTTAATAATGGAAAGATGCTGGGGCATTAGGGGCTTTAGGGGTCTGGCCCTCTGCGCACTATTATGAAATACAGGGTTCAATAAAAAATCCTCAACAGTTTGATATTCTTGATACTTAACATGTTTGTGTTTGTCAAAAACTATACATACTAAAATAGGCAACAAGAAGGCACCACAGATTTACAGTAGGTTATAGCAGTAGACCGGAATTCATGGAGACAATTGTCACATGTTGATACGCAATCTGCCATAGGCGAAGAAGGCAGATGATGATGATGGCAGTAGAATGGAAATGTAGGCTGGTTGAACAGACCACACTAAGTTGTAAAAAATTTCATTTGCAAGTAGCTTTCTCAGTTTTGAAACCCTGAAATCGTTATTGGATAATTAAGGAATACACATATGAATAAGGAAGGAAGCAGATTGATATTTTTGAATACCATGTAATGCTGACATCATATATATGCAATGCATCTTTTTGTATATGCCAATTTGTGCCAATACAAATAAACAAAATTTGTACATTGCTGTGCACCACTGATCTATTCCAGTGTGGGTCAAAAATTTTGTTTGCAAACAGGTGAAATAAATGAAATGTGTATTATTAGTATGAATATTTAGCATTCCCGTGTAGTAGATCCATGGAGTTGTTCTTTGGAAAATTCGACTACATTAACCCCCAGGTTGTAGCTTGACATGATTTTCTTAGATTTTGTCAAGTTAAGGACAAAATAAAAATTACATACATATATACATACTTACAATTCTTACTTGTTGTAGCAGGCAACTGTGAAGCTAATTTTGACCTTCAACAAACAAGTTTAAGAAAATCTAAATTGATATTTTTTTAACAATATTCTATTAAAATTGAATTCAACTAATGTTAAGCTTGTTTGGAAGTTTCTAGTCTATGATTTGTCTAATGTTCAAAAGAACTACTGTAGGATGCACTTATAGTCACACCAAATATTCAATTAAAGCTGTAACTGTGAAAAATGTATGAACTGTAGACAAAGCTTAATTTAATACTTTTGCATATTTTGGTCTTAAATTTATGTGACTGTAGATAGTGCTGAGTGAATTTAAACAGGGTCAACAGTATTTGCCTTTTTGATCCCCATAACAGTATTTTAAAATTGAGATTTGATAGTCAAATTTTAAAATTTTTTAAACTTTTTACCCTTTTTTGTTGTCATTTGTAGGAATTATAACAGAGCTAGTTTTCTGTAGCTTTGTCAAGCATGAGTAAGCGGACACCCTCTTCGAAATCATTAGCCAGAACCAGAATATCAAGGGGTTTCTCCTCACCATCGGCAATGTCCTTTGCACCTCAACCAAAGTCTGTGTTAAGACCAAAGTCATGGACTGATGAAGTAGAAGAAGGTATGTGATTCAATCAATCACCAAAATCTTTCCTTTGTGATTGTCTGCAGTGCTTGAACTTTAATTTTTTTGATTTTATGGATACATTTAGTAGTATGTAGTATCAAAACAGTTTCAATAATTTAAAGCAAAATCTTTGAAGAATTTTACTGGACATTATTGTCTGAATCCAATTCACGAGGGTCTCGCAAGCCCTTCAGCATTGTTTATTGCTATTATCCGATGGATACAAGGACCTTCCATGTTCTGTAGCTTTATTTTTGTTGATGGATGTTGTAATAATTTGTTTCTTTTTGGAATATTAAAATTTTTTTATAAAAATCTTGATATTTGAATTAAAACCCTGCTTTTCAGCTTGTGTTTAAAATTAATGATGTATTTGAACTTTTTACAGCTTATAGATTTCAAATTGCTGGGTATAGAGATGAAATTGAGTACAAGGCGCTGCAAAAAGTTGAAGCAGTGAGTATTGTTAAAGTGTTTTTTCAATAAACATGCTACAAACACTTGAGCTGAAACTCAGAAAATTGTTCAATGTCGGTATTACTACTTAGCCAGTTTGCTGCCTCTGAGTCATACATACATCAACCTTTTTATTTGTTAGCTTAATAGATTGAACTAACAACTGTTAAATCAATCCTTTGCAATGGGCCAATTCTTTAAGTCATGGGTTAATTTTCTAAAATGGGGTAGAAATGTTATAGTTTTTGGTTTTCCTGTTCAGATACTTAAGCTAAGACTTTGGGAAAGCACTTTAATGTATTTTAGGGCAATGTCAAACAATGACAATTTTAAGCACAATTTGAACTTTCAATGTTTATATGGTTTTTCCTTTTGAAGTTGTGATGCTCTTCGGATGGTTCCTTTTGTGTTCACATTCTATAATCTATAGTTTCCTTCTACATTTACCAGGCAATGTAGATGAGTGGAGACAATTATTGGCGAGTTTTAATTGAGAAAGTTCGAGTAAACATTAACAATACAAGTCTTGACTCCTTGACAAGATCAAGAATTTTGTCTCCACTCATCCAATAGTCTTTAATTCTTGTCAAAAACCAGACAAATTCAATTTTTCAGTATAATGCAGCCAAGTAAATATATTGGAAGTTGTTTACTTTATTTGTGATCTTTATTTGTGATTATATTTATATGAAAATTTGTTCTAGATATTTTTGAACTCTCATTTAGTGGACCTAACTTGATTGAGTCTGAACTTGACTTGGATCACAAAAAATTCTAGTTTTTCTATGCTTTCTCTTCAAGGTTGACAGGTGGCCAGATTCCGGTTATGTGAAAAAACTTCAACGAAAAGATGGGACTTTCTACTACTATAATAAAAAAAGAGAATGCAGGGACAAAGATGTTCATCGCATGAAAATATATGCCTATTAAATAGCATGCTAAAAGTGTTGTCTTCTAAAGTTTTTTAGGTTGTCTGCAAATAGTTTTATCTCTCTTATCATTTATTTTAAAGCTTGTAAATTTGATTTATCAATATGGTACTTAAATGTATGCATGTATTATCTCAAATTTAACTGTTTATGACCATTTTTCTTCTTAAAATATCCACAATTGCTAGCATGCATGTCAACAAAATATTAGAATAAATTAGCATCATTTGTTGCTTGTCACTAAACAAAATCATAGGCCAGTTTGATCTTTTAACAATGGGAATATTTTTCATTAACAGGAAAATGCTGGCTTTCAAGAAAAAGTGCTTAATTGTTTTTCTTCTCCTTTTGTAAAACATTTCACAGTTATAGACAATTTTATTCAAAGTCATCAAAGAGAACCCTGACAGAGAAAGCATCTGAAAAATACACAAGGATGCAGGTCTGAGCAGTACTTTAGAGTGTTTTGTAATATATATATTATCCTTCAAGAAAAGTTTTCAAAGTTGGGAAAGCATGCAGGATAAAACAGCAACAAAACAAATGTAAATATTCTGTATTTGTTTATTTTGTTGGACAATTTACAATGCTAATTCTGCAAAATCAACAAGAGAACACACACAGAGCACTTGAACTAAAGAGAATGGAAATCACAGCAATTCAAAGAGAGTTAGGATTGATAGCAAGATAAAATACCATGCTCCATATGGTCAATTAAGATAAATTACATAAAATGGCAGATAATTTTCAAATTATGAGTAGCTCCAAACTGTACCATTTTAAGATCTATAAGAACATTCTGGGTATTGATCAACTGGAGAAATTAAACAACACTACAAATAAGTTTAAAACGATTCAGAACGCCAACAAATATGACTCATTATGTACGAAAATATTAACTCTCATTTTTGAAGGAAAAAAGGGTGTTCCTACTACTCGCTATTTACACCAAAGGGTTTTGGATAGATCCAACAAGCACCAGATTAAGCTAAAAAGTATTCAAATTTCCTTTTTTAGGAACCTTCTGTCAAAATTTGTTTGAAAAATTCTAATGAAAGATTGTCTATGATGTAAATTAGAACTAAGAGAACTTCACTTTTGTTTTTGTCAAAACCAATTTTTCATTAACTTTTTCATTGAAATTGAAACAGGCTAACAAAGACTGTTTTCTAATAAATATATAAAGTTACATCTGGGAAATATATTTGTTTGTATTTTAGTCAAAAGAGAAACAACTGCTTATACTGCCACAATTAACTGTGATCACTAACCAACATTTTGTAGCTTTTATGTGGTATTTGCTATTATAACAAATGGTGATTTTGCAGAAAGTCTTGAATAAGTTACTGGAAAGATGATTTATCATCTTTTCTCAAACAACAACTTTGACCAGCCCATGCACACCATGTTGACTTGATGGCCTGCCTGATTTCTTTTGGTCTCTGTTATGCAAAATACATAGCAAGATTAAATAAATGCACATAGATTAAATTATATTATTGTCATCATAACTGATTAAATAAATACCCACTCAATTTGCACTGTCCTTCTTGAGGATACTAGGTGTATCTTGCTTTTTCTGCTAAAAAGCTAATGCCAGTTCCCCTCCACAACAAAAAAAGGTGAGTGCAGATAAAAGTTGAGCTCAAAATTAAAGACTAAGGACAACATGATCTTTACCAAAAAAAGAAAATTTTACAGATGTAGAAACTTATCGAACATTACCTTGGTGAGTCTATTTGTGACCCATGATGTGAGGGTTTTGTGCTTCTGGGATGATCCTGCACATAATTTCGACATGAAGCGAGTTTTGACTCCAAAGCCTAGTGATGAAACAAGAGCTGATTAGCTCAGACTTTTACCGAATTGAGCCAAAAAACCAAGTTATATAAAAATTTAGGATTTTTGTAATTCCACACTCACCTAAAAAGCATCAGACATGCTTTCTATTGGATATGCATTTATATAGTTTTTTGGATACAAAAATACCTTTTGGCCAGAACTTGGTTTTTGTGGAATAAACCAAAAGCGGTTTTTTGAACTTTTTCACATTTCTAAAGGGCCCAGTTGGTCTTTAATGGTCTTGATGTTGGCAAATATATCGACAATAACCTTTGTATCCTGAAGTCAGGCTCGGAAAAATAAGGCAAAAGACTCTGAAGCTCCCTTAAGCCCTAGCAAAACGACTAAACATTTCACTAAACATTTCATGCAACTTTTGTTTAGTGAAAAGTTTAGTAGAAAGTTCATTCGTTTTGCCACCTTGTTTAGTGTTGTTTAGTCGTGTTGAGTGTTGTTGAGCAAAGTTTAATCCTGGTAAAAAATGTTTAGCTTTGTTTAGTGTTGTTTAGCAAATGTTTAATCGTTTTGCCAAAAATTAAACATTTGTTGTGCTAGCGCAGTCGCCGTAGCTTTGGGAATCCAAAGGTTTTCCAGGGCTTTTCACGGTTTTCCTGTCTCTACGTGACCCAAAATCTCTAGAATGCCTTCGTGAGACATTTGCTTCGTCTCCTTGTAGGCTACTGTGTCTTCTTCAACAATCAACTTTGTTATCGATGTGCTAAAAAGTATTTTCTTTCCCCTTCCTTTTATCAAATTCTTATTTTTACGCACTTCTTGCGCTTGAAGTCTTTCATGCTAACATACAACAAAATAAACAAAAATAAAATTCCTATGCAAGATCCCCTTACAGCCCCACAGCGTCCTTCACATGTCGCAGTCCAAAAATGTTGAGCAAAGTTTAGTGAAAAGTTTAGTCACGTTTTGCCACCCTCGCTAAAGTTTGCTCAACCTCACTAAACAAATGTTTAGTGAAATGTTTAGTCTTTTTGCGAGGGCCTAACTAATTTTCCGTTATGAAATAAAAATGTCTGACCCTTGAATTCTGCCTTACTCTGTACAAATTCCCTTGGTATAACGAATCCCGTATAAAACGAACTCTCATTATTACAAACCAAATTGTGAGTCTCTTCATCACAATTTTCCTCAACTTTCATCACTACTGCTGTCACCATTGTCGTGTTGGCGATTTCTGCGTAGATCTATCACAATAACAATCAATTTTTTGCGAAAAAATGTCACACGACACCACACGCCTGGATGTTTTCAGGCGTGAAGTGGCCAGCACAAATGCTATATTTTCCCCACGAAAGCCTGACATCGCATATTGTACTTTTCGACCGCCAGTATAAACAACAGATAATGACCAAAAGTAAGCAAAAAATTTATATCTAGGTGCTTGTCTAAAGCAACATAAAATCAAGGAAGACGTGTTTGACTATTCTCTTTTACCGATCAGTGGCTGCTTACTTCTCCTCTAGCTGGAGAATCTAAGAAAGAAAACAAACTCTTTTCTTTCTACAAAAATCAGGAATCTCTAAATGAAAAGACAGTATCACTTGCCCAATGATTTTGAAATTGTCAATTTGACACACTCTGGATTTGTGAAGCAATGTTGACCAATTGTTGAAAAACATTTTGGCTTTTGCAAATACAATGTGGCTGCTCTCTTTTCATCACAATTTTTGCCTGATGCTCGTGGGAACATGTTATCTTATTCTATTGACTAACCGCTGACTAGTGCATTTTACATACCGAGCTTAACATCAGTATAAAAATTCACAAACAACTAAACTTTTTTATTGGTAGGAACACAATCCTTTTCATTGGACGGAAGCCTGATCCTACTACTATAGACCACATATTGCTTAACAATGAAAAAAACAGTTAGTTAATGGCTTTTTATACTTAATTTCTAATGTTGCCAGTCAAAAGCATTTTTTAAACAAATTGGGCACCTATTCAAACCAAACCTTTTCCCAGTCGAGAAATTAGCAGATGTTTCCTTAAAACAAGTCCAAATGATATCTTCGGGGTAGCCGGTCTCCAGCAAAATTTCCTTTACATTGTCAAGCTCAGCAACCAATTTAGTTTTGGAGCAAACCATTTGGTGCCCCACGTGCTAAGGTTTTAATTAGAAAAATACTCCTTTTTATGGACTAATGCAATTTCAAGGAATGTACTGCCCAGAAAAAGTTGGCTTCCTAACTGGCTAGAATCACGGGCTAGAAAAAAAGTTATTTCTCTGTGCAAATAAACATCAAGGAAACTCAAGGAGTTATTTTGTAATTTTAATTATAATTTTAATTGTAAATTTAAGAGCTTGATTGAGAGCTGTAAATTGGAAACAGTCGCATTGTTGCTCTAAACTTAAAAAGACAATAAGTGTTTTAGGCATACCAAAAACAGAATACAGGTGATAGACCATAAACATTTTGTGAGCTTCTGAATCTATGTTTTGGAAAAACTTGGCAACCGAGAAGAATTAAGTGTGAGGACCAGTTCTAAAACTTTAGATAGCCACTTGCTAGCTTATAATGAATAATAGTTAACAATGAATATTTTACCTTTATTGATACTAGATATTGTCAGTTATAAAGAGGCAAGTTGCTAAAATAAAAAAACCAAAAAGACATTGATATTACTTGCATTAAAATGAAAAAAAACATAACTTTACATACCCCAACTTTCCTCAAGAGATCACCAACTATGTTCAATGCAGATATCCTTGCTGAAGGTGTCAATGCTGGATTAGGTACAAATGAGCTATTTGGTGTGCTTCCAGTACTTCCTACCCTTCCGCTCAACCTTTCACGTACTTCCCTTATTTGCAATGGAGTTGTGTTTGTTGCATTATCCACGGAATCAGTATTCCTTTCTATTAAATGTTTGTTTTCCTTATATTCATCATTTGCTTCTTCGACTGCATTTTTGGTCTCTGGGTTGACTTTTGATGATACAGCAAGTTCTGCTTTCAGATCTTAAAAGAAACGGCAAAGTTAACTCACTAACTGAAGCTATCGTAAAAATGAGACTATAAATTAAGATGAGGGGCAAATCACTCTATGGAAATCTCATACACTGTTGGGTTGGTGGGTATCCTATTATCAGAAAATTCCTAGAAGTCTTTTCGTTTTTGTAGAAATCTGGTACGCTAATTGCAAGAGTGAATTGCCCTTCGAATGAAGGTACAAAAGAATGTCAAAACTTGATGCACACATTAAACAACTATTGATTTCCAATTGTTTGTAGCGCAATACTTTTAATCAACAATAAGAAGCCAAAAATAAGAAAATCAACCTTATCAAAAATTTGGCACAAAGGGCAGAAATGATTTTTTTCAAAGTCAAAACAAGAACTAAAATTTATCAACTAAAAATATCTGGATAATGGCTATTCAGGAGATATTAAATTTAACTACTACATAAAGTAAGGAGAAACCGGAAGTCTTTCAGCTGAAGTAAAATATTGTCCGCAAAAGTACTCAATTCATATAAAACTGGATCTGCAGCATTATCTTACGATTAGGGAGTCAATATTAAACAGGCTATTGCAAAATGCTTATTTGCTCGTGATGTTTACAGTACGAGGAGAGATCTTCCAATCGTTTAATAGGATTGCATTCCTACCACGAATAAGAGCTCCATTATTTTGTGTTTATGTGCCAGTATGATGCTAGCTACTTGTGACACACAACAGAGATAAATGAGGATAGAATAAAAACAGCATGTCCCTTCCAACATTAGAAACAACTCCCTTCTCTAAGAGAAAATCTTTTTTCGGCTTTGCAGGTAAAAAAACAACTTAAATGTGTGGTTTCGCCAGAAAACGCAGATTGTGCCAAAAACTATAATGGCCACAAGTTTCGAACTATTGCTGGGGCCCGCCCTTCGTTCCATCCTGCATTTTAGAATCTATCTATAAAAAGGAAAACTGCTATTTGTGCAAACAGAAAGAGTTTGTTTCACCTTAGGAAACCATTGGTGAATTTTCAATAGGCAAGTGACATTGATTGGCCTATTTTGATCCACAACGTCGTGTATTTCCTAGTTAACAGTTTTTGATCTATGTTCTGACGTTTCAAACACGGGGGAGTATCAGACAAAAAGCTTTAGCATCTTTCAAAATTGTTTCCTTTCCCAAAAGTCTTTCCTAATTCTTGTACACCACAAAATTGTTTACTTTTCAATTAAGAAAATTATCTTCCTTTTAGTGGCTTTCATCGAATTCCTGCAGTAGATATTCATATAGCAAAACATGTCTGCAAATGTTGATAATGAACAGGTAGTTTAATATGCTGGTATTATATTGATACAAAGCTATTCAACCATCAAAAGATTTATGATATGAGTGGAGTGTAGAGGCAGATCTTTATTCAGTGTGGGTAAACAAAATTCCTCTTGAAATTCACTGTTGAAAAAAGCCAGCTCGTTTCCTTAATCCTGCGCGTTTTCAATATTAATTCTCATCTTTAGTATAGTAAACCAAGAAGGAAAAAGCAAGTTCAATCCTGGTACCCTTGCAACATATTTTTAAACGACACTGTGTAATTTTAATCATGAATACCCATATAAAATACTTTACAGTCGGTCCATTATGCAAAACAGAATTTTTCCCTGTTCAGAAGCTCACTCAAGGTCTTGTACCTTTCGAAACTTTTTGCTGCCAATCTTCTGCCTTTTTGGGTTGACAGTTCTCCCAACAAGTTTGTTTCTTGCCTTAAGTGGATAGGCTAGATGTGTCGGTACGATCTACGCTACTAACAAAATGTATCACTGAAGATTCTTTGAAGAAGAAACATTTTGATTCATTCTCGTATGCCGCTTGTATTTGTGATTTTATCTTGCTTCCATTCTTTCACTTCTCTGCTTCACTCGCAAAAAACGACTATGCATATGGCACACCCTGGTTTGCATATGGCATACCTTGGTATGCATGTCCATATTACTCTGAAAACCTTTTAGCTCTTAAAATTAGTGATAAGGAATTTCTCCTTCAAAGAATAAAAACAAATTGAGTATAAACCGCGTAAAACTAAATTGTTTCCTAGAAATAAAAAAATACTTCCAAAAATAAGAAGGCCAGTCAACCTGTATAGAAAACGACGTCAGTCAAGTAATAACAAAGTTTAAAATAAAAAACGTATAATTTTATTCTTTAAAAGATTCTGATTATTAAGGAGCTCTACAAAACTTAGACAAATTTTAAATGAGATGAAAACTGGTCACGACGAAATTTTTGCTTTTAAGAAATTTTGAGATCACAAGAGGTCAAAAAGTCAAATTTATAAATTTTTTTACTCAAGAAATGCAAATTACGCAATTATCCTCATTTACATCATCCTCAACATCATCATCATCATCCACATCCTTGTCGGTTCTGGAACTGAATTCATTCTAACTATTGTTCGATAGAGATAGTTCTAACTGTCTTTTGCCGACGAACGAAAAAAATTCCACTTCTGTCCTTTTATACTTCAACTACTTCAACAATATTGTACTATTTATTTTATTCGCTCAAGGCATTTGAGCTTTCCAACAAAAAATGTTGAACTCTAAAGACCGCAAAAATTCCAAACTACCTTAATGTATTAGATACGGTCTTATACTTTCCAATTTTTATAGATTATAATTTCTGATTTAGGCTTATACTTGTAATATGCTTTGTTAATGAGCTTTCGGACCATATTGATAGAGAGTAGAGATTCATCGAGTGCTAGAAGCATCTCTTTCGATTTGCAAACATATAAACAGAGAAAATATACGGCCTTGATTTCATCTAGGAGAACGCATGTCAACAGCATACCTAAGGGCATTCAGCAGCAATGGAAGCCATTGTAAAAATATTGAAGAGAACACTCCCCGTCAAAGTCACAGCTGAGCTTTTGATGTAAAAAATTAGTTCTAGGGGCAGACGTTGCTCAAAAGGGATTAACGACATTGTGTCGAAGATGCTGGCTGTTGTCATCAAGGACAGGGCATTTTTAATCCATTTGATAATTTTCATCTTACACTTTCCTTTAATTCCTTGAGCAACTTCGAAAGCATATCAGCATATCCAAGACGACTGGATTGAAGCATCAATTAGTTTGAAGCATCAATTAGTTTGAGACAAGACCTGACGTTATTTGACCAACTTTGCAGATATTGTTGGTCAAAGTTGCAGTTACAGCGTTTTCAGTTGCACTACTGGCAAAAGCGCTCGACATCGAAGTTGTTTTGACTTCATTTTTGACAAATCATAAATGCTTACATTGCCTTGCGGATGATGATTAAGAATATATAATGATACACTGCACATTTTTATAATAAATGCATATTGGCAAGAGAATGTACTAGAAATGAAGGAAAGCTTAGTACCTCTGCTTTCGTCTTTCAGTCTCTGCACAGTGACAACCAATTCTTCTTTTTCATCAAGTTCATTTTCTAAAAATGCATTTCTTTCTATTGCCTATATTAAAACAAAATTACAGCATTAGCAAAACTTTTGTGTCAGCATTTCCTTGGCAGTAGACATTTTCAAATAAATAAATCATTTTACATGTCACTATAAAATACTTATTAAGTTGCTTACTTTCGCTATACACTCTTCTTTTTATAAGAACACACTTTATAAGAACACTGAGGCTTAATTCGCCCCAAAAAAAGAACAAGGCTAGAACATGCTCAGCTTCAGATGAGAAATTTAAAAAAACAATTCGCATTTTGAAATTTATGTCATGTCAACAGAACAAAACTATGCAATTTATAAACATAAAAACAATTTACTTTTAAACTTTACCCAGTAAAACGTCTTAGAAACTATATAGAGTATGTAACTTTCAAATATTTGCAAAAAAAGACTTTTAAAATAAGAACATTATTAAGAACATTTGAGCTTAAAATTATCAAAAAGTCAAGAATATCGAGGCTCGGCAAAAATTATCTGGTTCTTATAAAAAAGTGTATTTTTGGACGTGCAAATTATGAAAAGACAAGGTTAGTCAAACTTTTTCTGTTTAAAAACACTGTTATGTTCAAAAACATGATCGATGAAATGGGTTTTTGAATGCCTTTGCTAGTGAAAATTAATATTTATTCAAGCCAAGTCACTCACTCTCTGACTTGTTTTAAAATAAGCAGCGTTTCTCTTTAATTTAAGAATTAAGGGTAGAATTATCTGCTTAATGTAGTTCTAATGTTTATGTCCAAATTTTAAGTGCTAACCTATCACCCACCTAGCATTTATTCAAAATTCAAGGGACGAAAGTTGAAGTTCCAATTTCAAAACATAAGCTGTTTTAGATTATGGCAACACAGCAAAATAAAAGACCTGCTAAGTGAAAAAGCGACTACTAGAATATAAAGTAACTATTAGATTTGATTCATAAAATTTAATTGATGCTTTGTTCGGTTTATGTTTGCGTTTAAAATTTAGATTTGCAATATGGTACTAGACAAAAGATAAATGAGGCACTGATTACAAAACAAACTAAACCGAAAGTGTGGCATCCTTATTTTGTGGTCAAATGTTTTTATTTTATTCAAACGATGGTACAGCCTTCAACAAAAAAGTTTAGATTACACAGATATTTATAGAAAGGGGTTTGGGAAAGGCACAAAAGGTAGTTAAACATGAATTTGTTTATCTGAGCTGCTATTCACTTTTCTTGATTCAACCAAATTCGACGAAATTCCACATGACTATTTGAATTCATCTTTACATTCAACGAAATTTAACATGACTATTTGTTAACAAAATGCAATAAGTGTCTTTGAATAAACAAGTGTCTGCAGCAGATGGCTCTAAGATGGCTAAGTAAATCGAACCATGCAAACAAAAGGTTTTTACCTGGTTTAGTCGCTGCTCGAAGTCTTCTAAAGAGCAAACAGTGGCCCTGTTCAAACAAAGAATACAAACGTTTATCGAAAACACAGAAAAGAGCCTGTGGCTTAATAGCTAAACTTACATGAACAGTCACAAATATTTGTTATCTTATTCCGTTTTGTATTCAAAGAGTACCGTAAAATATGGCAAAAAGTTCTAGAATTTTCAAAGAAAGAATGGTAGCTGAAGTATTTTCATTTGGACGTAGCTTCTTTATTTATTCAACCACCCCACCCAGGGTATATTGCTCAAAATTCTTCAAGTTCTCCTTCTAGGTCTTCATTAAGACATGATTTTGGGCGTTGCTTTTAGCGTTTCCCTCAAATAAGCTTTAACTTTTAAAATTTTACAATACGAATACAAAAACAATTTCGACATCATAAGAACTTATTCAAATCCCTGACTACTACTAGGGGGACTGAGTGTGTACTATTGCAGTTTTCTCCATGTGTAAATTACTGTTCAACTTGATAAACGATTCTATGTTAAAATTGTTAAAATTGAACAAAGAAGCAATTTGTAATAAAAGATTGATAACGTTTTACAGGACTTGAAATGAAATATAAATTTTTTCTAGCCCAGGACTTAAAGGTAGAAAGTCACATCTTTTATTACTCCCTAGCAAAGAAATATCCCACAAAGAGTCTTTTTGTAACCTTAAAAACAATTATCTGGGTGTGACTGTTAGCTTTCCAGGACTCTACGTTTGAGATGGCTTCAATTGAAATCATAATAGAAGTCCTGGATACATGGAAATTGATTAAAAGCGAGAAGAATGAGAGTCTTTTTGACGAACTGAAGAGTAATTGAGAATGTTTTTCCAAATAATACAATACAGATTCAGTCTTGTGCTTGACTTGGTAAGAGAGTAATCGAGAAATCAGATTATAAGTTTTGAAACCAGTAGAAGCCAAGGAGAGCCGGGCTGCTTGGAGCTATCGAAGCACAAGCTTTTTCTTATATTCTTCCATTCCATTTATATTTATCTAAACAAATTGTTAACCGGTGATAAATGTTCCAATTTAAACGCATTGGTTCTTACTACTCGGGGTATTTTAAGTACACAAAAATAAATGCACTTGCAAGCACTTTGTTGCCTAGTGGAAACAAGTTGTCAACTCTCATTCAAACTACTAGTTTTCTCGATCGCTGTTCCAACAGTGCATACTCCTTAATTATTTCGTTTCGGAACGGATCCAGCTATAGTAAAATGTGACAGTTTTTTTGAAACTTAAAGTAATGGTATTGTGTAAACTTGGTCTTAACTAACAATTTATAACTTTATATAATGTAGCTGCATAATATTGGAATAATTGAAAACTGAATTGTACATTGGGAACGTTACCGAAGGAAGGATGAGTCATCGATGTGGATAACTTTCTGTTGAAACAAAAACGCGTTCAGTATGCATAGCGGTCGAAACATATCACTCATAGGGAGCAGTTCGCATATCCTGATGCGATAAGACCTCCAGCAAAACAATATGCCAAATATTCGAAATATTTTACTTTTCAAAACAAGCAGTGGCCAACTGAACGAAACAATCAGTGCAGATTATTTCTAGCAGACGCTTTCGTTTCTCTTTGCCAGACAAGCAGAAGAGGACCACCAGGAGAAAACAGAATTTTAGCTATAAATAATGTACTTAAAACGCATTGGGCACAAAATATTTTTTAAAATGAGTTTGAAGCCTACATTTATGCCAAGGGCAAAGGCTAATTTCAGAATCTTCAAATTATAATCCTCGTAGTTTTGGTCCTACAAGTTTCAGTCCAACTTGGTCGAACTGCAATGTTTTTAACCAACTGCTATAATTTTTTGAATCAGAGATTGAAGTCACAAAGTCTTAGTTACAGACTTAGTTACAATGATCATTCCTCAACAAAATTCCTTGTAAGTCTCATCAAATACATATACAAGTTCAATTTGGCCTAGTCGCGTCATTTATCGAAATGCAGTAAAAACCTGAACATATAAATGTAGGTCACCTCAAAACACATTAAATACACAGCCTGTTCCTTATGATTTTAGCAGATCTATTGCTCTGATTTATGTGCTTCCATCTCAACGGTATTTCACAGCGTTAAATTATTTGGAAAGACAGCGCACACAATTTCATTTTAATGGCAGAACAAGTAATCACAACATCCCAGGTGTTTCTGGGCTTTGATTAGCCCATAGGGTTCACTTCTTTGAAAGACTACAAAAATCAATGGCTAGTGTCACAATAGTACGTGGCTTTTTATGGGACTTCAGCTGGAAGGGCCAAGCCATTTTTCTTGCAAAACAAACTTGCAAAGACTTAAGTACAGAGTTTGAAAGAAACTAATGAACAAACCTAACAAAGTTCTAAAGCTAATTAGATAAATGTTGTGCAACCAATTTTATGGTTAAAATCTTATCTTTAAAGCGAGATATCTAAGTTAACAAACCTATACTGGTGAGCAGTTCATTTTACAACTTCTTATGGCCAAATATTGATATATTATTTTCAAAAAACAACGAATCTTAGGGCATATTGCCTGGCCTTGCCTCACAAAATACCAAATATTTAGGATGTAGTTCTGCTTGGTTGTCAGGGCTTTTACGTTCAGAAATCAACGCGCGCGGTCAAAAACTCGCGTGATAAGAGTTGGGCGCGCGAATCAAATTTGTTTTTTAACACGAATGAAAGCAATAAAATTTTTTCTATCGAAACATCAAATGTGGCAAAACTTTTGATTAATGAACTGAATGCTACACATTGTATAGTTATGTTCGTGCTTCCCTCACCAGTTATCGTGAAGGGTACTGTGCGACACAAAGAGTTTTTAGTGACTTTAGAAACGTGACGAAGTTTCAGTTCTAATCAGCAAAGTTAAAGGAAAAAACAGGCAAGATTAGCTTTAGTAAATAAAAACAAAAAGAAGGCCCCGCAACCAACAAATGGCAAAGGGGCAATTAATAAAGTGTAAGTCCATTGGAAGTCAGCCCCCCTTCCTATTACTCCGCTTTCGTAGGAACAAATCGTTTTTGATTTTAGGTTCCCATTCATACGCTCAAAAACGGAGACATTTGATAATGATGTTCAAAAGTTATCAACCTAAAACAGAGTCATTTGAAAACGAATCATTTTAATGGGAACAGCGAAAATGAAGTCATTTAAAAATGGAGTCATTTAAAAACGAATTCGTTCATCTACAGTTTCAAGATGAACTGGAACAAAGGATATGAAAACGGACAAAACAGAAATGGAAAAACCTTCGTTTTTGTTTTGCCAAAACGGTGTGGACAAGAGCAATGGGAACGGCTGAATAATAACGGAAGCTGAATGATCGGAAAACGGAGACATACAAAAACGAAGTCGTGGAGACAAGGATTCGCTGTCAATTATATCTGTTTCCAAAAAGAGTTTCTCAATTGGATTAACCTATCAGCATCCAGTAATCGCGCCCTTCAAGGGAAATATTAATCACTGGGCGCGCCGCTAATCACTCTCAAAGGTAGCCTCGGGTGCGTGTCTGCACGCTCGCGTGCTATCGCATGCTCCCCATTGAAAGCCCTGATTGAGCAAAATGCCAACATACCTTTTGGCTCGTTCTAAATCATCGTTACTTTGTTCCAATTCTCTAATATATTTTTGCATTTCATCTTTGATTGCCTTTAGCTTGGCATTGTCATCCTGCAGTGCTGTTATCTGAACATAAGCTTCATTTTGTGTCGAATCAAGCTTGTCCTAAAAGTGATATAAGAATAAAAATGACAGGTGTTACTAAGGTACAATGAGCAGACTCTCGAAGAAACAAAAATAAATTTTATTAAGTAAAAACACTAGTAACAAAACAATTCCTCAGTCAATGCTCAGCAGCAAATCGATAAGTCAGTTTAATGACAAGTAATGAATCTTTAGAACAGGATCGTAAACGCCCAGAAAACTTTAAATTAGGCAAAACACTAAGTATGAAGCAAATCATTAGGAATTTCTGTGATATAATTCATCTGTGATATAAAAACAGAAACAAATCTTTAGGAATTTCAAGAAGCAGGCAGTTTTACATATCCACTTTGCAAGCCAATTTAAAATAAATTGAAAATCATACCCTTTCAACATTAACCATTCTTAAAAAACAATATGTATGATATTTGAAGAAAATGAAATGTAAACTTACCTTTAATGAATCGTTTTCATCTTCAAGTCTTTGCTTAATTGCTATGAATTCTTTAATTCTGTTTTCTGATTGCTCAAGTTGTGCTTCAAGTTCTGCTTCTAGTTCTCTACTTCCTTCTTGGAATTCATCATACTCATCTCGTATTTCTTGTAATCTTCAAAAGAATTATAATTATAAATAATCACAGATGATGATAGCTTACTCATAGATAAATACTCTTATTTTAAGAAAAATATATGCTTTAAGATAAGATGCCTTTAACTGTTTGATAACATTACATTTAGGCTACACACCCTATGTACATTAAGGAATATAAGCAGTGGTATTGGGCACACATGGTAATGCTAACTTAAATTTGAATATACTGATGTGAATTATATACTTTTCTATAACACTTCTGCCAATGGCAACCCTAACTGGTGGTGTTAAATGCACAAAGGGCAGCAATACACAATACACATTTTTACCAAATCTGGGAAGGCAGGGATGTTCTAAAAGTGCCATCAATGTGTCAGCTACTGACTTTTGTAAAATACTTTGCAAGTGCAATAATCCCTGCAAAAGTTTAGAATGAGTGAAATGAAAGGTAATGACAGCCATGTCATTGCAAGCGCACTCTACACAGGTCCAAATTGTGTGCAAAATATCGCAAGCACAGAACAAAAAAATTGCACACAAAATTCTCAAAAATTCAATAACCTTAAAGTTCAAAGATTTTGAATGTTTAGGAAGCAGCAGGAAGTCAAAGTTGCCAAATTTAAAAGAAGTTCTATCAGCTTCCAACGTGTTAGAGTAGTCCCAAATATAATTTACAAAACAGTGTGTCACATAGTAGTTACAAATTATATTATTGCCAAATTATCATGAAAGGAAGCCTGATCAACAGCAAGATATTTTTTACGAATAGCCACTGCAGTGATATTCGCTACCTAAGCAATGATATCAAAATCTTTGACATTTAATGGCAATATTTCCAGACAGTAGGGTCTCAGTCTTTGTAATATGAGGCATGCAATCGCACACGCACGCCTCCACGCACGCCTCCACGCATGCCCAAATTATCCAAGGCATGCATATCATCACACGCCCAAAACACATCATTGCCATAAAGCTTATGTTTCCAAGATTTCTAAAGCAGCGGTAAATCAAAGTCGCCAAATTCAAAGGCAGCTCTGTCGTTTTCCAAGGTTCTGTTAAAGTATTCCCATATGGGATTTAACAACAGTGTCACGAAGTAGCTACAACAAAATCGCTTAATATTATTGTTATTTAACTAAGGGGGTACCAAAGGGGAGTAATCTGCAATCAACACCTGGTGCTTTATTACCTTTCAAAATTTAAAGCTTAAAGTTTTAAAGTTTCGATCCAAGAGTTGTCTTCAATGTTCACTTGATCATTCTGCTCTTCAGTGATCATGGCGAAAGGAAACAAAGTGGACCTGGTGACATTTAAGGGTTGGGGAAAGAACGGAATTAACGTAAGACTACGAATGCCATACGGTGTTATGGAGATGCGACTTCATATTGCAATTAATGAAAATATATGAACTGATGGAGAAAGATAAAATATCTTGAAAAGGGCAATGGTGCTTTATCTTTTGAAGAGCAGAAAGCGAAAGCTTGATAATTGCATTGGTATATCGAAGAAACCTAAGCTAGAGAAAGAGGAGAAAACTGAAGAAAGCTCTAAGAAAGAAGATACGATGACTGTACTGTGTTTTAATTATCTTAAACTGTTATCGAACAATTTTTAAGATTAAGAGCTGTAAAAACTTGTTTTTGAGTTCAAAGAAAGTGTGTTTATTTCGACCTTTGTGTCATTTCTCTACCCATTCCTTCTCATTCGATTGTTTGCTGAATTCCATATCATTGTGAAAGGAACACTGATCAAATTGTATAAAGATATTTTTAAGAATATCCGCTATGATGTTAACGTTGACACTGAAGTTAATGATGCTGTATGGTAATTTCTCGACAATGCCTGGTAATTTCTAGGAGCAATTTAAATTTTTTTTCAACCCAGATATCTTTAAATGATTACAAAAAGATTCTATGATTACTTCCTAGAAAATTTATTAACTAATTAAATTTAACATCTTTAAATGAGAACAAGAAACAGTTTCTCTGTCAATTTCCTTGGTTTCTGTTCAGTTTGTAACACAAATGGGCTCCTTGAACGCAGCACCCTATAGTGCTTGACAACAGGAATGAGAAACGACTGATAAAAAAACAGTCCACATCACACGCCATCGCACGCGCAAAGTAGTCAGGATGTGCGAAACGCAGCATGCAGCTTATTTTCATATTAGGAAGACTGGGGCCTATAAACATCAGAAAATGTTTTCAACTCAGATATCTTCAAATGAGTTCGAAACAGTGCAATAATTACTTCCTGGAAATTTACTAACAGAAACCAATTAAATTTAACATCCTTATAGAAAAATAAATACAGCTCCACCATCAATTTTCTAAATTCTGTTCAGCTTATAACACCAAAGGTCTCCTTGTAAGAAGCATCATATATCTCTTGATAACAGGAATGAAAAAGGAAAGATATAAAAACCATTCAATTTGTGTCCTATCCATCTTTGTGTCCTATCCTAGCCAAAAGTAATCAAGACATGTGAAACACAGCATGCAACCTATTTTTATATGATAAAGACTGTACTAGAAGCACCACACTTAGCCACACATAAGTGTGAATGATCATCAGATATCTTGAACATATCAGGATGCAGCTACTACATGAGTTGGCCAAGAAATGATGATAGTCAAACCTCTTCTGCAGTGAGACATGCCTTTATTACTTTCACTGCCTTACTACATACAATTAGGCAAAGCAGATAACAGAATAGATATGTGTCAATTTATATGAAAGGAGAATGAGGGAGACAAAAAATTAGAGGGAAAGATGGTCAACAGGACATTGCATGCATTGCTTAGGTGCAGGTAGCTCAAGATTGAAGAAAATGGGGTATGATGAATAAAAGAAAGATTACCAGGTTCTCCTCTTTATGTTGGAAACTCGGTGTGTCAGGAAAATACATACATATTCACAGCTTAGGCATATATGAGAGGAAAACCTCTCATACCTTTAGGCACTGTTTATGTTGTTTAGCGTTTTTAAAGCTATTGGCTAGGACGACTGGTGCATCAAGTAAAACAAAAAAATGTGCCTCATTGGCAGTGATGTACATACTACATATTCACAAAGAATGCCTGACTGCCCAATTGGTGGTAAGCTAGACTGTCCTTTAGCCCCTCAAGAATACCCTTTATACACTACAAAGATGAAAATCAAGGGTAGCCTCTTCTAAGAATACTCTGAAATTCATTGCAAAATAAGCCTCTGCAAAAGTAATGAGATCAGTTTCAGTTAAAACAAAATACTTCTAGACTGTGGGTTTTTTATCTAGGATGTGAAAACGGGCTTGGGTCTTGTGTGATCTTCGGTATTTGATTTAATTTAAAACGTTTCTTGTTTAATTTCTTGTAGGTGCTGAGAGTAATGCACCACAATTATATTCATTGACAGAGGAGACAAAAACCTTGTGACCACCATAATTGCTTATGTGGCAAGAAATAATTTTAAGAAATCAAATACTTTTGAGCGTAATTTTCTGCCATCTGTCGCCAGTACAAAGCTTCCTCTTTAGCGTCTGTGAATTCAAGATCCTCTCCCATCTCAATGTCAGTATTTGGAGTCACCATTCTCCTGCTTTCCGAATCGATCTTGCTTAATATTATTTAGCTTAGGGTACTACACGAACACCGATTTCTCATCAAACGATGAATAACTTGAGGTAACCATTAAACAATCCACAATGATTGACAAACTGGAAAGGCCCTCTCACTGTAAATCTGCTCTTGCATTAAAAAACTCTAGAAGAAACACAGTTATTGTCAATCCACTGGGCATCAGTTTCGTCTATCCAATTTCCTGGCAGCAGTGCAATACTTAGGCCCTTTACAAATATAGGCCGTTCGACGGGAAAAAGTCAGTTGGCAACTGGTCGAGCTTGTAATCATATGAAAAACACTCTCTCTGATCCTTTTGTAAACAAACTTGAATAAAAGTATTGAACTCAAGACTGGCACCTCAATAACGGACGAAGTAGCAACGAATTTTAAACTCGTCTTGGCCCGTTACGTTATGACTTGAGTAAAGACCATTTCAGCTTATTTGTCATGCGCTTGGAGGAGAATTCAAAAAGGAAAACAACAGAAAAATTGGCTGCCCTATCCTCCAGAGCCAGAAGCTGATTTGTCAAAAGTCTTTTTCAAAAAATGTGTGGTCTTATACTAAAGTTATGAAACCTTTAACTGCAAGGATGGGGCAGGCAACCGATTGATTCATTTGGATTTCTTCAGCTTTCGACAAAAATTAACACTCATTCCCTTGGGACAGCGGAATCGTGTGGCTTGGAAGGGGCGGGGGCTTAAGCCTCTCCAATATTATTCAAAACTATATTCACAGAAACTCAAAAGTAATCTTGCTTAAGCTATTTGCATGTTTAGCCTCGAAATACAGTTAAGCTCCCATCTGTTCCTGACCGCGGCGCGGTCCCTGCTTGCTCAAACCCCAAAGTTCTCTTTGCTTTTCGTTTGTTATATCAGGAAGCACAAATTCAGCGAAGTGAAAATCCATGTTTGTTACAATTTATATGCTTTGGATATGAATTTCATTAAGAATTTAAGGCATTCTTATTTCAAATAGAAAACAAGTTAATTACTCTTTCTAAACGACTGTTTTGAGACCCCTAAAAACACTTCTTAAATTATTCTTCTAGACGTTATATCCTGACCAAAATACCAGGGGGCTGATATTTTTGCCGTTTGAGAATAGTTAAGTATAGCCAGCTTGGTGAGTTGGAAGCCCTGGCTGAATATCGTTACAATGCATTCCTTTCCTGTGGAAAAATAAGCTGGAATGATGTTTTTATTTGCAGTCTGCTTAAGAGCTATGACACTCATTAACGCTGACAGATGCGTTTCTTACAAGATTTATAAAATAGGTTTTGGCCATCGATGAACTTGATTGGTTAATCCGTTGGTCAAAAATGTACAGGTGGAATGTCTCCCTCTTAGCGTCCTTTCATTATTTTCAGAAATTGGAATGAGATTGTTGCAAATTGAATCTGGCATGAAATTCCGATCAATCAAACACATTTTTCTAAACCAGTCTCCTCCGCATTCTTGAAAGCATTAATTTGTTAAGTAACTTCACTGATTTACGTGTATTTATTGTTGTTTATTATCGGCGTATTGCGGTGTTTCTTATTTGCTACATTTTTATCTACTTTTCGCCGCAAGAACTCCTTGGAGCCCGTCGAGCAGCCTGCTACAGTGACATTTTCTGCATTCATACATTAATTTTTAGAAGGTATTTTCTATCGTGTACATATCATTTAGATTTAATCCATAAATTATTATTAAAAAACAGCTAATACAAAAACAGTAGAAACGCTGGGGTCTCGTTAGGCCTGCTGGAGTTATTTATACATTGTACAAAATATTGCATACTAATACCTTATCTTTGATCGAGACAATTAATGCAATGCCTGCAAAAGTCTTGCTATTTGATTATTTCAAAAGGTACTTCTTTCGTGTTTCCAAAGCTCTGGGTGTGCCTTTGTATATATTTTCAAAGATAGGCCTAGAGTTTATTCCTCTAGTACATTTTAGTAAGCAGTAACCAGGTGATTAGATGTGGACACTGACATGTGGGCCTTGACACTGGATATTCACTGAATATAAATTCAGGTTTTCAGTGTGGATTTCACAAATCTCTCTTTCTTTGTTCTCAAAGCGTAATTGTTTTTCCGTCTAAAATGTACTGAGAAAGTTGATGGCTTTGGACTTAGGGGCTAGTTTTTCTTCGTTAGCCTATACGTCGATCAACCTTCTCTGTCCGTTTGACGAGTACGGCATTGAAGAGCGTGTATCAAAACTTCACCAGAACTTTCATTTCTCTTCAGTTCTTCGAGACGGCGCCGCAAAATTGAAAATTGGGGAAGGGGCTAATAGTAAAGTTCAGTGACATAGGAGGATTCACCATTGCTGGGTCTGCCACGCAAGAAAACTGTTTCAAATTAAGTCTTCTAGAATGGCTAAAAATGCATCTCCCAGACTAAAATTTGACAAATACCGCTCAGAATAGACAATTCGACGATTCTCAGAAAATTATTGATTTTTAGAAAAAATTTTTGGAGGTGTGGAGTCATAATAAACTCTAGTGACAGACATTGGGTAAAGAAAGAAAGGGTGACCTTGATAACAAGAAGCTGTTGTATTGATTGAGAGAATTTTACTTTCTAAACAAAAACGTGCATCTTCTTTGTCTCAGGCATTTTCAGTAGGCCATGTATACACATCCAAGATGCATACATTGCGATGATTTCTCCCTGTCTAATTTTCTGGTTTATTTATATCTATCTGGTATCTTCACCTTGTGCTTTCTAGAAGGAGAAGAAGGAGGGGAAGGAGGGGAAGGAGGAGAAGGAGGAGAAGGAGGAGAAGGAGGAGAAGGAGGAGAAGGAGGAGAAGGAGGAGAAGGAGGAGAAGGAGGAGAAGGAGGAGAAGGAGGAGAAGGAGGAGAAGGAGGAGAAGGAGGAGAAGGGGGAGAAGGAGGAGAAGGAGGAGAAGGAGGAGAAGGAGGAAAAGATAGAGAAGGAGGAGAAGGAGGAGAAGGAGAAGGAGGAGAAGGAGGAGAAGGAGGGGAAGGGGGAGAAGGAGGAGAAGGAGGAGAAGGAGGAGAAGGAGGAGAAGGAGGAGAAGGAGGAGAAGGAGGAGAAGGAGGAGAAGGAGGAGAAGGAGGAGAAGGAGGAGAAGGAGGAGAAGGAGGAGAAGGAGGAGAAGAAGAGGAGAAGGAGGAGAAGGAGGAGAAGGAGGAGAAGATGAGAGGAGGAGAAGGAGGAGAAGGAGGAGAAGGAGGAGAAGGAGGAGAAGGAGGAGAAGGAGGAGAAGGAGGAGGAAGGAGGAGAAGGAGGAGAAGAGGGAGAAGGAGGAGAAGGAGGAGAAAGGAGGAGAAGGAGGAGAAGGAGGAGAAGGAGGAGGAGAGAGAGGAGAGAAGGAGGAGAAGGAGGAGAAGGAGGAGAAGGGAGGAGAAGGAGGGAAAAGATGAGAAGAAGGAGGAAAGAAGATAGAGAAGGAGGAGAAGGAGGAGAAGGAGGAAAAGATAGAGAAGGAGGAAAAGATAGAGAAGGAGGAAAAGATAGGAGAAGGAGGAGAAGGAGGAGAAGGAGGGGAAGGGAGGAGAAGGAGGGAGGAAGGAGGAGAAGGAGGAGAAGGAGGAGAGAGGAGAAAGGAGAAGGAGGAGAAGTGAGAGAGAAGGAGGAGAAGGAGGAGAAGGAGGAGAAGGAGGAGAAGGAGGAGAAGGAGGAGAAGGAGGAGAAGGAGGAGAAGGAGAAGAAGGAGGAGAAGGAGGAGAAGGAGGAGAAGGAGGAGAAGGAGGAGAAGGAGGAGAAGGAGGAGAAGGAGGAGAAGGAGGAGAAGGAGGAGAAGGAGGAGAAGGAGGAGAAGGAGGAGAAGGAGGAGAAGAAGGAGAAGGAGGAGGAGGAGAAGGAGGAGAAGATAGAGAAGGAGGAGAAGGAGGAGGAGGAGAAGGAGGAAGATAAAAAAGATTTTAAGGCGTACTTGAGAGCTAGAGAGAGGTATTTGACGAAGGGAAGGAAGAGCAAAATTAGGATGAAAACGTAAATCAAAAAATGAAAGAGAGGAAAAATGATAAAGGAATGAAATGAGAAGATGAAAAAAAGAAAAAGGGGTAAAAATTTGATTTGAATACAAACCAAGAATAGGAAATACATGGCAGGAGAAAAAAAAAGATTTTAACGCGGAAGGCAATTACAAAATGGATGAAGAGAGAGTAAATTGAGGGAGATCAATAAAAGCAAAAGATAGGAGATAGAAATGAAACAAATAAAAAAAGAAGAAAGAGTTGAGAGAGAAAGAAAGAAGGGTAGGAGATTAAGATGTAGCTTGAAAACAAGAAAAGGGAATGCAGGAAAGATAAGGAAAAGAAAAGAATCTCAGAAGGAAGCGACAGGAAATGGAGCGAGGGAAAGGGAACTAAATGGAAGGAAAAGGAGAGACGTAGAGGCAAAAGAAACTAATGAAAAAAGGAATCACAAGGTAGAGAGGGGTTGAAGGGAGGAAGGGAAATAAACGAAAAAGGAGAATAAAGAAGGAACAAAGAGGTTAATTTAAAACAAGCAAAGGGAATGAAAAAGAGAGAAATAAAGAAGAATGGACAGAGGATAGACATTATTAAGTGGGTAAAGAGAGTAAATTGAAGGAAAGCAATAAAACCAAAGAAGAGGGAAATGTAAACAAAAAGTTAGAGAGGGTAGCAGTAGGAGAATAAAAACAAAAAAGAAAAAGCAGTGAAGGAGAACAAGAAGTGCTCTGAAAGGAAGAGAAGGAAAGGAAGAAGATACATATTTTGGCACTAGAGTAAAAAAACTTTTCTTTGAGATTTTGCCTTGGTATAACGTGCTAGCGCCTAGTGGAATAACTGGATATTTCTGACATAGTGACAAAGCTACCTCTTAAGTTGTCAAGGCAAAGACCGTTCATCGTTTTATATGTCATTATGACCCTGTCATGTTTTATTTGTTTGAAGATGACATCCAATACAAAATAACCCAAAATCAAGCATTTTAAATTTCTTTTAGCTCTACCTTTGAGACGCTGAAGATGCTCAAGCTTTGTAGTGGACAGACTTCCTCATAATTCATCAAAATGTCTTAAAAAATGGCTTTCAAAAATGGCCCTGTAAACCTGGTCTTATTTCGATTGTGGGAGTATTTTTTAAGTTTTCCTAATGAAGAAAGACCACTTTGTGTTTACCCTCAAGCCTTATGTACTGCCTTTTCCAAGTGAGGTTTTCATCGACATTGGTTCCTATATGTTTCACTCTTGGTCTCGTTCAATTATTTCTCTATTAGTCGTTTATGACCAATTACATTATATCTTGCTTCATTGGTATCCAAACTTAGTTTATTTTGCCGTAACTACTCTGCAACATTTTTTCCCTCCATTTTAAGTTCATTGCAAAGTTCCTCAGTGTCTTCTGCAGAGCATGTTATAGTATTGTCATTTGTATACATTCTTCCAGAGATTTTTCTAAGCATCGCCTAAAATCATTCACGTACAAGATGACAGGAAGAAGCCCAAAGGACAAAAC